AATCGCAACCATCACCGAGCCATCCCATCTCGAACCCCCGCCTAGCTAGGTTTTCCCCTATTTGGCCTCGCTACTTCATTGTTTATGATTCAGTACTCAATCATTCTCGATATTCGTTTACTGCGCACTCTGCAAGTTGATTCATAACAGGGACAGTTGTATCTGGAATTGTTCCAGACAGGACTGGTTTGCAGATGTTTGGGTGACGCCATCTGAAAATGTCAGAAACCAATAACTGTCCCAACCCAACACTCGTGTTTTCAATCTCCACGTCAACTTCGACGATTGGGTTTGGAACAGAAGCTTCCACACGGAATTCATTAATTTCACGCGGAGAGCCGCGAACTGTGCTGGACGGCTCAGTATAGCTCAGCCGACAAGCGACCCCGCCGGATGAGCTCGCTGCCCGCGGGCAAAACAAATAAACCCCAGTCGGGCACGCATCCGGTCAGGGAGGCATCAACCCTAAACACGGGGAGGTATGGATTTAGGGTTGATGCCTCCCTCGGATGGCATGCCATCCGATGGGGTTTTAGTTTTTTCTGCCCGTAGGTCAGGTCGACGGTGGTCGAAAGTGACTGTGCTGGACGGATCCAAATGTGGCAGCAATGACTTCGAGCGGTCAATGTGCCTCGCTTCGAGTGTGGTGGTGGCGGTGCCTGGGGCAGCAAAGGACACTGCTGCGAAAGTCGAGAGCGATGTCATAAGCTGTACACTTGGCACGCTCAGAGTGGTTGTTCTGGTTGCTTGCAGCATTGTACCATGGCAAGATTCCAGGTCCGTGCAGGTTCCTGATCTTACTTGATTGCATTTCTGTATTTCTGCCTACAAGTTGACGAGGTGCCTGGTTGTGTTTCTGGAATCGAATCGAGAGAGCCCCAATCCAAAGTTTCCAAGACTGTTACTGTTGCCCTTTCAGAACGACTCTAGAGGTGTACACGTAATTCATTTAGGCCCTTCTACCTAAAAAAAAAAAAATGTTTGCCCCAAGATTGTCCCGCATGTTTTTTCGCAGTTTCCGCGATCTGACAACCTGGTTCGAAAGATTCCACAATCGTTTTGTTTTGGCAAGACGGACCTACCTGAGGAAAAGCTCCAGTTTAACGTGACTGCCACCTGTCAGCTAGGGAGTGGAGAAAAGTGCACTTGATTTGGATCTTTCCATTCCAGCCAAGCAGTTGCACTAGGCGTAGAACAGCAACGAATGGGGAAGCGAGGAAAGCGACAGCACTTCGTCCGCACACTCGAGCTGCCGGTGCTGTCGTCGAGACTCGTGTGCTTTCTACCCTGGTACTGTGTCCCTCCGCCACCCCTACGTCAACCAACCAAACCCCATTTCCATCCCGCTCTTTCCCTCTACCGTTCTGTTTCCGTTTCTGTTCCAAACCATGGCCCCTTCTCTTCAACCACCTCCCCAACCAAGCCACCATTCCATCACTCTTCAGCCATTCCACACCCCACATTCCCCTGTGTTCTTCACTTTGAATCTCACATTTTTTGCCCGTCCGTGACCTACGCTCCAGAGACTCCATTAGAGCAGCAGGCGTCCTGTTCGGGTTAATTCGCTCGTCTCGCGGTTCCAGCTTCTAATTCTGCCGCCGCTTTAGTGGTGAATCTTAGACATCGATCGGCCCCTGGACTTTCTTCGCGAGAAGACATTAGATACAATCTGTTCGAGGTTACGAGAATGTCGTCGTCCGTAGCCGTCGATTTTATCCACGAGCCGCCTCGCTCGCAGTATTGGGAGCATCAGGAGCCGTCGAACACTTCCCACCACTACCAACACCCCCACCCCGCCACCACCCCCACCACAACCATCACCGTGAACCCAGCGACAGTTCTGCTCCCGTATATTCCCTTAACGAGCCATCGAGTCACGGTATATCTTTGTCGCCGCGGTTCGCCGAGTCTCATTTTGCACACCATCGCCGAGTCGCGTCGCAGGAATCGTTCGCACAGTCGGGGTTCCGCAACCTGCAGCAGAGCAGCTCGTGCGGGGCACGGCAGATGGCGGATTCCGCGTCTTCCTTCGATCTCCGCGAGCTGGAGAGCCAGTCGATTTTGACTCTATCGCAGTGCGACGACGGCGACTCGAGCTCCACCACCACTAGCAGCAGCACCGTGTCGTGCCAAGGCGCGTTCGGCGTGTTCGCGCGTCGCAGACGGCGCCCGAGCAGCCGCAGGGAGACGCCTATTGCCAGCCCTCGCGCTGGCGCACACCATTCTGTGATTGGTGGGTTTCCCGCGACTCGTAAAACGTCGCAAGTGGCACCCGCACCAGAGCTACCGCGTCTTCTTCACCATGAGATGCGCCGTGACATACGGAGGAGTGACGGAGAGGAGAGCGGCGACGACGGGGACGGCGGAGGGGGCGGCAATAGGAGCGGTCGAAGCAGCGCGGCGGTTACGATCTAAAGGATGCCGCGCAGACCGTTGCGCGGAAGGTGCGCGGCGCCGATGCCGCCGCGTGGGGGCAACTCGGAGCGCTGCAAGGGGGCGCCGTCCCCCGACCCATCGCCGGGGCCGCGCGTCGCCAGAAGCCGCCCCTCGCGCTGAAGCCGCGGCCATTTAACGAGCGCGACGGCTGCCCCTCGCCCGCGAGCAGCGGAGAGGTGGCGCTGATGCGGCCTCCGAAGTCCCCCGCGAGCAGCGGGGAGATTGCGCTCCTCGAGGCGGAGGAGATGTTGTTCGGCGCGAACCAATGGTCCCCCGCGAACAGCGGAGAGATGCCGCTCGTGGGATCAAGGGAGTTTGCGCCGCTTCCGGCGACCCCGGAACGGCGCAGGGGCGACTACGAGGAAGTGAGCGAGGGGTTGGTGGTGGAGGTCGCACCTGGGGGAGGCAGCATGCACCGCTCCACGTCGCCGTCGCTGTGGAACCAGCTGGGGTCGGTTTCGGAGAATCTGCTGCTCGCCGCGCGACAGAAGAAAGGCGCTGCCTCTCTCTCCCGCAGTGGACGCGCCTTCCGCGCCGCTGCATCCCAGTAGCGCCCCCAAGGCCTCGCATACGCGCTATGCGCGCAAGGCGCAGCACCGCCACGGGCTGTCTCTCGGCGACGCGCCCTTCGCTGATGCGCCCGTCGGCATGGATGCGCCGCTGCCGCTGTCTGCTCTTCCGCCAGTTGTCGTTAGCGGGGCCAGCGCGCCCGCATCGAGCGTCAGCGCGGACAGCATCGCCGTTGGTAGCTCGGCGCGAGTGGGAGCAACCGGAGCGGCCGTAGCGGCGGGAAGAAGAGCAGCAAGGGCCGGGGTTGCGGTGCGGGCGAGCGCGTCGGCCGTGGAACTGGACCGTTGGAGCGTGCTGCCGTACGAAGGCGGGCGGGAAAAGCCGCGCGAGTCGCGAGAGTCGATGCGAGTCAAGCAGGCGCCGAGCAGCAAGGAGCACGGCGGAGTGACGGGCGGAGCGGCGGCAGTGCCGGGCGACTTCCTCTCGTCGTACTTCGGCGATGCGCCCGACGCGTACGTTGGCGAGTTCGCGCTGCAGGAGGCGCGCAACGCGGCGCGTAACGCGCACAAGAAGACAACGGCGCAAACCGAAAGCGTTGTCAGTGCGACCCCCGCGCAAGCAGCTAACGGCGGACGCGGAGGTGCGTCAGATGCTGGCGGAGAGGCAAGCGGAAAGCGAGCGCGCGGAGGAGAGGAGGAGAGAGGAGCGGCAGCAATGGGCGGACGAGCAGCAGCGGCTGCAGCAGCAGCTGCAACTACTCCGGCAGCAGCAAAAGCTGCAGCTCCTACAAGCCTTCACGAGACGAACCAGCAGCACCTGCGCCCGTGCGACTTTCGTGCTCGGTCGCCCGTACTCGTCACTGCTGCGGCGCTTTGTGCTCGCGCCGCAGGAGCTGGGCAGCGGGCAGTTCGGCGTGATCCGCAAGTGCGTGGAGCGCGGAACCAACCGCGTGCTGGCGTGCAAGACGATCCTCAAGAGGCAACATCGTGGCCATGCAAGACGCCGCGGACATTCGCCATGAGGTGGCCGTGATGGAGGCGCTCAAGGGCCATCCGCATGTGGTGAAGATTGAGGATACGTGCGAGGACGAGGAGGCGGTGCATATCGTGATGGAGCTTTGCTCCGGAGGTGATTTGTTCGATCGTGTGAAGGATGAGGGCCGGCTGAAGGAGCGGACGGCTGCGATCGCGTGCCAGCAGGTGGTGCAGGCGCTGATGTGGTGCCACGTGTCAGGCGTGGTGCACCGGGATGTGAAGCCGGAAAACATTCTGCTCAAGGGGCGGAGAGAGGGCGGCAGTGATGGGGATGCGCAGAACAAGGGGAATCTGGGCGCGGCTGCAGCGGTGCTGGGAGGCATTATGGCTGCTCCTGCGAAGGTCGCGGGTGGTGCTGTTGACGAGGGACGAGATTCACGTCAAGCTCGCCGACTTCGGCGTTGCCACGTTCACGTTCGGGGTGAGCATTCCGTTGCTCCCTTCTTTTGGTTCTCCCTTCCTCTTCCTCCCACCCCTCCGCTCCTCATCGTGCCGCTTCTGCCCCCCTTTCCCCCCACGTCGTATTCACCAACCTTTCCCCTTCCACACCTCCCCATTACTTTCCACCCCTCAGGCGAGCCATGCACGGAGGAAGCTGGGCACGCTACAGTACATGGCGCCTGAGGTGCTCTCGGGAACATACGGCCAGGCGGCTGACATCTGGAGCGCGGGCGTGGTGCTGCACATCATGCTCTCGGGTCGCACGCCCTTCTTTGCGTCCGCTCGGACGCACCGTGCAGGAGGCGATTCTGCACGGCCCTGTGCGCATGCGCGGGCCCCACTGGGAGGGTGTGAGCGAAGACGCCAAGAGCCCTCGTGCGCGCCATGCTGGATAAGGATGCCTCCACACGAATTACTGCCAAGGAGATTCTTGGTGAGTTAGCGCAGGCCTTGAGATTGTCTGCGAGAGTTTTTTTAGGAGCATGTCTTATTGGGTGGGGGTTTGTGTATGGTGGGCAAGGGTTTTGTTTGTGAGTGGCTGGGGTGGTGGTTGTGAATTGTGCATCTCAGCTTTGTGTTAGGATTTTACTGAGCCTCTTTCATGGCATTCTTGCTATCTTCAAATCCTTGTGTGGTTTGTCTCAGGTCATCCTTGGATTGCCAAATACACGCAATGAAGCCGGTTCCTGGCCATCCATGTGCTGGGTGGTTTTAATTATAATGCAGCTGCTGAGTAGTTCAGTTGGTTAATGTAGTCCACTAAAGGCATGCTTCAGCCTTGTCTTTCTTTAATTTTGGGAGAGCCTGCATTGTTGGTTTGCTCATGTGGCTGTCTGCCCTGACTTTTAACTGCATCGTTAAATTCATCCGTGTACCTGTATATGCTGTTATTGAGACCAGATTATGCCAATTCTATCCTGGTCCATGTTACGGAGACCAGATTACACCAAATCTGAAAAGTTGTTGCCGTCACTTATCTGCCTATCAGAAGGTTGGGAGAAGGCAGGAAGCAACGTGCTTGACTTCAACACACGCTTCCAATTGGAACAACACAGCGTTTCCCCGTCTTTCATCCCTGTTACAGTCACTCTCATTCACTCCCAGCTACAGTGTCTCTAGACACCATTGCTGACGTCTGGAAGCTTCCTTCTCTTTTACCTGTACGAGGATTGTACTACTGTAGCGCAACAGAACAGTTGTCAGTCGCATTCGCAGGCACTGGCAGAGTTGCATGGCAGGTCTCATCGACGAAACCCTAATCCATCCGTACTCCTGTCCTGCCATCCACGACTAGCCAGTATTTTGCTGTGATATGTTGTTTCGCTTCTCTCTTGTCGCATCGTCCCTGGTGTAATCCCTCCATGCTCCTCGACCTTTTTACTCTTGGATTTGCATGAGAGTATTATGGCTTCGGACGATAATATTATGACTTCGCACGACCGTATATTGACTTCGCACGGCAGCATCGTGACTTCGCAGGATGATATCTTACTAACTGCTCTCCCGGGTAACGCGTCAGGCCAAGTAGCCGTTAGCGCGGCTGAAACCCCTTCCATGTTGCCGTCCGTGACGCAGTTATGGTCGGAACTGCACGTTTCGGTCGACAATGAAAACCCTAAGCTCCTCGGGATCAGAGGGATGCCGGGAGAGAAGTGCAGCTCTATCGGCGTCTCTGCCCATCAGCAACAGCCGCAACGTCCGCAAAAGTGCGAGCAACAACAACTGCAGCCGGAGCAGCAACAGCAGCAGCAGCAGCGGGAGCAGCAGCAGCACCAACAGCAGCAGGAGCAACAACAGCAACAGCAGCCGCGAGAGCAGCTGCTGCAGGATTTGCCGCTGCAGTTCTTAGATCCGTCGCAGCTGTCGTGGCTTTCAGACTCGACGCAGCTCCCATGGAATTCGAACGATGTCGCTGGCTTCGTTACAAGCAGCGACGAAGAGCTCTTAAAGCAAATGCAGTTGCCTAGTACAGGAAAACCTGACAAATCGTCGGTAAATTTTCCCCGGCCGTTGGATCTAGACGAAGCTGTTGCTAGGGCCATGATGGTTGGATCAACCTCGGGCGCAGGTTCGGATCTAGGTTCGGGAGCAGGTTCTGGAACAAGTTCAGGAATGGGGGGTGACGGTTTGGCGTCATTAGATGCGGAGCAGCTTGAGTTTCAGCAGCAGCAGCTGAACTTGGAGATGCAGATTCTGCTTCATCATCAGCAGCAGCAGCAGCAGCAGCAAGACCAACAAGAGCAGCAACAACAACAGATGGATCTACAGCAGCAGAACCAGCGACAGAAACAGCAAGAGCAGCAACAGCAACAGCAAGAGCAACGGCAGCGAGAGCAGCAGCAAGAGCAAGGGCAGCGACAAGAGGATATGTCCGCGCTGGCGACGCAGATGCTGCAGCAGGTGCAGCAGCAACGGCTGTTGCAACATCTCGGCCAACTTCAGCAGCAGCAGCAGCAGCAGCAGCAGCAGCAGCAGCAGGAGCTAATTCGGCATCAGCAAGAGCAGGAGCAACGAATGTTGCTGCAGCTGCAGCTCTTGCAGCAACGGCGGCTGTTACAGGGACAAGCACACGATGTCCTCTCACCACGGGGACTCATGCTGATGCACCAACAGCAGGAGCAGATGCAACAGCAGCTGCATCAACAGGAGCACGAGCAGCATCAGCGGATGCAACAACTGCAGCAATTGCAACAGCAACAGCGGCAGATGCAGCAGGCGCAGGTGACACAGCAACAGTATGATCGACTGCACCCAGCACTAACGCAGCGAGCGCTAACACAGCAAGCGGTAACACAGCAAGCGCTAACAGAGCAAGCGATAAAACAACAAGCGATAACACAGCAAGCGCAGCAAGCTTTAGCACGGCAAGAACAAGCAGCAGGAGGCCTGTTGCAAGCCGCATCAGCGCAAACCGACCTGCTCAGCAGCACCGCTCTCAACCCCTGTGACCGAGCCTCCGTGGCTTGGCGGCAGGCTCGGGAGCAAGTCCTGCTTCAGCTGCGGAACCAGCCTTTGCCTGGAAGTTTCCTGGCGACAAGAGGTGCTGCGCTGGGTGCATCTTGTGGGGATGGTGGGATTCAAGGCTTGTCGGCGCAGGAGGGTGGAATGCAGGGGGGTGGATCGCTGGGGCGTATGGCACAGGGGGGTGAATCGCCGCGTGCCTCTCTGGTGGGTGCAGCAACGCGGGCGAGCGGAGGGCGTGATGTGCTGTGCGAGGGGGGGCGAGCGTGGGACGTGCACGCCACGGGGAGGCTGGAGGGGGTTGGGGTGGTGGCAGGCGGTGTGAGGAGCGGTGGCATGGGCGCGGGAGGCGCGGCGGGTGTGGGATGCGGAGGGATGGGTGCGGGAGGCGAGTGGGAGCTGCTGCAGCAGCTGCTGGGGGGATCGGCTCTGGTGGGCGAGGGTGGTGGTGGTGCTTCTGCTGCTCCTGCTGGTGGTGGCGCGAGTTCAGGAGGAGCGCTTCAAGCGCAAGCCATGGGGCTGGCACAGCATACCAACCAACGCGCTGCTGCTGCTGCTGCTGTTGCTGCTACGGCCACCACTTCGCGTTCTGCTTCTGCTGCTGGTGTTTTTGCTGCCAGTACGAGTGCAGCACTGGAAGTTCCTGCGCGGTCATCAGTGGGAGGGAAGAGGCTCCGGGACCAACCAACAGCTGCTATGCCGGCTGCTGCTGCTGCTCTTGCCTCTGCTGGTGCTGCTTCAGCCGCTGCTAGTCGTGGGGCACTTGGCAGTGCTGCGCCTCCCCCTCCTGCCTTCCGAGCCTGCGAAACAGCCTCGGGATCACCTGCCACGACGGATTCCCCTGCCACGTCAGCGTCGGCGCTCTCATCACCATCGCATTCCACATCGGGCTCTGGAGGAAGCTCGTCCGGTCAGGGCGGAGGGGTGCTGGGGAAAAGGGCGTCCGGCGGAGGTGTGCTGTGGGGACGTGTGGCGGGGGCAAGGGCAGGTGAGGGAGGGGCAGGTGTGTTGGGTGGAGGTGTGACTGGGGTAGGTGTGTCTCATTTCCCCCCCACGGCCAGCTCTCATCCCCCCATTCTGACCCACAGCCCACCTGGACGCAACCTGCTGCCTGCCGTGGCCACCACCCCCACAGCCTGCTCACCTCCACCCAACCCGCTCCCACGTACTCCCACCACCGCCACGACCCACCACGCCTCCTTCCATGAACCCGCAAGACCCGCATGCACGAACCAAGCCTCGCCCAGAACGCGCGCTGGCCCTGCTGCGTCTTCTAGGAGCCTCCCTGCCTCTGCATCTGCATCGGCTTCTGCGCCTGCAGCAGCTGCGTCTAGGAGCAGCAGGGCGCGGAGGGCCCCTCTGTCCACGCTGGCGTCTCGCCTGGCGGCCGTGCTGAACGACATTCAGTCCAAGCCCGCCCCGCCCTTCGCCTCTGCATCTGCCTCCTGCTTGTCCCCTCCCTCAGCTGCCGCGTCCCTCTCTCCCTCTGCCCCTCCCTCGGACTTTGGCGTTCCCTCTGCCTCTGCCGCCGCCTTTCCCGCCCTCACTTGCTTGGACGCGTCAGGGGCTCGCGGGACAGAGGAGGAGCAGGCAGCGGCACAGGGGGGGGTTGCTTCGGGTGGGGCAGCAGGCGGGGAGATGATGGTGGTGGGCGGTAGGGTCCGAGGCATGGATTCCTTTGGATTTACCAGGGCTAGTGCATTGATTGGTGGTGCTGCTGGTGGAACCGGGGGTGCTGCTGGGTTTGGCAGCGGTACTGGTGGTGGCGGGAGCAGCTACGCTGTTGCTAGGGAACTTTTGGAGGCATTGCCAGGTGGCGCGACCGGATTGGACGACCTTCAGTCGCTGCAGCCCCCGGGGTCTCGCCGCCGAACCTCCGGTCTTTACGGGGTAGGAGCAGTCTCTCTTGATTATAGGGATGCTGTTTCTTTTAACGAATCTGGCTATAGCGGATCTGGCTGTCGGGTTCCCTGGGGGGCCTGGGAAGGAGGAGCAAGTGGTATGTCAGATCAACTTATAAAGGGGATGGGGGAGAATGCAGCAAGAGGAGGCAACGCTGCAGTGGCAGCACTGTCCGCAGCTTGGTGGGAGGCTCGGGGGCAGGTCGGAGCCTTGGAATTCCCCAGGCCTACCGCTGGACCTGTATCCGTTGAAGTTACAGGCCCGGATGTTTCTGGGAAGTTTCGCTCAGTGGAGAAATTTGCGCGGGCACAGATGGTGGCGATGGCGGAGGCGGCAGAGGCGGGCGACACCGGGCGGTTTCACTCGGCGTTTGTGCAGCTGAAGCCGCTGGGGAAGGTGCGAGGAAATGCGGTGGAGCGGCTGACGCACTACGTGTTGGAGGGGCTGATGAGGCGCATGGCTGGGACAGGGTTCCAACACTTCTGCACCCCTCTTAGGCGCCCTCCCAAGGTACGAGATGCAGGCATGGGGTGGTAAGTCAGTCACTCTGTGCTGTAGAGTGGTTGACTCACTACGTGTGGTGGAGGGGTGGTTGAGGCGCATGGCTGGGACGGGGTTCCAACACTTCTGCTCGCCTCTTAGGCGCCCTCCCAAGGTGAGACACTCTGAGACTCCGAGCAGGGTCGTAAGTCACTCTCTGTGTGCAGTGCAGCGGCCGACTTTACGAGGGCCTTATGAGGCGCTTGGCTGGGTCAGGGACCCAAGAGGCGCCCTCCCAGGACATGAAGGTCCAGACGAAACGTCCCCTGGTACGATGCTGTTCTTGGGAAGTGAGCGACTCTGTAGCGAGCCAGAGCAAGCATGGTGAAAAGCGGGTGCAAGTTACGCAAGCTTTACTCAAATCTGGCGCTCCCTCCTCCCTTTCCCTTTCCCCTTCTCCTCCCCCCTTTCCCTCCCCCTTTCTCCTCCCACCTTCCCCTCCCCCCTTCCCCTCCTCCCGGTCCCAGGAGCTAGACGAGGCCCTGACCCTGTACGCGTCCTCACAGCCGTTCCCGCTCTTCGCGAGCATCTCGGTGGCGGGGCTAGTAGCAGAGGCAGTGAGTGGCAGCACGCACGTACACATAGTGGACTTTGGGTGCTTCCAGCCCATCCACCTGCCCGTGCTCATGGACCTCCTCGCCTCCCGCCCCGGGGGGCCGCCGTCTCTGCGCCTCACTGGGATGGACACCGCGAGTTTCATTTGTGCGGGGAGGAAGGACTTTAAAAGGCTGAGGGCGATGGAGGACGTGGGGAGGCGGCTGCGCGGCGTGGCGCGGCACCTGGGCGTGCCGTTTGAGTTTGAGAGCGTGAATGTGGACGAGGATAACCTGCAGCTGCTCTACCAGGTGAGATGAGAAGGTATCTGCAGCTGCTCTATTAAGTGAGGATCCGCCTGCACCAAATCAGCCTGCCTGTCTGTACTAGGTGAACCCTGTACTAGGTGAACCCTGTACTAGGTGAACCCTACACCAGCTGAGGTGGACCCGCAGCAGGTGAGGTTGAATGGTGCTGTTCACTCAATGCCCAGCTTCACAGTGCTTTGTTCCTGAACTCTCCTCTTCCTTCTTGTCCCGCGCATGTGATGTGGAGTGGCGGTGGCACGAGGCGCTGGTGGAGCCGTGCGTCCTTTGAGACGTCTCAAAAGTGAGCTACTGCTGCTGCTGCCCTCCCGCCCCTCCGCGCCTACCCTCTCTTCACCGACGCGCTCCTCTCCCACACTCTCTTCCCCCATGCCCTTCCCTCCCGTCCCTTGCCAGGTGAAGCGGCAATGGCATGAGACGCTGGTGGTGGTGTGCGCTCTGGAGCTGCTGCTGCTGCCCGACTCCCCCAACGGCCCTCGCCACTGCGTGCTGCGGGTGAGTAGCCCCTCGCCACTGCGTGCTGCGGGTGAGTAGCCCTCGCCACTGCGTGCTGCGGGTCAGTGAATCGTTGTACTTGGATCCTTCCATGCTGCGTGCTGCCTGCGAGTCAATAGTCAATAGTCAACAGTCCAAATGGGTCAGTGGCTCATGTCATCTCACAGTGTGTGCTGTGGGTCAGTAGACTGTCTTTCTTGGATCCTTTCATCACCTGCATTATGCACATTCTACCCCTTGCCTTATCACATTTCCCAACCCCTCCCTTCCGTCTCACCCATTTCCTGTTCCACCATCTGCTTGCTCCATTCCCACTTCTTCTCTCCCCATTCTCTTTGCCATCTCTCACTCACCTCTCCCCATCCTCATCCCCACCCCTCCTTATCCCTCCCCTTCACTCCCCATCCCTTCCTATTCCCCACCCCACCCCCTCCCCCCACCTCCCACCCTTCGTCCCCTCCCTTCCTCCCAGTGGATCCATAACATGCATCCAACACGCTTCACATTCTGAACGTGACCTCGATACCAACCACAGCGCCTTCCTCCCCCTCCTCATCTTCCCTTCCCCCCCTCCCCTTTCGTTGCCCCCTTTCTGTTCCCCCTCCCAGTGGATCCACGACATGCATCCAGCACTCTTCACCTTCTATGACGTGGACATGCACACCAACCACAGCGCCTTCCCCTCCACCCTCCCCATCTCCCCTCTCCTTCCCCATCCCTACCCACACCCCCTCGTTCCCCCTCCCAGTGGATCCACGACATGCATCCGACACTCTTCACCTTCTGTGACGTGGACTTGGACACCAACCACAGTGCCTTCCTCCCGCGCTTTCAAGACATTGTCGACCACCACCTCGCCACCTTCCAGTTTCACGATGTCTTCCTCGGGAACGCCGACAAGCGCCTGCTCTCGGTCTTCGAGGAGATTTACTTCGCGCGCTCTATTATCAACGGGATTGCTTGTGAAGGGGATGAGCGGGTTGTGCGGTCGGAGAGGGCGGGGCAATGGAGGAAGCGGTTGTTACTGATGGGGTTTGCACCGTGCACCATTCCGACGTCAGTGATAGACAGTGTACATAAGATGCTGAAACGGTTCCCGCTTGGGCTGGGGTTACAGATAGAGGATGGGATGGTGAGCTTGATGTGGCGGGGAAGCCGTTCCCTGTTCACATCGGCATGGATCCCGTGTATTGGCAAGTGAAACATAAACATGTTCTGATGTAATAGCTGGAATACATGTTTGAAGTAGATGCATCATCTGCATGTTTGAAGTGAACCCTAAAGCATGGAAGAACGAAGTTTTTACTGGTTGCCAAGCTCTGCTTCATGTGAATGCATCGTATGATTGAGAGGTCTTTGTCGGAGCACTTTACATCGAACTCCGACTCGCGAGAGATCCCAGAGACGTCAACCAACCTGCAATCTGTGCAGGGAGAAACTTCTCAACACGTTCGCCTGTATCTAGGTTCGGGCTGGGTGCCTCGCCACACCACGCCACCAGACTGCAGCCATGTCAGCCTCCAGACCTCTAGATTCGCGCACCGAGCCTTGATTGCTGGCCGGGCCTGCTGCCCAGCCGTGCCAATGTGGCAAGGCTCATTCACGAGGTGTGAGGTGTACAGCTGATGCTCACCCCATGCGCGCGAATTTGCCTTGCGCCGGATGGACACGCTGCACCCGAGGTTGTTTCCCCAGTTTCATGCACCCACATTACAAGCGCGTCAAGCAGAAGAGACCGAAGTCAAGCAGAAGAGACTGAAGTCAAACTAGGTAACTAGGTAGCAGGGTCTTGTTTATAAGCACATGCGAATTCTTTTTAGCTAGCTGCGAAGTTGACGAACTTATGCGAAACGCTTGATACAGCTTATATGCCCCCTTCACAAGGCAACCGGGAGGGGCTCAAACAGGCATCAGGAGTATCACAGAATCAGGCGACGTCAGCAATACTGCAATTTGTGCAGGGAGAAATTTCCTCACAAGTTCGCTCGCATCTAGGTTCGGCATGGGCGCTCGGCATGCCACCACAGCAGAGTCAGCCATGTCAGCGAACCACACACAGGCTTGTTTGCCATTGCTGGCGTCATGCTTGTGGCCCACTCGTGTCAACGTGGCACCAAACCTCGTGATGGTTCAGATTCGCAATCAGCGTGGTGAATCCTCCTCGATAATATTTAGTGTGAAGGTTTGCTTTGCCCACAACACAGGTCATGCGGGAATGATAGGTCATGAGGCCGAAGAGGAATCTGCCTGACGAGGAAGGCCTCCAAGAAACTCCTGGAATTCCATCTTATCCCATTGCTCGCCACATATATAATCATCCAAATATGCTTCCTGCATCACCATTCTCCGGTTGTCTAGACGCTCGTTCGCTCGATCCACCTTCAGCTTCCTTTCCTTTCGGATACTCCCGACGACGTACCAGCTGTTCGCAATGGCCGCCGAAGTCGGAGAGGGTAACTGCATCGGCTATGCCGCCAGGGATCAGTCGGGATTCCTTTCGCCCTTCAAGTTCAACCGCAGGTTCGCCTCTCTTTATTCATATCTTTCCCGCGTTTCCGCCAAATCCGTGCCTTGTGTCTGAAGTCCATTTCTCTTACCACCTACCGGATCCTGGAATTAAGAAAAACTTAGTGGAACGGCGTAAGTTCCGTGCCATTGATTCGTACACGCATTCGTATCACGCATTGCGTTCGCCTTTGAGAAACTCAAAGCTTCTTTGTGTTATGTTCTGTCGCGCGTAGGGAGGTGGGGCCCAAGGACGTGCGCATCCGCATCACGCACTGCGGCATCTGCCACAGCGACCTGCACCAGGTCAAGAACGAATGGGGCGGCTCGCAGTACCCCATGGTTCCAGGGTACGTCCGCTTCGTCTCTTCCTCTTCTTCTCTCCTTCTTTCTCTCCCATGTTAAGAAAGCTCTTTACTTCTCTCTCCCTCGTTCCCTGGTTTTCATCTTTCTCCTCTGGAATAGTCTGTTCCCTGCATGCTGGCCTTTTTTAACCCGGCACCGCTCTCTCCCCCTCGTTTTCTTTTTCGCGACAGACACGAGATCGCGGGGGTGGTTGAGGCTGTGGGCTCCGAGGTGACGAGGGTGGCGGTGGGGCAGAGGGCGGGCATCGGGTGCATGGTGGACTCGTGCCGCACGTGCCAGCCATGCGTGCAGCACGTGGAACAGTTCTGCCCGCAATGCGTGTACACGTACAACAAGGTGGACCCCAAGACGGGCGAGTCAACGCAGGGCGGCTACTCCTCCTTCTACGTCTGCGACCAGGAGTACGTCTCTTCGGATCCACTCGCGGCCTTCGCGATTTTGACGGGCGTTTCCCGCCCTTGCCGCTCCAGCTATTCGCGTCAAATGCACGAAGCTCACAAACTCGTCTGCTATCTTACTTTGCGAGACTAGCTTCCTGACAGTTCCTCGCGTGCCCCTCCCCCGCCCCAACTCCCACTACTTTCCGCGACACCCACAGCTTCGTGCTGACAATCCCCGACAAGCTGCCGTCCGACGTGGCGGCGCCGCTGCTGTGCGCGGGAATCACTGTCTACTCGCCCATGGTCTACTACGGCATCAACCAGGCCGGCAAGCGGTTGGGAGTGGTGGGGCTGGGCGGGCTGGGGCACATGGCGGTGAAATTCGGCAAGGCGTTTGGCATGCACGTGACGGTGCTGAGCACGAGTCCGAGCAAGGAGAAGGAGGCCAAGGAGGTGATGTGTGCGGATGAGTTCATTGTCACCAAGGACGCCGACGCCATGAAGGTGAGAGCCGACACCATGAAGGTGAGAGAAGGTGGATTTGAGGTCTTATGGGGGTGACAGAGTGGGGAACATTTGAACCGAGTGTACTAGATGTTACATTTTCGTTTTTTTGTTGGCCCTGTGGATTTGCTGAAAATTAGTTTGCCTGCGGCACTCTTTCCACCACCAACAGGCAGCAGTGGGGACATTGGATGCCATAGTGGACACAGTATCAGCGCAGCATGACCTGGCACCATACCTGGACCTCCTCACATTCAATGGCAAGATGATCCTTGTTGGCGTCCCCCCAGAGCCCTACGGTCTGCATGCTGGCCAACTCATTTTCGGTGAGTCATGTTTGTCCATGCTGGAATCAATTTCTTGATTTTGAAATAGAGATGCCTTGTTAATTCCAAGCAAGGGCTGTAAACTCGTGTAATGCTGATTTTCCCATTGTGCTGTGGTTGTGACTCATGTATTGGTGATTGCTTATCATTTTGAACTTCCCCCTTGCTACTTACAGGCCGTAAGACTGTGGCTGGAAGTTTGATTGGAGGGATCAAGGAGACCCAGGAGATGCTGGAGTTCTGTGCGGAGAAGGGGGTTGCGCCTATGATTGAGAAGATTGACATCCAGGACGTGAACAAGGCGTATGAGAGAATGTTGAAGAACGATGTGAAATACCGCTTCGTTATTGAGATAGAGAAGAGCCTCAAGTAAAAACTTGATTAGCACAAATTTGTGAAATCTTGATTTTGCAGCTTGAAGCTGAGCGTTTATTTCTTTACTGTGAAGGAAAAATAACATATTCTTTATAGCTTTGCCAATCATTACACCCATTATTCAAAATCAGTGGATATTGAAGATATTTGGATTTTTTTGCAAACACTTACTGTATGTATTCGAAGCACCGGATACCAAAAAGGCCGTCGTTACCGTGTTGACGAGTACCGAAGCAAGAGCACCACACTCGTCTCTCGCTACCGCACTCCACCACTCCCAGCAAGTTGCGCATTCCCGCCCGCGCGTATCAACCCACCAACTTTGTCCTCCCCGCGTGACCCCTGTCACCCTCGACTCACCCAAACCACCGCATCCCCCGACCGCCAAGTCGCGACAATATCGATGGGGATTATAGCCGAGATAGATGGGTCGCCATGCATCATGCTGCTTGCGTCGACTAGCGATTGCCCCGTGCCTGCTTGATTGCTTGTTTGCTTGATCCGCTTTGCTTTCTTGCCATTCCCATGATCCCATCCCTTTCCCCTCACGAGCCACGATTCACGCCGCCTGCAGCTTAGGTCTTGACAGCAATTGACGGCAGTAAGTCTACTCTTCCACTCAGAACGCGAGTTGCTGCGAGCATTGTTCCAAATCGCAGTTCCATCTCTCATCGCGTGCAGCACATCGCTCCTCGTCGCCTCCACCTTCCCGTTTGCTAAGTACCCTCCATTCCTTCTTTACCTTCCATTTTAGCTTGCTCACGCTCTTCAAGCTAATAGTTTTCAGTTTTAGTAAACTTCCTGCGTCCCGTGTGCGCGCTACGCTCGACATTGTGCCGCGTCAGTCGCCGTTTCTTACGGAGCACGTCACCGATTCTCCTGCGTCCCCGCGCCCACTAATATGTTCTGTTGCTTCTGTCGCTCGCGAGCCGCGGACGATGACGACGACTACGCCACGTCACTCCCCCCCGCTCCCGCGAACCGCAAGCACGCCGCGCCAACCGCGACCGGAGCATCCGCGGGCGTGCACGAGTTCGCGAGCCAGATGGCGGCGGCGGACGACCGCGTCGCCATGTCGTCCGTCGCCGTGCTTCACGCCGCGCAGATCCGCAGCATCCGTTCCGAGAATGCCGGCGACGCGAGGCCCGTCGGCACGCCGCCGAGTCGCGGCGGGAGTCGCGGAGCGACCCCGCGCGAGTCGCAGCGGTCGCCGGGTGTCGCCGGCGATTGGAATCGGAGTTATCAAGGCCAGTCCACTCCGGGGGCAGCGTCCGGTGCGGGGTTTGGATCGAATGCTGCCGCGGTGGGAAGCGGAGTTAGCGGGAGCGGTTTTTGCGGGGCCGGTGGGGTCCATAGCATGTCGGAGCCTCGAATCGCGACACCTGGAGCTACAGGAGACAAACTACCGCTGTCGCCTTTATCGGGTATGCTTATAACGGGCCAGGCGCAAGGTCACAGTTACAGCCCCGCACAGGGGGTTCATCATCACGCGCAGTATGCGCATCAGGGGGAGAGCGGGAGGGTGGGCGGGGGCGCAAGCGGAGGTATTGGCGCAGGCGGAGGTATTGGCGCAGGCGGAGGCGGAGGCGGCGCAGGGGGAGCGGGTGGCGCAGTTACGATGGCGAGCGGACCTGGGACGCAGCGCCCCGTGCCAATGGCGTCGAGCGCGGCCGCGTCTGCGCCGGGTCGCGCGCGGATACTCGCGTGGCTTCAGGAGTCAGAGTTTAACTACGCGATAGTTGACGAGGTGGACAACTCTCCTACGAAGCTTCCTCCTTCAACCGGTAAAGGGTCAAGCAGCGCCGCCGGTGATAGCGACGCTGTGACTGTAGGCGGAGGTGACAGCAGCGGGGGCACGAACAGCACGAGAGAAGGCAGCCACGACCCTTTTAGACCCGCACTCTCCAACCCTGACGAACCCGCTATAGAGAAACTCGGTTCGTTTTTATCGAGCCTGCTAAACGGGTGCTATGATGACGCCAGCAGCCCCGCGCCGCCCCCGCAGCCGGGCAGCAGCAATCAGCCGTTCGATCCGTTCGCTAGTTCTAGTAACGCGGGGTCGTGGCGCAGAGAGACCGCAGTTGTGACTCTACCGGGGTCCAGAAAGGACCTGCCTCCTGCCGCACCGACATTTGGCTCGAACACAGCAGCATTAGGAGGGGGGAGAGGGGGAGGGGGAGTCGGGGGGATTGCGGGAGGTAGAGCAGGAGGAGCAGGAGCAGGAGCAGCGCGAGCAGCAGCAGGAGATGTAGGAGGCACGGGCGTCGGGCGTTTAGGTGCTGCTGTGGGTTCTCTAGCTGCTCCCGCTGCTGCCGCTTCTTCTGCTGCTGCTGCTCGTGATAACAGTGCTGGCGTTGCTGCTGCTGCTGCCCCCTCTCCTTCCCCTCCTGCCGCCGCTGCTGCTGGCGCTGCAACGCGCAATCCCTCTGCAGTGCGCACGTGGAAAGACAGCGCTGACGCTACCTTGCTGAGCGCTAAGTTTCACTCGCAGGCTCGGGTTGCCGGGCCTACAGGCTTGGGAGCAGGCTCGGGAGCCGCGCTGTCCCCTGCTGCTGCCGCGGCTGCAGCGGCTGCCACGGCGGCGGCTGCTGCAGCAACGATGGCGGGCGCGGGCGCGGATGCGCGTATGGGCGCATCGGAGCCCTGTGCGCGCAGCTCTGCGCCAGCTGCCGCAGAAGCGAGAGAATTATCACCATCACCAGCAGTAGCAGGTGAAACTGTAGCTGTCGCAGCTGCAGCAGCAGACATAGGGGTTCTAGCAACAGCAGAAGCACTGGTGGCAAAGGGGGGGGAATTAGCTTTGGGTTCAGGCACAAGGGGAGGGGCTTCAGCGGCAGGTAGGGCAGAAGCAAGCGCAGAAGCAGAAGGGGCTCTTGCAGGTGCTGCATTAGCAGACACTCGTGCAGCAGCTGAGGCTGCAACCACAGGAACATGCGGGGCAACTGGTGCTTATGGTGCCAATGGTGCTGATGGTATTGATGGTGGGATTGGTGGCACGGATTGCACAGGCGGTGTTGATGCTGCGGTTGGTGCTGGTGGGACAGATGGCATAGGTGATGCAGGTGCGGCAGTGGGGCGAGGGCGAGAGCGGGAGAGGGAGGGTCTGCTGGTGCAGGCACTGACCAATCAGATGCGGCAGAACGGGGGAGAGGGGGAGGGGGGTGACGGCAGGGCGAGGGGGAGAAGAAACGGGGAGGGGGGACCGCTCGCACAGGAGCCAGCAGGGAGAGAGGCAGAGAGTGCAGGGGAGCAGGAGTGGCGGGGTGTGAGCATGAGGGAGGGCCGAGGAGGGGGAGAGAGCGAGCTGGTGAGTCGGTCAGTGACTGAGGCGTCAGCTGGGGATCTATCGGCCGTGGCCAGCAATATTGGAGTCACTTTTGAAAACTCCCAAAAGTGACTGCGAATTATTAGCAGTTGCCAGCACAGGCGCAGGGCTTGGGGGGGGGGGGGGGTGGGGGGGGGTTAGGGGGGGGTGGGGTTTTGTGTTATTGAGGCGCCTTAGAAGTGAATGCAGCTGGGGGGTGTGTATTCTGTGGGCATCATCGGGGCAGGGCTGGGTGGAGGGAATAGGGAGGGGCAAATGGGGCGGCCACAGGAGTGCAGGCGCAGCAGCAGGTGCAGACCTGCCTGTGCTTGCCCAGAGTCGTCTCGAGAGGTATTATGTTTCGGTAGGATGCGGTACGGTGGGGTTGTGTGGGGCACACTGACAGTGGCAGTGGGAGGTGGGCCGGCTGAGAGGGGAATGAGAGGGAATGGTGAGCCCTGAGATGCCTGGAAACATGGCAGCACTTGTTCACAATCTAAGTAATGTGAAGATGTGATGCTTGAGTCAAATCACAAGTCATCCACCCGTGCTCTGAGCAGGCCCCCAGAAGTCAGAGAAATTTCTCTGATTTGCCTAAAAAACTCTTATATTCAGCTTTTTTTTTAAGTGAACTCTTAAAGTTCAGCGTTTTTTTTGCTGTGAACTCTGAATATTCAGAAAAACGTAAAAACGTTAAAATCTATGCCTTGTCTGATATTTCAGACTTTTCTAAGAGTGTACTCTGATCCCAAGAGCGTTTTAGCGGGTACCTACTGACCTGACAGCCGCGATTAGCGCTGGAAGTACAAATTTGTCGTGTCAGTCACACTGAAACAGTGACAACAGTGCTGCGGCGAGGTTATCATACCGTTCTAGGCTGATCAATCAGCTTCACTACTGATGTGAACTTTGGTTTATCAGACTTTTATACGATTGAACTCTGAAATTTCGTATTTTTTTGTGTATCAAGTCTGATTGATCAGACTAAAAATGTGTACTACGGTAAGTCTGACGAATCAGACAGCCCAAAAACGAGTCTGAGGGCCTGGCTCTGAGTCGTCTCAGTTGTCTCTGTTACGAATAGTAATACTTGAATATTACTGTGCACTCCTCACCGCAGCAAAGAGAAGCACGCAGTATCGCGAATGAACGCGAAGCGTCAGACGGTTGGAATCGACTCGAAGCGTCAGACAGTTGGGACGCATCTGGACCGTCGGAGCAGACAGCATCAGGCAGCTGCAGGCAGCATGGTTTCAGCGGGAACAGTTTCGTAATTGTTCGCGCCGCACGGTTGGGAATGTATTTGAATAAGGGAATGTATCCCTTAGAGTACATGGCTAGCTAGGTCGTTTCATCTCCCATGTACTCATATAGGTATATATTTGTTGTATTTGCATGTTTTAAATTATCTCAAATCATTTTACATTCACTCTGCTATTGAAGTCAAGGGCCCACCAACATCACCTCTCTGCGTGCGAACCTTCCTGAGTAGATCCTAGGCCATGATCAACTTCTGATCGCAGCATGGTATGAGAGCGGCTCAGAAATCCTTCGCACTGCCACTCCTGAAAATTACGACATTCGGAAAGTGGCGTCCGGCATACGCTCGCGTGTGAGAATGGCCGGAGGATCTGGTGGTCAGACGAATCTGACGGCTGAAGCGCAGCCCAACCCGGCTGCAACAAGCGAGGAAACGACGACGATCCCTTCCGCCGTCCTCGCACAACTGCTTCAGCCACTCACGAGCCTGGAGCAAGGACTCCAAACATTGCGGAATGGCGACGCGGGAACCTCTTCCCAACCCACTCAACCGGCGTCAAACGGCCAAAACTCCGCCTCGCAAGGCTTCTCCCTAGATACGAATGGCTCAACCCCCAAGACTCCCTGTCCTAGCGATGAAGCAATTCTCTCCGCGCAATCAAGGTTTTTGAGCATATAAAAAATAAAGACAAGTGTGTGCTTTGACGGCAGAGACTTTTACACCTGGAGCTTCGAGCTGGAGCTGCTGCTGCAAAACGCGCATATTTATCATTATTTCGACGGGAGCTAGTCGGGACCTGCTGAGGACACCGACTGAGAAAATGAACGAGAATGAATTGACTAAGGGAAAGTTGGGTACAAGTACAAACCCTAGAAAGTCGTACCCTATATGTGCTACCCCACTATAGCCTACAACAGCTATGTCATATAAATCTGAAACCGACGACGCCAGGACTCGCTACTATAACGAGTCCCTGATGGCGTACGGGATTCTTCTGCATAACATGTCGCCGGCGGAGCAGCTGAACTTTCGTTCATTTAAGACATCGGCTGCCCCAGCCCTCGACGCTTGCGGCCACCAGAACGGCGTGTATCAGCCCAAGGACTCCGTCTCCTCGAGCCGACTACTCCAACAACCGCTGGAAACTAAGATGACCTCAGGGGAGAAGGTCAACAGCTACATCAACCGCTGTCGGAGCCTTCGCAATCAAATCGTGAAGTTGGGAAGCTCGATTTCCGAGGAAATCTTCGTGAACATTGTGCTTCAAGGGCTTGGCCCAGAGTGGCGGCCTTGCAAGGCGCTCCTCCGACAGCAGGGGGTCATCTCGGAGGCCGCCCTTTGCGCCGCCCTTCTCGTCCAACAACGAGATATGGATCAGCAGCGACCAGCGCCACGACGAGAACGCGAACGGCTCGCCTTCTACGCCGACAACAATGAAGAGCGTCGACCGCGGCGCCTCTACTGCAAAATCTGCATAAACTTCGGGCATTTGGCGGATCAATGTAAGTTCCGATCTCGCCCTCGCCAGACCAATCTGAGCAACTGGTCCGGCCGACAAGACGCACGAGGCGACGTGCGTCCAGCTCAAGGGTATCAACCCCCACCCGCGCGCAATCTGAACTCAATCGTTCAGTATCAGCAGCAGCAGCCATCAACTGCCCCTACGCGCAACGTCATGAGCAACATGGCCATGATAGGCGAGTCACGTCGTCGCCGTGTTCGCTCACCCTCACCTGAGCCAGCACCGCACCCCATCGGCGCGTTCACCAACAACAACCCGTTCAGCCCGCGCCGCGACTTCAACGACGACGACGACCAGGACTGGAACCTCCCAGTCCCGTTGCTTGAAAGTCCCCCGCACATACCAGACATGCGGGTGGCGCCACTTGATTGGCTCTCGCGCGAGCAATTTCTGAAGTTCGACACCCCGCACATCGTCACACCGCGATTCGCACTGCTCGCACGTGACGACAACAAGCGCTACAACACCTGGTACCTGGACAGCTGCTACGGCCAGCATATGGTGGGCTCCGAGCGTTACATATCCAACACCGTCCCCACCCCTACAGTCACTTACGTCATTGTGGCGAACAACACGCGCCTACGCGCAAGCGCACAAGGCATTGTCGTGCTCAAAGCACGTGGAAGCCGCACGCACATCACGCTTAACGATGTGCTGATCGTCGCGAACCTGCGCTTCAACCTCCTGTCCGCCGCACAGCTCATGGACTGCGGCGTTGACCTCAGCACAGATCACGCGACGCAAGACATCCTGCTGCACTACGAATCGTGCAAATTTCCCCGCAGGCAGATCGGGCGAGCGCACTCCGAAAATGGAGTGTATGTCCTAGATTTCGACATTCCCGACTGCAGCGGCGACTCGTATGAGTTGATTGATCTTGTGCCACTGCGCTTCGAGCACATCCACCGCAGGGATTGGAAGCACCCTGACGGCAGACCGTGGGTGCCGCATCATCCCCACCCACGCAAAACGGCGTTACACAACCCCGATCCAGATGGCATGCGCAGGGATTGTTACACGCCGACGACATCAACGAGCGCGATTGCCGGCCGCGGACTCGCCGCCATCGCTGAAGCAGAGCGCCACGCGCCCCCAAAGGAAGGGATGTCGCAGCTCGAGCTTGAAGTTACTACCCACGGCATTTTCGGCATGCCAGAGCATCCCCTCATCGGTCCCCCCTCACAGCACCTTCAAGGCATGCTGTGAGGATCTAGGATCGAGTTCAGAAAAGAGAATGAGAATTGAGTCGAATTGAATTGAATTGAATGTCCACCTGGGTACAACACGAGGCTATATATAGGCTCGACACAAGACCCCGTAACCAGGTGTTACGCGAAGGTTCTGCGGGTCGCGAAGCGTCCCGAACAGATCCTTACCAAATTCGGTAGAAGGCAATTCGGTGGCAACCGAAAAGCCAGAATTCGGTGCACGCAACCTAGCTCGGTGCTATAACTAAAATAAAATATAGGAAAGCACCTAGCCTAGGAAATCAAGCTATTCATGCATGCATATGATTATCCTATGCTAGAAATAGCATGATAAAGTAGAGGCAAGCAAGCATAGCTGGCATAAGCCGTCGTACTCTCACACGTCCCCCCCTCAAAGCTGGGTGGCGTGAGATACACCCTGCTTGACAAGATAGTCCTTGAGAGCACGGCGTGCGTTGCCCATATCAGCTTCTGCAACCCAACTGTCCTCAGTGGGGTCGTATCCCTTCCAGCGTATCAGGAACTCGAGGGTCTTGCCGCCGCGGCGCCGATGACTGAGGACGCGCTCGATCTCGTACTCGAGAACAGGTGGAGGTGGCGGTAGCTGCTGTCCCTTGAACTGTTGGTTGGGGTCCTTGTAGGGTTTCAGTAGCTGCACATGGAAAGCATTGTGAAGCTTCCACGTATCTGGTAGGCGCAAGCGGAATGTAACTGGTGTCACCTGTGCCTCAACGAGAAAAGGACCACAGAAGCGAGGCCGGAGTTTGGATGGAAGGTGAGACAGGTTCAAGTTGCGCGTGTCAAGAAGCACCTGATCTCCGACTGCTACTGAGTGATCATGTCGCTGACGATCGGCATACTGCTTCTAGGAGTTCTGCATCATGGTGAGACGTCGCTAAGTCTTCTCCCATAGCTGCTGCATGGTGGTGACGAAGTCATGTGCGGCTTGGACGTGTGCCGGTGTAGTTGGCTGCTGTGGTGTGAGTGGTTCCCGTCCGTAACACAGGAAGAAAGGAGTTTTCCCTGTGGCCGCATGTGATGCGTTGTTGTAAGCGAACTCTAGGGTTGGTAACTGTGTGTCCCAGTGGCTGACGTCGTCCTTGCAAGCTGTGCGCAGTAACTGTTCAACCACTTGATTGAGTCGCTCTGTCTGTCTGTCAGTCTGGCGGTGGTATGCTGAAGACATTGCAAGCTTTGTCCCCAACAGTCCCATGAGCTCCTTCCAGAACTTACTCGTGAATTTGGGGTCTCTGTCTGAGATGAGTGTAGCGGGGATGCCGTGGATGGTGATGATGCGGTCGAAGAAGAGTCGAGCAGTTGTTTCAGCTGTAGCTGTGGCGTTGGTCGGTATGAAGTGACCCATTTTGGAGAACTTATCGATCACCACGAGGATGGAATCATGTCCCCGTGAGGTCGAAGGAAGCCCTGCCAATGAAGTCGAGGCTAACGACCTGCCATGGCTGCTCCGGTACGGGTAGAGGCTGAAGTAACCCTGCTTTTTTTTGCTTGCTGCTCTTCATCCGCTGGCACGTGTCGCAAGAGGTGACGAACTGCTGCACGTCTGCTGCCATCCCGGGCCAGTAGTAATACTTCGCTATCCCTGCTAACGTCTTGTTGCTCCCGAAATGTCCCGCGTAAGGTACGTCGTGAAACTCCTCCAATAGGATCTGCCGTAGCGGGGCGTAATTCGGTACCCAAATCTTTCTTGAACCCTTCCTTACAGCTAAGTCTTTCTCCCACTGTAATAGCTTCTTGGTCTGTGCTGTAGCAATCTCTGCGTCCACGGAGTACCCATGTTGGAATAGACCCTTGAGCAGAGGGTTCATCCCGTCGAGCTGGATGCCTGCTACATGTCCGGGGCGGCTCAACGCGTCTGCCTTGTTGTGTAGCCCGGGCTTGTAGACGATGTCGTAGTGGAAGTGAGTTTCCAGGAAGTCCACCCACTGCACCTGTCGTCGTGAGAGTGTCGGCTGTGACTTCAGGTATTTGAGACTGCAGTGGTCAGTATAGACTGTAGTCTTGGCTCCCTCTAGGTAACACCTCCACGCCTTGAAGGCTATGACTATCGCTAAGGCATCATTGTCGTGAATGAGGTAGTTTAGTTCTGCTCCGTGTAGCTTTTTACTGAGGTAGGCGATGGGCTGCAAACCGCGTCCGTGATCCTGCATCAGTACTGCTCCGACAGCTTGGTCACTAGCGTCTGCTTCCACCACGTAGTCCTTGTCTGGATCCGGCAAGATGAGTACTGGCGCTGTAGTCAGTGCTGTCTGTAGCTGCTCCATGGCTTGCTGATGAAGGGTATCCCATTTGTAGGGCGTATCCTTTTTCAGTAGGTCGGTCAGTGGCGCTGCTATCTTAGCGTACTGCGGCACGAACCTGTTGTAGTAGTTGGCGAAGCCTAGGAACTGCTGTAACTCCTTCACGTTCTCTGGTACTTTCCACTTCTTGACGGCTTCGAGCTTCCGTGGGTCCACGTGTACGCCCTCGGCACTCACCATGTGCCCGAGAAACTGCACCTTCTTCAGGGCGCAGTTGCTCTTTGGCAGCTTCACGTAGAACTTGTTTTTCCGTAGGATCTCGAACACCTTCCGCAGATGCTCCACGTGCTCTTTCATGTTCTTGGAGTAGATGAGAATGCCGTCCAGGTATACCACCACGCATTCGTCCAGCAGGGGTCGTAAGATGTGATTCATCTCCGCCTGAAACGTTGCTGGTGCGTTGCAGAGTCCGAACGGCATCACCAAGTATTTGTAGGAGCTGTATCTAGTACGGAACGCTGTCTTGTGGACGGAGTTGTCTGCCATCTTGATCTACCGGTAGCCCGATCGTAGGTCCAGCTTTGAAAATACTGTTGCTCCACGCAGTTGATCGAGTAGGTCGTCTATGCGCGGTATGGGATATTTGTTTTTGACTGTCTGTTTGTTCAGTGCGCGGTAGTCGATGCACATCCGTAGACTACCGTCTGGTTTTGGAGTGAAGAGAACTGGTGCGCCGTAGGGAGAGGTGGATGGGCGGATCAGTTGTCTGTCCAGTAGATACTCTATCTGTTTTTTCATGTCTGTCAGTTCAGTCGGACTCACGACAAAGCCTACGAGGCGTTTCGCCTCTCGGTGGCGCATGCAGAGCGACAGTCTGGGAAGAAGCTAAAAATCTGGCAATCTGACGGTGCGGCGGAATTCAGGAGCAACCAGATGCAAACCTACCTCACGCAAGAGGGAATCGAGCACCACATTTCTCTCCCCTACGCGCACTAGCAACAGGGTGTGAGAATCAATGAACAGGAATGAAAATGACTAAGTCAGAGTTGGGTACAAATACAACCCTAGAAAGCTGTACCCCATATGTGCTACCCCACTATAGCCTACAAACATGCATCAGCTATGATAATCGGACACACCCCCATAGGCAAAGTGGGGGAGAACAAGGGGTCACAAGACCAGTCAAGCAAAGCAAAGCAAAGCTCAGGGTGGATCACAAAGTCACCACACAGTCCGAGCACAAGAGCAGGGCCAGAGGCCAGTTCACATGCAGGAGTACAGACATATATATAAAACTAGACAAGCAAGAGCAGGTATATATATATATGTCACAGTACAAGTGAAGTCAAGAGGAGAGCAAGTGAGGCAAGACAGGCACAAGACCCAGCTGGGTGCAAAAGCGCTGATGGTCACAAGGCGCGAGTGCCTTGGTGAACACATCAGCAGTGTTGGCCTCAGAGGCCACGTACGCAAGTCACAACTGACCACGCTGCTGCAGCTCACGAGCAAGGAAGTAGCGGAGAGCAATGTGCTTCGTTCTGTGCTCCAAGCGCTGCTCTCGACACAAGGCCAGCATGGCCTTGTTGTCTACGTACAGCACTGGAGGAGAACGAGGCGGCTCTCCAAGGTCAGTCAGCAGGTAGGTGAGCCAGCGAAGCTCCTGTGCCGCCATGGCCCCGGCGTAGATCTCAGCCTCACAACTGGAGCCGAGAACCGAAGACGAGCGAGTAGACCGCCACGAGACAGAGCCGGAACCAAGGCTGAAGGTGTAACCCTGTGACGACCGCTGCGTAGCCTGGTCGTCAGCCCAAGAAGCGTCCGCGTGGCCGGTAAGGACCACTGGACTCCGCCCTCCAAGCACTAGCCCCATGCCCGACGTACTGCACAGGTAGCGCAATACCCTCTTCGCTGCAGCCATGTGCTCTGGTCTGTGTCTCCCAGGAGCAACATAGCGTGCAAGAATGCTCAGAGGGTATGCAAGGTCAGGTCGTGTGCAGGTCATCAGGTACATGAGGCAGCCAACAAGCTCTACATACGAACAACTCGACTCTACGGACTCATCCGAAGGCAGAGCTGAGAGTGAGTGGCGAGTAGGCAGAGGAGTGGCCTGAGGCGAGGAGTACGTGAAGCCGAAGCGCTGAAGGACCTGCTGCACCATGTGTGACTGAGTCAAGGTAATGGTGCGGCGTGCTCTGTCCCGAGTGATCTGCAAGCCAAGGTAGCTGCGCAGTTCACCCAGGTCTGTGCACGTGTGTCTCTTCAGCAGCTCGGACTTCACGTAGGCGAGTCCAGCAGTGTCCGCTGTGGCAAAGACCAAGTCGTCGACGTACACGAGGATGTAGAACGGCGGCAGGGAAGTGTCGGTGCGAAGAAACAGCGACGGGTCAGCAGTAGAAGGAGCAAACCCAAGGGCCGCAAGCGTAGTCCTCAGTGTGTCGTGCCACTCACGCGGTGCCTGGCGGAGACCGTAGACTGGCCGTCGGAGGCTCCACTGGGTGCCAGGAGGGAAAGTCCCAGTGAAGTCAGGTGGACGGCGAAGCCAGATCTCCTCGTGCAGGCTACCCTGCAAGAACGCAGTGCTGAAGTCGAGAGAGTGAAGCTCGTAGTCGCGCTGAGCGGCTATGTGCAGCAGCACCCGAAGAGTAGTCATCTTCGGGGTGGGAGAGAAGGTCTGAAAGTAGTCAACTCCCTGCCGCTGACTGAAGCCACGAGCAACGTACCGTGCCTTGAAGACAGGTGGAGAGCCCGGCGGCCGCTTCACCCTGAAGATCCACATGCCACTGACGATGTTCGCTCCAGGAGGGGGAACCGCGTCAACGTAGGTGCCTGTGGACTTCCAGGAAGCCATCTCTGCATCCATAGCTGCCTGCCACTGAGAGGAGTAGGGACCCTCTACGGCCTCCGCGTAAGAACGCGGAGTCGGGATGTCTAGTGCATCCGGGTCTCCCTCAGGGGCAAGCAGTACAGACGCGAGATGAGGTGAAGCAGCCGCTAGACACTGTAACTCCTCCTGCCTGTCCTCTAGGACGTCCGTGCCAAGAGCACACTCACCCCCGACGGACGGAGGACAGACAGACGCAGACTCAGCAACAAGACTAGCAGCGTTGCCGAGACGACAGCGAGCAGCAAAGTCGACGAGCTCAGCGACTAGAGCAGATGCAGCAGTGGACTCAAAAGAGGGGTCAGTGACGACAGTAGCAAGCAGACGCGTGACAGTAGGACTGGCAGCACGAAGAGAGTCCGACTCAGGGTCGGCAAGCGCAGGAAGAGAGGACTCAGGAGGAGAAGGCAAAGGGGCACGCAGAGGAGCAGTGGAAGGACGCAGAGACATCCGGTGCGTGCCAGGGACAGGAGGAGGACGCTGACGCGAACTGCGACCACTAGCGCGAGCAGCACGAACAGGCGACGCGGGACGAGACGCAGGCTCACGACGCTCAGCAAGACCTCCAGTAGGACCAGTGTAAGGAGAGGGAGCAGGCAGTGGAGAGGAAGGCTCCAGCAGGGACTGCGACTGGACAGGCGGTGGACCCTCTACTGGAGGAGAAAGACCAAGAACCTGCTGCAGGAGCGGAACGAAGTACGGCCGAGGCCGCGCGGCAGCTCCAGACTCAGCAGGGACAGCACCAGCACCCTCAGCGACAGCACCAGCGCCACCCACACCTCCAGCGGCAGGACCAACAGCAGTAGGCTCAGCACCAACGCCCTCAGCAGCTCCAGCTCCAGGAGGACCCGCAGGTCCAGCAGCTCCGAGACCAGCAGCACCCGCATCCTCGACGGTCGAAGAAGCTCCAGCTCCAGCTCCAGCAGCACCTCCAGACTCAGCAGCACGCCTCCAGCGGCGAGCGAACCACTCGCGCAGCTCCTGTGGAGAGAGGGGCTCCCGGCGAGACGCAGCAGCAGGAGAAGCCCCAGGCTCAGCAGCTCCAGACGCAGCACCCCCAGGCTCAGCAGCTCCCAGCTCAGCACCCCCAGGCTCAGCAGCTCCCGACCCAGCACCCCCTGACCCAGCACCTCCAGGCACAGCACCCCCCGGCTCAGCACCCCCAGGCTCCGCACCCTCCGCAGTAGCACCCTCAGGCCCAGCACCCCCAGCAGTAGCACCCCCAGGCTCAGCACCCCCGCGCACAGCACCCCCAGAGTCAGCACCCCCAGGCTCAGCACCCGCAGCAGCACCAGAGTCACCAGTAACTTCGACCGGGTCAACGGCGTCTACCTGGGACACACCTGAGGGGGCAGGAACCTGAGGGGGGAGGGGGTCTACCGGGGGGGGAACCGGCACAAGGAAGTCCGGGGGAGGGGGGAGGGAAGGAGTGCGGTAGGGGAAGAGATGGTAGAAGGGGACTGACTCGTCGAACGTGACGTCCTGGGAGGACAGAACACGACGAGAGGAGGGGTGGTAAAACTGCCACCCTGGGGCGTCAGTGGGGAAGCCAAGGAAGACACAGGGAGTAGCACGAGGGGACAGCTTGTCCGCAGACAAGTCGCGGACAAACGCCCGAGATCCCCAGACACGGAACACAGACGCATCGCCAACCTTCCCCGTCCACAGCAAGGCTGGGGACATCGCAGGCCGAGAGACCCGGGGGTGAAGGTTGAGCTGATGCGCCGCGTACCTAACCGCAAACGGCCACAGAAAATGGGGGGCAGCCGCATGCATCATGGACGTACGAGCGACATCCATGACCATGCCAATGCGGCGCTCAGCAATCCCATTTTGCTGTGGTGAGTCCGGAAGCGTGAAGGTCTGGCGGATCCCCCGTGCACGACAGTAGTCTCGCAGAAGGCGAGAAGAGAACTCTCCGCCTCTGTCCGAGTGCAGACGCAGAACAGGAAAGCCCGAGCCGAAGCTCTTCCTGAGCTGGAGACGAGCCTCGCGGATCCAGTCGATCAGCACCTCAGTGACCGCACCCTTGCTGCGCAAGGGGAGGACTGTGGTGTAACGCGAGTAGTCGTCAACCACCAACAGGAAGTAGCGCTCGTGACCCTGCCCACGGACGGGGGCTGGGCCCCACACATCCATGTGAAGCGTCTGCAGGGGAGCCTCTGTCGGGGGGAAGTGAGAGGAGTGAGGAGTAGCCCGGAGGCGACCCTCGACACAGGGGACACAGGAAGGTCCTGGCCCGGAGGGGAGAGGAGGGAGAGACTGGGGAAGACCAGAGACAAGGACACGGGAAGCCATGCTCCGAAGACGGGGCAAGGAGGGGTGGCCAAGACGGTGGTGCCACAGGAGAGTTTCGTGAGACAGGAGGCGACAAGAACAGGGGGCAAACTCAGGACCTGACCGGGACGCAGCAGCAAGCACCTGACCTTACGCAGCCACCTGACCAGACGCAGGGACAGGAGGAGACTCAACGGTCAGGGTGTAGAGACTCGACCCCGGCCGACGCGAGAACGTGGCCAGGTGTCGGCCTGTGCGTGCCTCCGTGCAGTGGGTCACCCGCTGACTCGCAGGAGTGAACTGGTGAACCCCCACATCCTGCAGGTCCGCGCCACTCACCAAGTTCGTAGAGAACGAGGGAAGGTACAGACCAGACAGGGTGCCCGAAGGGGCAGCCGGACACGGGAGGACAGTGGAGAAGTGAGACAGGACAGGACCCCCAGAGGGGTCAGCAAGGGAGACTGCAACCGGCCGGCCGAGCGGCGTAAGGGTAGTGCGGTCTCGAAAGAAGGAGCGAGAAGCCCCGGAGTCAAGTGTGAAAGTGAGGGAGGACGAGGACGACGCAGTACCTGAGAGCGCAGTCTCACCAGTACCTGAGAGCGCAGACGCACTGGCACCTAGAGCAGCAGCCTCACAAGCACCTAGTGCAGCAGTACCAATGCCCGGGTCGGGCTGGAAACACCGGTAACCCTCATTCTCCTCACTATAGGTCACAGCATACATAGCAGCAAGGATAGCATCAAAATCAAGATCAAAGATTGCTACACCAGCCCTAAGAAGCTCATCCCAGCGAGGGATCTCACTAGCCCCAGGGAACTGCTGACGCCAAGCGTCCGTCAGGCGGCCAAAGCAGCGCTGGGCGGCGTGGGCACCCCCACACTGCTCACCCGCGCGGTCGCCGGAACGAAGAACGTAGGTGCAGGGACCAGTAACCCCCACCCCTCTGACGCCCAGCGTACCACTCACGAAGCTGCTGAGGCGGAGGGATGTCCCGCGAGCGCTGCTGCTGCTGCCGCTGCGAGCGCTGGCCACCACCACTGCCGCTACGCTGCTGGGTACCACCCCTACCAGCTCCACCTCCTCCACCACCACCGCCACCTCCGCTGCTGCCTCCACCGCCTCCACCTCCGCCGCCTCCACCTCCGCCGCTGCCTCCACCACCACCGCTGGCACCACCACCACCGTCTCCGCCGCTGCTGCCACCACCACCACCACCCCCGCCACTAGTCCCGACGCCACCCCCACTCCCTCCGCCGCCACCGCCGCCACCGCCACCGCCCCCTCCAGCTCCACCCGCGCCCTTGCCCCCCTTGCCCTTGCTGGAGCGACGTCTCCCACTAGGGGCAGACGCCGCGCCGACCGAGTCAAGACCAAGCAGGTCGGCAGCAGCAGCAGAGGCAACAGAGGGCAGCAAGGGGGAAGGAGAGCACCCCTCAAAGATGGGGGTGCGAGGGTCACCACGAGAAGCACCAACAGCGACTATGCTCTTCTCCGCTGCGAGGAGGGCCTTCTCGAGGAGGTCGACGCGAAGTGGGTGGTGGGACAGACTACGAGAAAGTGGTCCCTGACGACGCGAAGGGAGTCAGGGAGGCGCGCGACTACGTAGTAGAGAGCGATGTACATGGGGGGGGGGTTCTTAGCGCAGAACTCAGCAGGAAGGGCGGCGCGGTAGCGAGTGTCACTAGTGCGGAGGTGTGTAATGAGGTCAGCGACAGTGGGAAAGGCAGAGAGGTCAGGAAAGAGGTAGGGAAGCATAAGACGGCTCAGTGCAGCAGTGGCAGGGGAGGAGTAGCGCGCAACTACAGCGTCGTACAAGGTCTGAGCACTCTTGTACTGACTAAAGTGCGCACGCTCAGAGGTAGGGAGGTGGCGACGCACAGCAAGACGTGCAGCAGCATCGCGGGTGGCCCACTGAGAGCGCACAGTGGGATCAGCATCAGCAGCAGGAGCAGGAGAGGCGCCAGAGGTAAGGTCAAAGAGAGAGAGGCCGTCTGCCCTATCGCACTGTAAAAACAACTGCAGGTCGTCTACCCAGACCTCAAAGTCAATGGCTCGACCCTCAGCGTCAAAAGCTAGGACACTAGGGGTAGCCATGACGACGACAGCGAAGCAGTGCAAGCAGTAGGGGAAGAGCACGCAGTGACAGTGCGACTGTGCTCACCAGGCAGGGCAGGCCGGGCAACTCTGCAGAAGGGCGGCTCGGCGACTCAGTGACTCGGCTGCTGGGCGGCTCGGCTCCCGGGCGGCTCGGCGGCAGGGCGGCTCGGGTGCAGGGCGGCTCAGCGCCCGGGCGGCTCGGCGGCAGGGCGGCTCGGGTGCAGGGCGGCTCGGCTCCCGGGCGGCTCTGCGGCAGGGCGGCTCGGGTGCAGGGCGGCTCGGCTCCCGGGCGGCTCGGCGGCAGGGCGGCTCGGGTGCAGGACGGGGCCGGGACAGGGGACGGCGGGGCCGTCAGGGTGCAGCGGCGGGGCCAACTGGTGCAGTGGCGGGGCCGTCAGGGTGCAGCGGCGGGGCCGTGACAGGGGACGGCGGGGCCGTCAGGGTGCAGCGGCGGGGCCGGCAGGGTGCAGCGGCGGGGCCGGGACAGGGGACGGCGGGGCCGTCAGGGTGCAGCGGCGGGGCCGACTGGTGCAGTGGCGGGGCCGTCAGGGTGCAGCGGCGGGGCCGTGACAGGGGACGGCGGGGCCGTGACAGGGGACGGCGGGGCCGTCAGGGTGCAGCGGCGGGGCCGGCAGGGTGCAGCGGCGGGGCCGGGACAGGTGACGGCGGGGCCGTCAGGGTGCAGCGGCGGGGCCGACAGGTGCAGTGGCGGGGCCGTCAGGTTGCAACGGCGGGGCCGAGAGTAGGGGACGGCGGGGCCGTCAAAAGAGGACGGCGGGGCCGTCAGGTGACGGGGCCCGCTGCAGCGACGAAGAGGCCGCGCGGCCGGCGTGAGGGCGGCGGGGCGCAGCAGAGCCGAGAGGGCGGCGCGGCGCGGCCGTAAGGCCAGCGCGACGTGGGGCCCGGGCCGCGCGCGCGAAAAAAAAGGAGTCGCGCGCGCGACTCGCGGGGCGCCACAAGGGCAGCGCGACAAGCACTAGGGGGGAGCGCGCCTCGGGGAGAATAGGGCGCGCTCCGGGCAGGAAAAAAAAAATCGTGGGTGGGCCCTTAAAAAACGGTCCTTAGGAAGGACCCGCTCTATACCATGTGAGAATCAATGAACAGGAATGAAAATGACTAAGTCAGAGTTGGGTACAAATACAACCCTAGAAAGCTGTACCCCATATGTGCTACCCCACTATAGCCTACAAACATGCATCAGCTATGATAATCTAACACAGGGCGTAGCTGAGTGGACGAATCGCACGCTAATGACGAAGGTGCACGCGCTGATGAAGCAGTTGAAATTGCCGCCGATCTACTAGACCTACGCGACGCACCACGCCGTGCGGGTGCACAACCTACTTTCGACCACCGCCAACACCGGCAATCTGTCCTCCCACGTCAAATGGACCGGGACCAAAGAGGATACCTCCATGCTGCGCGTATGGGGGTGCATGGTTCAATACCGCCCGCCGACTTCAACCATCGGCAAATTCGCCAGCCGCGCGCGCTGGGGGATCCATCTCGGCAGCAGTCACGAGTACAAGGCGTGGATCGTGCTGGACCTCCTTAGTTAGAAAATCGCTCACGCTCGCGACGTCATCTTTTGCGAGCGCCTCTTCCTTGACCAGTTCCGCCGCGACGAAGAAACGAACGCGAACCGCGTCTACGCGAACGATGGGCACAGCTACGCAACGCCCGAAGACGAAGCCGCTGCAGCAATCTTGGAGCAGGACACGAGGGGCGAGTTCGTGTGGGAAGAACGACGCAGCAGCGACGACGACGACGACGATTCCTCAAGAGGAGGAATGGGCGCAGCAGCCGGAAGCGGTAGAGGCACAGCACCACCAGCGCATCCTGAACCAGAAAGCGATGACAACGACGTACAGGAAGTCCTCCCGCAACGTCGTCACGACAGCACTATCTCAAGACTGCAGCTGCTCGGGCTTCACACCGCAACTTCGAAGGCGCCACGTGTCATCGAGCCCCGAAATCCGTGCGAAGCTCTTTCTGGACCACACAGCAAGGAATGGTGCAAAGCAATGGACGCAGAGATCAAGGCGCTGGAGTCACGAGACACATGGGTCCTAGTCGACCGCGCGGCGATCAAAGGCGCAAGAATCCTCTCGGGGAAGTGGGTCTTCCGCATGAAAACCGCAGCGGACGGAACGATCGAGCGCTTCAAGGCACGTTGGGTGGTTCGCGGCTACGATCAGAGGCATGGCATCGACTTCGACCAGACGTTCGCTCCAATTAGCCGTCATACCTCCGTTCGAATCCTGCTCGCCATTGCAGCTGCAAGGCACCTACCACTCCGCCAGATCGACGTGAAGAACGCGTTCCTGTACGCGTTAGTGGACGCCATGAACTACGTGGAGCAGCCGCACACCTTCAGCGGAGGGGACTTGCGCGTGTGCCAACTGCGCAAGTCACTCTACGGGATCAAACAGGCTCCAAGGCTGTGGCAGCAGTACCTGCACAACATCCTGCTTGAAATCGGATTCAAAAAGATGCCGCACGATCCATGGATGTATCGCCGCGAATTTTGCGGGGATTACATTCTCCTCACGGTGTACGTCGACGACCTGCTTTACACAGGCTCAAACAACGAGCTTCTCGAGCAGTTCGAGAAGGCCTTGGCGGGGCGCGTCGACATCACATGCAACTACGAGGTGAAGCAGTTTCTAGGCCTCAACATCTCCTACGCGCCTGAGGCCATTCATCTCTCAGCGGCTAAGTACGCAGAGGAGTTAGGGAAGCGGTTCAACATTTCACCTGCACCTCTCTCAACTCCCTACCGAACTCCCGAACAGAACCACAAACCCGACAACAAACCCCTATCCCCTGCTGGGATTCAGATTTACCAGCAGCAGTTGGGATGCCTCCTCTTTGCCTCTATCACTTGCAGGCCAGACCTCTCGTACATCGCCAGTCAGCTGGCGTAGTACTCACGCAAACCAACGGCTGAGAATCTTCTGGATCTGCAACGCGCCCTTCAGTTCTTCATTTTAACGCCCAAGATTGGGCTGTGCTACTCAACTGCACCAACTCCATCCTTCAGCCTCATCGGCTATGTGGACGCCGATCACGCAGCAGACCCCGATAATCGACGGTCCAGGACTGGCTTCCTATTCCGACTCGAGCCAACGGGATCAATCTCCAGGAACTCGCAGAAGCAGGAGCTGGTTGCCCTGTCGTCAGCCGAAGCGGAACTCATCGCAGCAACCGCAGCAGTTCGCGAAGGCCTCTACTTGCAGGAACTCCTGCAAGAGGCGAAAATTCCAGCTTCGCCCACATTTCGCCTTCACTACGACAACCAGAGTGCGATTCGCATCGCGAATAAACCTGGTTTCGTCAACCGCACCAAGCACATTGCACTGCGGTACTTCTTCGTGAAGGATGAAGAGGACAAGGGCAAGGTCAACTTGACTTACTGCCCGACCGGTGACATGGCAGTAGACTTCCTCACGAAGCGACTGCCACGCCAGCAGTATCAGCACTGCTCCAAACTCAGCGGCGTGGTCAAGCAGGTCAAGTCGAGCTACGGCCAGGAGTGAAGGGGGGTGTTACGAATAGTAATACTTGAATATTACTGTGCACTCCTCACCGCAGCAAAGAGAAGCACGCAGTATCGCGAATGATCGCGAAGCGTTAGACGGTTGGAGTCGACTCGAAGCGTCAGATAGTTGGGACGCATCTGGTGTCAAAATTAGAAGAAAGAAAGAGGAATGAACTAGCAGAAATGGGGATACAAATAGCAAACCCTAGAAGGGTTGTACTCGCTATAGAGCACCCCACTACAGGCTAGAACATAAGAATAATATTCTGACACACCCCCATAGCCAAAGTGGGGTGTAATCAGCAGAGCAGGCAAAGCAAAACAAGCTCAGGGTGGATCACAATGTCACCACACATTCTGAGCACAAGTTCAAGAAGAAATAGTTTAGAGTTCACAATTATAAGCAAAGCTAGTGGTAGTCACAACGGGCAAGTGAGGAGGAGGAGGGAGAGTGAGGGGAGAGGAGACAGGAGGCGACGGCTGAAGCTGCAGACACACGGGCAGCAGGAGGCAGACTGGCACAGCGGCTACCGGACAGCGCCCGGACTACAGGAGTAACAGGCCCCGCGGCTCAAATAGCGGCGGACGGGCAACGGACCCACGGGCGGCTGGCACAGCTGGCTACGACTGGGCTACCGGGACAGCGCCCCGGACTACAGGTGCTGCGAACGACAAACTGACAACCTCCACTCAACCTCTCGCACACAGTCCCACCCCCCTGATACACACCCATTGCTACACCGCTAGCTCTACTCCCACGCACCCCCCTTAAACCCTAAACCCGAGTCTCCCACACAACCACCCCCCTCAGCGACAGCTGCAGCAGTGGGAGACGGAGGAGGAGGAGGAGCAAAGGGAGGAAGGCACACCGAGCACCCCCACAGCCCGCCACCCCACCCCACAGCCCGAGCCGCGACGGGCGACGGGAAATGGGGGGGAGGGGAGAAAAGGGGGGGGGGGGGGGGGGGGGGGCGGGCCGGTGCCGCGACGAGGGGCGGGGCCGCGACGGTCGGGGCGGGGCCGCGACATAGGGCGGGGCCGCGACGTAGGGCGGGGCCGCGACATAGGGCGGGGCCGCAACATAGGGCGGGGCCGCAAAGGTAGGGCGGGGCCGAGCCGGGCAGGCGCACGGGCGGCGACGGGCCGGGGCGGGGCCGCGACGTAGAGCGGGGCCGCGTCGAGGGGCGGGGCCGAGCCGGGCAGGCGCACGGGCGGCGACGGGCCGGGGCGGGGCCGCGACGTAGAGCGGGGCCGCGTCGAGGGGCGGGGCCGAGCCGGGCAGGCGCACGGGCGGCGACGGGCCGGGGCGGGGCCGCGACGTAGAGCGGGGCCGCGTCGAGGGGCGGGGCCGCGACGATCGGGGCGGGGCCGCGACGTAGGGGAGAAGCCCGCCGCGCGCCCCGGGGCGCACAGCGGGCAATGAACCGCCGCGCGCCTCGGGGCGCACGGCGGGCAGAAAACCGCCGCGCGCCTCGGGGCGCACGGCGGGATGAAAAAATGCCGCACGCCACGGGGCGTGCGGCTCAGAGAGTAGTAGCAGTAGTAGCAGCGGAAGCTAAGCGGTGGTAAGCCCACCCACAGGATCGATCCAGGGGGATCGACCTGCTCTGATAGCATGTCAAAATTAGAAGAAAGAAAGAGGAATGAACTAGCAGAAATGGGGATACAAATAGCAAACCCTAGAAGGGTTGTACTCGCTATAGAGCACCCCACTACAGGCTAGAACATAAGAATAATATTCTGACATCTGGACCGTCTGAGCAGACAGCATCAGGCAGCTGCAGGCAGCATGGTTTCGGCGGGAACAGTTTCGTAATTGTTCGCGCCGCACGGTTGGGAATGTATTTGAATAAGGGAATGTACCTCTTAGAGTATATGGCTAGCTAGGTCGTTTCATCTCCCCCGTACTCATATTTATATTTGCTGTATTTGCATGTTTTAAATTATCTCAAAGCATTCTACATTCACTCTGCTATTGAGGTCAAGGGCCCACCAACATCACTTCTCTGCGTGCGAACCTTCCTGAGTAGATCCTAGGCCACGATCAACTTCTGATCGCAGCAGTCTCGGATGTTGGTTAGGCATCAGATTGTTTAGAAGGGTACCGCCTGTGCCTGCTTGCTGCTTTGCTGATTGGGGTGTGGCGTTGGACAGAGTCCTCTGCATGTGGTGTAGTGTACCGTAGGTGATTTTCTGCATTTACCATATTGCGTAGGTTTTATTGTTAAAAGCCTAAGTTGACTTAGGACTTGGGTTGAGGGTAGAACGATAGTTACGAGAGGAAGGGGTCGAGAGATTAGCCAAAAGAGGTGTTCACTATAGAGCGAGCAGTACAAATAGGCAAGAATCAGGACAGGTGCACCACCAATCAGAAAGTTATACGACTACAGTATTCTACTCTACATGCAGTTATTGAACAATATATATAACTATGTATTATTCTGACATTTATTAGTGTAGTTGCACTTGCGCAGGCGATTACTAGTTCTACCAGGCAAAAATAACATTCTTGGTACGAGGTTTCCTGATATGAGGCCGTCGGAACACGCCCTGAGTACGGCATTTGAGAAGAGCTGTAGGTGCAATATAGGGTCAATGTGGCTGTGGGTGGGATATAGGCAGCATTTTTATCCAGTACTGACCTTGGTGCACTCGTGCTTGTGCAATAGAGGCGGGATGCAACATCCTCGTTATAAGCAGTGATACTGAGCTGGTGGTGAAATGCGGGTATCTCTCTCTACCGCAATCCCTGTTCAGGACTTCCCCAGCAGTAGCAACAGCAGCAGGCGAGCAAGCAACAGCTGCAGGTCAGCAGCTCAGTAAGGCTAAAAATATGCACAAGACAAACCAAGTTTCAAAACAAACCAAGGTTCACGGTATCTACGATGTACCCTACATTGCCTCAATCTTCGAGACATTCCAAAGCAAAGCTCAGCCTAAGCAGAATCGGTGCTGCCAGCTGGTGCCCAGACCAGCACAACCAGGTGGGGCAGCTGGCACTACACGAGTAGCAAGTCGCAACCCACAGCTGCTTCCCTTCCCACCCCTCTCCACCTTTGAGACATATCAAAACTAGGCTCAGGTCAAGCAGCAGCGGTGCCTCCAGGTGAATAGTCCAGCGCAGCCAGGTGGGGCACTATGAGAGTCGCAATCCACAGCCGTGTCCCATCCCATCCCTCTCCATTTCCGACACGTCTCACGATGTGTTGGTGCTTAGCCCTGCACAGCCCAAGCTGGGCTCAGGTTAAGCAGCAGCAGCGGCAGCTCCTCCTGGTGAATAGTCCAGCACAGCCACGTGGGATACTATGAGAGACGCTATTCACAGCTTCCTAACCCATCCCTCGCCCTCCTTGAGACGTCTTAGGCTACGCAGCGGCATCGGTGGTGCCTCCTGGTGTGTAATCCAGCACAGCCAGGTGGGACACTATGAGAGATGTGATCAACAGCTTCCCATTCCATCCCTCTCCCTCCTTGAGACGTCTCAGAACTGGGCTCAGGCTAAGCAGTGGCAGAAGTGGAGCCTCCTGGTGAATAGTCAAGCACGGCGAGGTGGGGCACTATGAGAGACGCAATCCACAGCTTCCCATCCCTCTCCATCACCTCACTTGGCGCCTGCACCCGCTTCCCCGCCCGGTCCTCCAAAATTTCCGTGATCTGCCCGGACGAGTCCACCTCCGCGATAACCCCGTTGGGCAGCCCGAAAATTCCGGCGTAGAGGAGGAGTGGGTGGAGGTGGAGGCGGAGGAGGATGGAGCGCAGGCGGGGCGTGCGAGCGAGGAAATCTGGGGAGGCGGGGGAGATGGGGGTGGGGAGAGGTAAGGGGAGAAAGTGGGGTGGGGAGAGCATGAGAGTGGGGGTTGGAGGGAGGGATGAGGGAGACGGGCGTGGGGGCTTGAGGTGATAACAAGGGGATGAAGATCGCGGCAACGGTGGGGAATGGTGGCACACGAAGTGGCTGGGAAGGAGCATTAAGAGGGAAAGGGGAACAGGGGAGAGGATTCCCGAACCATAAGCGGAGGTTCGGTAGGCAGGCATGGCAATCCAGAAGCGGCCGCGGGGGTTGAGTCGGGGGTTGTCAGGCACGCCTGGCAAATCCACCATCACCTCGTGGCTGCCTGCCTTGCTGCCTGTGAGCCAGTACCGGTTGCACCTGCTCATGCACAGGCGCACACATGCACGCACATGCACATTGCACGGCACGGCACGCACATGCACGTGGGCATGCGCACATGCCCGCAAACATGCACGCACACACACACATAAGGAGGTATACAAAGGTATATGAAGGCATCTGGAAGCAAATGGAGGTACGTGGAGGTATATGGAGGTATGTTGAGGTATATGCCAGTATCTGGGGGTAACAGGCCGTGCTGCACGATTCGCCCTTTATTCATTAGCTCGATGCCATCCACAACACGTGCCTCCATGCCAAGCGAATCAACCTACCTGGCTCGGATGGTCTCGCAATACACGAGAAAAGAGCGATCGGCAGAGAGAGCTATGCCGTTGGCGAAGGCCACTCCCGCCACCAGCTGCGTCACCTCCCCCGTCGCCACGTCATACTTGTACACTCCGCCGTTCGCCCCGCCGTCCAGAATCATGGAGAGGAAGTTCCTGCCGGGCGGCAGATGGGTGGGGGAGGGGGAGCGAGGATGTTGGAGGCTTGGCGCCAGGCTCGCACCGAGGGAGGTAATGGTAAGAGGAAGTGGGAAGGTGGAGGGAGTGGAGAGTGAGATGGGGGGTTTCTAAGGGAGGGCCTGCTGTGGAGCAGGTAGTTCACGGAATGCAGTGAGCAGAGCCGCGCCTACCTCATTTCGTATTTTGTGCTCGTTACAGTGAAGTACACTGTTCCGTTCGCATCCTCCGCGTCAATATCTAGGTCGTTCACAAACGACACCTTCTGCCCGTCCACCGATTTCCCGCCAACCAGCTGCTCCGCCAGTCCCCCTTTCAAGCCGACCCGATTCAGCCCATAGTACGCGTCCGCGATATAAAGCTCTCCGGTTACAGGGTGAAACCGCAGGCCCAGGGGACGGCCGCAAAGAGGTTCCTTAGACGGGTCGGGATGTGACTTTGGCAGAATGTCACACAACTGAGGGGTGCGATTCGGGGAGGCCTGAGCGAAGGGCACCCATTGGCTGCCGTCCGCGCTCCGCCGCACAACGCGGCCGTCTGCCAGGCCGGAGTAAGGGCCCCGACCGCTCGTGTCGACGGCGAGACTCTCAGGGCCGATCCCCTCGTGCAAGTACCTGCCATTCGCAGCATCCGCAGCGTGACAGTCACCGCACACATTGGGGAAAAAAGAAAAGATGAGGGCGACCCAGACATCCTGTTTCAAATATCAATATATTTTCTCAAGAAATAACGGAGAGACTATGGCAGCGTTTCTTATCAGCGTGCACTCTCCTCAGGCATCGTAACACGCATCGTAGATTACTTAATCTCGGCAGAAGCAAGGCGGTTCGAAGGGTCACTAGCTGCTGGGACGGCACGCGGCGGGAGAGGAACAGGCGACACGTCAACGGGCTGGCGAAGAGCGAGCGGGTCGTTGTACACGAACGACCCGACTGCCGCTACAAGCACGCCGAGAAACGCGGCGCGAAGCGCGGCCATGGCTGATTCAGAGCAACTACTGCACCCGATGGAACAGCCGGGAATCGAGAGTTAGGCAAACAGGAATTGGCTGCCCATCCCAATGCAGTGCCGTGCCGTGCCGTGCTGCTGTAGGAAAGTGGCTGGAGGCTGGCCGGCCTTGAGGGCTGGAAAATTCCCTGGCAGCGAAGAATTCTGGATGGAATGACTGCTTTCGAAGTTGTAAATTAGTGGTGTAGAGTAGTGTGTTTGGGTAGTCAATGGTTCGGTTCGGTGTTGCGAGCTAGTCACACTTCGCTGGACCACTTGGCGGCGAAAAAATGCTCCATAATGAACGAATGTTTTCAACTGAGGCCTTTGTGAAGGGAATTATTGATTAATTGGGCTTTCAAAGGTTTTATTTCAAGGTTTTCACATCAAGAACCTGGGAGTGGGCATGGACGCAACCAGCGTGATTTTATATTACATACACGAGGGAGAACCAAAATCCCAAAGCAAATCAAATGGAATAGAAGACGCTAAGGGGGACTTCAAGCGCTTGTGTCCATCTAGAAAGCGCCGATAAGCGCCTTGCGGGGGTAGTAAGCGTTTCCGTTGTCGCTGAACGACGACGATGCGCCGGTCGCCATCTCAACAGCGAGAGCAGTCTCGTCGTCGAGGCCCTCGGCGCGCACGAAGCGGCAGAAGGCGCAGTCGGAGTGGGTGAGGTCGGAGCACTTGTAGTCGTCGACGGTTCCGTCGATGAAACCCTCGGCGTTGTCGCCCGGCACCACGTACGTCTTGAACAGCTCGCTGTACACCAGCTTCTGCTTCTCACTACGTTCAACAAAAAAGAACGAAAGAGACAAATGTCAGGGCGGGTGCGGAAAACTACAGCTACAAAAGCGGTGCGGAAGGGGCTCGCTCGGGTTTGCAAGTAAGCAGCGGGAAAAAGCGCAGCGACTTACAGTCGGCCGGCGAAGTCAGGGCGGTAGGTCTGGCCGAGCACGCCGTGCACGTTGGGCGACAGCTTGGCGCTCATCACATCCACCGTGAAGTGCACCAGCCCGTCCTCATCCGTGCGAAGCATTTCGATCTCCGGTCGCAGAGTCAGTCGCAGGGCGAGAATGTCGCTGATGCGAATCTCGTACTCGTCAACAAGGTCGTCCTTAACCGGCTTCTTCGCAGCTACCCACTTGATCTCAACCTGCCCGTCAAAGAACGACGCGGCCTCCAGGTGCGACCCGGGAACGCCCAGCTTAACCTCCTCGTTATCAACCACTAGGCGCTGGAGGTAGCCGGTACGGTAGTCGGCAGCCCAGCCCTGACGCGCCTCGAACACAATAGTGTGGTGCCCCCACAGAACGCTGATCTGGCGCATCCACGTCAACGCCTTGTTGCGGCCTTCCCACTCGCCCCAGCGGCCATCAAAGTGAGCCTGGACTGCCACGTGGGCGTCGGAGATGAGCGAGTAGTCCTCGCCGGGCCGGCCGCTAAAGTCGAAGCGCGACAAGTCGGCGCCGACAAAGTGCGGGTCGCCGGTGCCATTGGCGGGGCAGATCTTGCCGACGTAGATGAATTCGGGGCGCACGCCGTTATCTTTCGTAGGGTCGACGAAATGTTTGTCTTTGCACACCTCCTCGCCGTAGCATGTGCACAGACCTGCGCGGATAACGCCGGAGCGAGAACATTCAAGGACGGAGACAAACGCAGATTGAGAACGTCGATGCCGGCAAGCGGGAGATACGACACGGAGATTGCGGAGCTAGGAATGTACCCAAGATTCGGTGCGAAACACGGAACATGAATGCTTACCGCCGGTGGTGGGGTCGGTGAAGGGCTCGTACTGCCAGTACACGACGGGGTCGGGGCGGTTGCCCTGGTTGTGATACTGGCACACCTTCCAGCACTCCTCGTTCGGGTCCTTGGTCGCGCTGTACGTGAAGGCCTCGGAGAATTTAGGGTTCACGGAGTCGAAGCGGCCACTCTGTTTCGACTTGGACTGGCATTGGAAAATGGGGCACGAGCGGTTGTCTGTGCCGCCGCCAGTGTTGACGCCCGCAGGTTGAGTTGCAACAACTTGGCCTGTGATGCAGAGGAGCAAGATGAATGCGGCTTTGGTCTTAGTCGTCGCCATGATGTGAAAGTTTAGCCTTTTCTCTCGATGGTTTCACTGAACGGATTACGGAATGAAACTCGGTTCTTTGAATAAGGACGTGCTCTCCAGCCGTAGCAAGACCAGTAAGGCGGTTTAGAGCGACGGCAGGAAACGTGGGCAAAAAGGATTGCTGGAGCACATCAATTTCGCACAATCGCAACGACTACTGCGGGGGGAGGACGAGAAAGACGACAAGAGGGTCAAACGAGGTCCACAGCTGCTCTTGGACCTGATCCAAGCTACTGTACGTGTACACAGAGGCAGAGAATGCAATCGTTTTTAACGTGATGTTCTTCTGGGTCTAGAAATGGTCCGGCATTAACAACTAAATCCAGCAATGTTTTTACGCACCTTGCGGTACAGGCAGCCGAAGGGTACAAAATGTGTGGTATTGTCTTGAGATAGGTACATGAGAATAACACCACCAACATGTGAGGGTACAAGGGATCTAGCATAAGCAAACAGAGACTACTTTCTGATGCCACAGAATCTCACAAGAAACACGTTGTTGGTGGGAGATGACGACAAATCAGGCCACTTCGAGCGTGGATTCTCAGAGGTCAGGTCTCTTTTCAAATTCCTCCCCCTTCGACCAAACTCGGCTGCTCGGGCTTCACCTGGGAACGAATGCAGCTTCGGGTCAAAACAACGCTGCTGACGCGGCAATCTGTTGATGTCACCTGGTGTAGATCGTTCGAAGGCGAAAGAAAAACGAAGCGCAGGTCATATTCGACAGAGGTGAGAGACTCGATACAGTGTTGCAGCCTACAGCTGATAAACAAACCATTTCCTTCACAAAATTGATCCAATAAGCAAAGCAAAATCAGATTAAACAAAGTGATAGTAGGATTTGTACTTGCTAAAGGTTCTTACCTTAACGCGGATACCATAGGACCCTAATTTTGGCGACCAGAACCTGCCTACCAAAGGCAGTTTCTATCCCGTGTCAGACATCAGGTCAAAGCTTCGGAAGACACAAAGAGACTCGGTTTGTGTCTTCCGGACCTAAATTTGCCAGCGTTCCGAGTCCCTGGGTCTTCCCAACCTCAACTTCGTGTCTGGATTCGTGTCTGACACGGGATAGAAACGCGCCCCAATTCAGGTCAGTACGGAGGTATCTATGCAACTAATTAGTTCCGTTCTCAGATTCCCCCTTCATGGCTGCCGATCGGTCAGTACCTAGTCTTCTGACGCGGCTAGTACTCCGAGACACCGCTGTGTCGACCCGCCTCTATAAAGCCACCGAGCATTTGCCGATCTTCCGCTCTTTCCTGATCCTCCTCGAGCGATCCGGCGATGGCCGCCTCCTCCTCCCTCTCTGCTTCGCGCTCTGGCTTTCTCCTGTCTTCACCACCGCGACGATCCGTCAGATCTTTCTAGGAACGTTCCTCGCTTGCATACTCGATCTGGCGGTCGTCGGTATTCTCAAGATCGCGTTTCGCCGGCCGCGTCCGCTCTACAATCGCGGGATGCTGATCGTCGTGGCACCCGATCAGTGGTCCTTCCCCAGCGGCCACGCGTCGCGTGCCATCATGATCGCAGCGCTCCTCTTCCACCTCCTCCCACCCATCTCCGCCGAATTCGGCCATGTGCTTCCCGCCAACCCCGGCCGCCTGATCCCGCCGTATCTGCAACGTCTACTCCCTGAAAGCTTCACAACCGCTTTATCAGCCGATTTAAGCCCAGAATTTAGGGTTTGGTTACTTATATCAGCGATTGCCGTGTGGGGTGCTGCGACTGCCGGTTCCAGAGTGTTCCTGGGACGGCATTTCGTTCTCGACGTGGCCGTCGGTTGCCTCCTAGGGTTTCTAGAAGCTCTACTAGTCGCCAGGATGGTTTGGCCGGCGCCAGAAGTTTCTGAGAAGCTGCGCGAGGTGGCCCTGACTTGCGGTTTATTCAGAGAGGGTTGCAGTGTGGATGAGGTTCGCAGTGCTGTGGGGTTCTGATATGATGACACGTCAGCTGAAGCTGTCGGGTTCTGCTGTCGTGACACGTGGCTGTGACGTGTCCAACGGTGCATCCTGGTCACAGTCAATCAATAAGGGTGATTAAGTGCCAGTGTTACAGTGCATACCCACCAATCCCCCAATTTGTTTATTACTCGTGCGGCAGTGCATTCTGTAAATCGACAATGCAATCCCAAAAGGGAGCACTGCATCTGAGCCGTTCATTCCAGCATGCTGACACTCTCTCCTCTTATTGGTGCAAATCTTACACTCCCACTTCTTCTCTTCTCTCTCTCATTTTTATCCTTCACTGGATGGCATCCCTGCTGCCATCCGTCAAGTCAGCTTGATCCCCCGAGTCCCAATGATGATGGATTTAGTGACATGATGCTTGCACACTCGCTAGCAGCACCGCACCCCGTGGATGGGCATGTGCTGCTGTGACTGCAGCAGCGCTGCCCATTGCTGGCTGGTGTGTGTGCTGCTGTTGGAGATGCATGCGAACAAGTGCGATGATGTGGCAATTCTGAGGGACTTGTAAAGAAACCTTTCTGCCTGGATGGCAGAAACACCAGCATGTGATGTGATGGGTGTGAACTGGGCAATGTGTGAGCCGCAGTCCTCGTGCATGGTGCGAAGAATTTCACGTTCAGATACCGGTAACAGGATGGATCATGGATTCCTGTGGTTGTCACAACCCAGTGCTTGAAATTTCAAACCACAAAAACTAGATTTTAACGAAAATACCGCATGGTACACACACCAGTAACACGGCCAGCACGCGTTTCCCAAAAAGAAAGTGGTGCAGCCATTTTCCCTGCCCACTGTTGACCCCTTAGGCCGTGAAGAATCGCCGCACACATGCGAAAATTGCTATGGCCGGTTTTCCGGCCATTAGGGTACGAAGGGGTTCGGGTACGTGACAGCTTGGTACTTAGGGGTTCAAATGGGTACTCGCGCCAGAACGGCCCGACGGATGGTGGCCGAATTTACACGCCCTTCGCGTTGAATGCTTCTCTCTACCCGTTGGTCGCAGGGGTTCAGGGATCTCCCCTTCTACCCACTGGCCCCTTCACAAGCACTCCACTCCACATAGCTCACCCTTCTCCACACCATGGCCATTACCACAGGGCTTATAGTACCCCCTCCGCCCGGTGGTCCCTTCACAGTCACTCCAGATAGAACGCCCTTGCCCCCACCCCTTGAAATTAATTATTTAGAACTCTAAACGAGACCCCATCCGCCTGCAGGTCCCTTCACAGTCACTCCAGGTTAAACGCCTTCCTCCACCCCTTAGAGAAAAAGCTCCCAAGCCCAAACCCCCCAAACTTGTTCCCACTCCCTGGGGACGGCGGTGGTGCCCCCGCTACAGACGCCGCTACAGACGCTGCCCTGTTGTGCCCTGCCCTCCCCACATTTATGCCTAGTGTGGCCCGCCCCCCCACCCCTCCATCTGCTCCTTTGGCTCCCGCTGCTGCCCTGCCCCCCCCCACCAGTCCCACCATGCTCTGAGTCCTCGCCCTGCTGCCACCACTCCTTGCTGTTGGGTAAGCTGCTGAAGGGGCTGCTGGAGGTGCAGTGTTTTCTCTCTCTGATGCCGCTCCTGTTCCTACTTTTGCCGCTGCGAGTGACACGCCATTACTAGCCATCGCTGCTGCTTCGCCATTCCCTCCTACTCCCCTTCCCCCTCCTCCTACTCCACCTCCTCCACCATCTCCTCCCCTCTCCGCCCGCACCTCTTCCCCCGGGCCCCAGGACGACACAGCCACGCCCACAGACGCCAGCTGGGACGCAATCTCCTCCTCCCACGTCAGCCCTGACGGCGCCACGTCACCCACCCGCCCCCGCACCTTCCCATCCCTGGGCCTGCCGTGTGCCGGAGGTAACCCAGCGTTACCCGGTGCAGTGGGATTACCTCCGAGACCTGCTCTGGCAGCGTGAAAGGCGGTGTTTGCTCCCCTGTTGCTGCCCACCGCAGCATCACCAGCAGCACCACCTGAAGCAGCACCTGAAACGTCTCCTGAAACAGCAGGGCCGCTGGCCAGGGTGCCGGCAGCGATGGCAGCAGCGGTAACCATGTTGGAGAACTGGGTAGACCAGTTGGCGTTGGTGGCGCTGGTGGTGTGTGTGAGCGTGCGCATCGTGTTGGTATACTCGGTAGAAAAAGCCACTGCTGACTCGTATATCACATTGATGCCTGATTGGAAGAGCCCGCTAGGGTTGGCTGGGCCGGGAGATGCGGAGGTGATGGTGGGAGCAGGAGTGGTGAGAGTGGCAGGACGGGGGGGAAAGGCGGCAGAACCAGGAGTGGGGGTAGGTGGGGGGGTAGAGGGAGCAGGGTGGGCAGGGGGGAGTGTACTGGTGTTGCCTTGTGGTGAGGGTGAAGGGGGTGTGGAGGAACCTGAAGCAACTGCTGCCACAGCACTGGCAATGCTGCCTAACAAGCCGTCAGGTGCCATGTGTGCAGCCCAGGAGAAATCAGCAGAGGCCAGGGGGCTGGTCCACCCTGACCCGCCTGCGGAATCTGCTTGTTGCGCGCCAGGCTGTGCAAGCTCCTGCTGTTCTGTCTTCTCCTCCCCCCCCTCCTCCCCCTCCTCCTGCTGCGGTTGCAGCACCAGCTGCTGCTTCTGTTGCTGCTTTTGTTGTCCATGCAGCTGCTGTTGCGGCTGCGGTGGCCGCAAGGGGGCGTGTGCGTCAGCACTGGCCGGTGCCTGCAATGGTTGCTCTTTTTTTCCTCCCCCACCTGCTGCTACTGTTGCAGAGGATGCTGCTTTCTCTCTCGTCTTTCGCTCATCCTCCACCCTCTCAACAGCCCCATTCCCAGCTCCCCCATTCCCAGCTCCCCCATTCCCAGCTCCCCCATTCCCAGCGTCCCCATTCCCAGCGCCCCCATTCGCAGCCCCGCGCAGGCCCCCGTGAGTTCCCCCCTCTGCCACTCTCCCCGCCACATTGAACACAAACGCGTCATCCTCGTTATCATCATCCTCGTTTTCATCCAGCTCCGCCAATTCCTTCTGCAGTCGCGTGCGCCCGCACGCCAGCACCCTCCGCCCCTCCTCATCCGCCGCTTCCCCTGCGCCGCCTTCCCACGGGGGAGGTTCGGGCGCGCGCGTTAGGAAGCGCTTGGGCGCGCCGGGGTAGAGCATCAGGACGGGGCGCGGAGGCACGGCGCCCCTATGCGATGCGATTAAAGACCTAAGCCGCTGCCCTAGCTTCTCTAGCTGTTGTTTTTTCCTCTCTGACAGCAAAACATTGGGCTCTTCCACGGCTGTTGCTGCCGCTCCGTTGTGCACCGCTCCGCCATCGCGCTCCGCGGCGTGCGCCTGCGCCTGTGCCTCCCCCGCGGCGTCAACCGCCGGCAGCAGCTCCGCAGCGCATTCGTCCAGGAGGGACTGTAACAGGCGGCGAACGCGCTGCCGATCCGCGCACTCGTGCGCCGCGGCGGTGACGATGGTGGCGCCGCCGCAGGCGGAGGCTCCCGCGAGTGGCGGTTCCGCGCCCGGTTGCTTGCGGTGAATGAGGTGGATGATCATGCGCTGATCGTGACTCTGGGGGCATCGGCGGAAGGGCGGAAGAGAAGCGGAAGGCATTGGGGGAAAGGAAGGGTGAGGTCAGAGCGAGCATTGGAGTGGAGTGAGGTGGGGGAAGGCGGGGTGGTGAACCCGGGGAAGGCAGCAACGAACAGCGGAACGGCGGGCGACCATCTGGTAAAGGCGAACAGCCAACGAAACGCGGTGAGAGATTTAAATGACGGAGGCAGAATGTGGAGCGATTGAGTCGCATCATGCGACGGGCATGGCGCTACCATGATCCACTTACGACGGAGAACCATCGCACGTGCGGCGGTACTTGGGCGATGGCTTCGCGAAGCACCTCGTTAAAGTCATCCGCTAATGAGCTGGAACTATGCGATATAAGCACATTGCCGGAGTGGCTGACACCCAGGCCCAGAATAAGCTCCTGATCGTTGCCCTGCTCGCGACCCATTCCCATCCGACTGTTCCGCGTCTGCCGTGCGCTATATGTGTGACGTGGCAGTCAGCTTTACGCCGAGAGCTGTGCAAAAAAACCTTAATACCATCCGTACGTATGTAACTCGTGGATGCTGGCAAACGCTGAAAATTACGGCGCTTTCTGGAGAAGCACCCTAGATTCTAGAACACTAATTTTCCCTAGCCAACTCTAGCCAACTCAAGTGCAGATACGATGCGCAGAGTTGGAATCAGCCCCAACCCACATATATGTTGCGACACTGACGAAAACGGGAGTCGATTTTCGCGGCCGAATCAGGAGCTGCCGTATTCGGTGAGATGTGCGAGAGTCAGTTGCGAGGTGGTTGGTTGGATAAGTCGAGGTGAGAGGAACGTTGTTCGACGAAACTGTTGACTTCCATGCTGGATACACATGGTAACTCGACGAAAGCCACAGATACAGCACAGCACGAGTGAGCTGCATCAGTGGGCAGGTGCAGGCAGCATACAGCAAATCAGCAGCAACAGCAACAACCGTCGCGACAAAAGTCGGACTGTACACTTGCTTCGCAAGTGACGGGAGTGAGGTTGGTGGGTAAATTTGTCTGACTCGCGGGGTCAAACCGGAGATTTCGCGTACAGCCTTATCGAATCGACTTCGATAGCAGAAGCGAGCGAGTACACGCCTACCACAATTCACATATTATACTTCTGCAATAATCAGGCAAGGGCTTCTATTTGGCGCAAATGCAGTCTCATGTACTCCCCTTTCCTATCCATCAGCTGCTGGTGCGTGCCAACCTGAAAGACAGACGTAGATTACGAGGTAGTAAAGATAATTGTAAAACCAAGTATCCAAACATAAATCCCAAAAGCACCCTCTACTACTCACCTCGACAATCTTGCCTGCGGACATGACCACTATTCTATCCGCGGAGCGAATCGTGGATAACCTGGCATTGTGGGAAACAGATGAACACACAAATTAACGTAACGGGGTTTGGCATGATTGAGGTGACAATCCACAGACACTTAGTATCGTTACGAGAGCCGAATGCAAACACCATGACAGGCAGCGAATGCTGTGTAAATGAGCAGGGGAAATCCAACATACCGATGAGCAATCACAATGATGGTCCGTTTTCTCCTTCCCATTGCCGAATCGTCATGCATGGCCTGGTCCAATGCCATCTGCAGGAACACTCACATTGGCGAGAGACACAAAGTGACGGAGTGTTGATAGATTTGACAAACAGGGTGAGCAGCTGGATGGGGAACTGAGTGCACTCACCTGCACGCACTCCATGCCTTCCCCCTTCCGCACAGCAAAAAGCAGCAGCTTACTATTTTTCCTGCACTCCACACCACACTCTTCTCACACGCCCCCCTCCCCCCTCCTCCCCTCACCTGTACGTAGTGCTCGCTCTCAGCATCCAGAGCACTTGTAGCTTCATCCAGAATCAGCAGGGTTGGGTCGCGCACTAAAGCCCGGGCAATCGCTATTCTTTGCTTCTGCCCGCCGCTCAACCGGGCATTGTCCACCACTGTGTCGTAGCCCTCGGGCAGCCCTGAAACAAATTGATGGACGTTGGCCTGGGTTGCAGCTCGGGTGATTTTTTCTTGGGAAATTTCCTCTCTGCTTCCATAAGCGATGTTGGATGCGACGTCTGTGCTGAAGAGACGGGGTTCCTGATGGAGCCGTGTGGGGCAGGGAGGAGTAGAGAGTCGGGAATGGGGAATGGGGAATGGGGAATGGGGAGTGGGTAATGGGGAGTGAGGAGTGGGGAGTGGAGTGCAAGGTATGGTAAAAGTGGTGGAAAGATGGGTCTTGTTCATTCTGCGCATCATTAACATGCAAGGCAGAGTGTGTGGTGTGTAGATTGAGCATGTTTGTTGATTGCTTGGGGGTGATTGACTTAGCATGAAGAAAATGCCTTCGGAGTGATAGGAGGAAGAAAGTGGGAGAATAAGAAGAGAAAACTTAAGGTAAGCAGGGAAAGGTAAAAGGAGAGTGGGGGATGAGTAAAATGAGAGTGGGGTAGAGGCGAGCTCACCTGGCTGACGACGCCAATGTGGCTTCTCAGCCATGCGATGTCAATCTCTGGTAGAGGCACGTCGTCTATAAGCACCTGTGAACAGACAGACAGTACGAAACCATTAACGAAAATCCATCAACATTGCAGAGCGGAGCGCATGCATGTTGTTTCTCTCACCCACTCCTCTCACCTGCCCCTCTGTGGGTTCGTAGAGGCGTTGCAGCAGCCCTACTAGAGTGCTCTTGCCACTGCCACTGAGCCCCACCAGCGCCACCAGCTCGCCTGGTTGGATGGTCAGGTTGATGTGATCCAACACCGGTGCCTGCAGAGAGAGGAATGGGGGGGAGAGGGGAGGAGGGGTGGTTACTTTCATTTGACGTTGAGATCCAACACTTGTACCTATAGAGGGGACAGTGCAGGGGAGGGGGGGTACATCAGTGGTTGATCCAACATGGGTGACTGTAAGTGCAGGAGGGGAGTTGATGGCAAACATAAATATGGGTTGGGGAAGAGAGGGAGGGAGAGGCAGTGAGTGTGGAGCAAGGAAAAATGTTATTAGCAGGGAGGGAGGGAAGCTGATAACATCATCTAGAGAAATCATTTCTTTCTGCTACCTCAGGGCGGGTGGGGTAGCGGAAGGAGAGATTGCGGAACTCCAGCTTGCCTTTCAGCGACGGCAGCACTCGGCCTGATGCCAGGCCGGGGGGCAGGGGAGCAATCAAGGCGAAGATGGAAAGGCGAGGGTAGGGGGATGAGGAGGATGAGTGGGAAGACTGAGGATGATGGAGTTGAGGGTGATGATGGAGTTGAGTGGGATGAGGGTAGCAGTGTGATGTGATGGGATGGGATGGGACGGGCCAACAGAGTCCATAAGGGAGGCCCAGGGATACCACACGCAGCATCATGTGCCCATAGGACCTAACAGAGCCGTAGTGACAAGATGCGATGACAGGAGCCCGTATTCTACTCTTGACTCCCATAGAGGCACACCCACTCACTCTTCCCCTGTGTGAGCAGCACTCCCAACATGGCCCTGTGTGAGCAGCACTCCCAACATGGCCCTGTGTGAGCCCTCTCACCATGGTTCTGAGTGAGCTGCTCTGAGGGCGGCAGGTCGAGCAGCTGGAACACGCGATGGCAGGCGCCCACCGAGTCCATGAGGGACGCCCAGTGGTCGCCCACCCACCACGTGGCGTGCACCACCCACTCCGCGTACAGAATGAACTGCGTCAGCTGCTCCGCTGTTATGCGCCCTGCCATCACCGCCCCCCCTCCCATGATCAGAGCAAGCACCTGAGGGGTGGCAGGTGGGGGGAATGAGGAAAGGGAGTAGTGGAAGGAGAGGAAGTATTTTCAAGAATTTGCAAAAACACCCAGGAATGCAGTAGCACCACATGACATGCACCATTCATAGTGGTTAGAACATGAACTGCGTCGGCTGCTCAGCTTACATGCGCCCCGCCATAGCTCTCGCTGTACCTACCTGCATGGCATTGTGGACGGTGTTGTGGGGCGTTAAGATGAGACATCTCACCAGATGTCCAAGAGCGTACCTGCGTGGCATTGTAGATGGTGTTGCCAGTGCACGTCCACATGCCTATGCCACTCCAGCGAGGGGAAGAGGAGACGAGGAAGTGAGGGCTTTGACACGTCTCAATAAAGACTCTGTTCTTATGAGCAGGCGTCTTAGCATACCTGCGTGGCGTTGTAGATGGTGTTGCCAGTGCACGTCCACACGCCTACGCCATTCCAGCGAGGGGAAGAGGAGACAAGGAGGTGAGGGCTTTGACACGTCTCAATAAAGACTCTGTTATTATCAGCAGGCGTCTTAGCATACCTGCGTGGCGTTGTAGATGGTGTTGCCAGTGCACGTCCACATGCCTATGCCACTCCAGCGAGGGGAAGAGGAGACGAGGAAGTGAGGGCTTTGACACGTCTCAATAAAGACTCTGTTCTTATCAGCAGGCGTCTTGGCATACCTGCGTGGCGTTGTAGATGGTGTTGCCAGTGCACGTCCACATGCCTAAGCCACTCCAGCGAGGGGAAGAGGAGACGAGGAAGTGAGGGCGTTGACACGTCTCAATAAAGACTCTGTTCTTATGAGCAGGCGTCTTAGCATACCTGCGTGGCGTTGTAGATGGTGTTGCCAGTGCACGTCCACACACCATAGGCCACGGACCGCCTCAGACCCACATTGACTATGCGCTGAAGAGGCACCTCGTACCTGATAAACGCACACTCACATGCACACACAGTTTGATAATTGATTAAAGCACCCCTGCATCGCACACAATCCTGTAATGAGCAGCCTATTCAGAAAGCAGGGGCCGGTGAGTGACGAAATGCAGTGTGGCAGGGAATGCAATCCATCCACAGTGCACTCAATACGTGATGGACTGCAGGCGGGGCACCCAACTTAGTGCACAAAGAGCGGCCTCACCTCTTCACCTCCTTGCTCTCCGTGCCAAACGTCCGCACCACTCGGGCGAGAGACAGAGTCTCCTCCGCCACCTGAGGTGGGGTCAATGGGGGGTGGGGATGTCATGGATAGGGGTGGGGTGGGGATGGGTGGCTTTTCTGTTGGCCCTTTCTAGAGCGAGATTATGTCATTCGTCACCTGTGGATGGCATTAACGGGACGGAATAGTCGGAGGGTTTTTCTCACCCACGTGGGGCGGCGGCCACAGTGTCCTGCCCTGCACCACCATGGAGGTCCGCTGAAAGAGGCGTTTCGAGGCGGCTAAATTCTTTGCCCGATTCCTGCCCGCCCCGGTTTGCTCACCTCGTTGGCGGCTGCCACAGTGTCCTGCACCACCATGGAGCTCCGCCGGGAGAAGCTGCACGGCAGGGAAGGCGATGGGTGGGTGGGAGGCATGGCATGGGAAGGTGGGGGAAAAGAAAAGGTAGTCAAGTGAAAGCAGGCGAACTCAGACAATGAGCGGCGACGCGATTCAACTCTGGCGCCCGCCAGGAAAATGCTTGTTTCTGTTACACGTGAACTGCCATGGATTGACCATGAAAAGAGCCCACATACCTGCCATAGACCATGAGCAGGTACCACATGAGGCCACAGAGCGCAGCCGTCACGAGTGCCATCTGCCAGCTCAGGCGGATGAGGAACACAAACGCCCCTATGCCCTGTGAGTGCGGGTAGGTGAGGGAATGGGGGAGGCGGTATGGGGGATTGCGCATGGGGAAAAGAAAGGGGTGGAAGGGGCGTCCGGGTGACATGAGAGGGGATCAGAAGCGATGTGAGGATGTGAGGGGACACGAGGGTGTGAGGGGACTGAGGGGGCATGAGTGGGTGGGAGTGAGTGCGAGTAGGATGAGGTGTGGTGCGAGTGGAATCAGGTGCGATGGGCGGGGGAAGGGGGGGAGTGGGGGAGGAAGGGGGGCGGGAGAGGGGGGGAGGGGGAGGGGAGGAGGTGCGGTGCGCAAGGAATGAGCGTGCGGTGCAGTGTATGAGCAGGCGGTGCAGCGTATGAGCGTGCGGTGCAGCGTATGAGCGGGCAGTACAGTGTATGAGCGTGCGGTGCAGCGTATGAGCGGGCGATGCAGCGTATGAGCGTGCGGTGCAGCGTATGAGCGGGCGGTGCAGTGTATGAGCGTGCGGTGCAGCGTATGAGCGTGAGGTGCAACGTATGAGCGTGCGGTGCAGCGTATGAGCGGGCGATGCAGCGTATGAGCATGCGGTGCAGAGTATGAGCGTGTGGTGCAGCGTATGAGCGGGCGGTGCAGCGTATGAGCTGGCGGTGCAGCGTACGAGCAGGCGGTGCAGCGTACGAGCGTGCGGTGCGGCGTATGAGCGTGCGGTGCGTCGTATGAGCGTGCGGTGCAGCGTATGAGCGTGCGGTGCAGCGTATGAGCATGCGGTCCAGCGTACGAGAGTGCGGTGCAGCGTGTGCGCGTGCAGTGCAGCGAATGAGCGTGCGGTGCAGTTTATGAGCGTGCGGTGCAGCGTATGACCGTGCGGTGCAGCATATGAGCGGGCGTTGCAGCGCATGACCGGGCGGTGCAGGATATGAGCGGGCGGTGCAGCGTATGAGCGGGCGGTGCAGCATATGAGCGTGCGGTGCAGCGTATGAGCGTGCGGTGCGGAGCATGAGCGTGCGGTGCAGCGTACGAGCGTGCGGTGCAGCGTATGAGCTGGCGGTGCAGTTTATGAGCGTGCGGAACCTGATGCTGAACCTCATGCTGAACCTCATGCTGAACCCTATGTTGGAAAAGTCGCCAGCCTGGGCATGCGTACAGCGTATATACGTAGACGAATATACGCTGTACGCAATACGCACGTACATTCGTTCGAAAAAATCTAGGCTGCCCGGCCAAAAAAGAAAAAGAAAAAGTTAGCGCACGAAATTGGGAAATGCGTCGCGACACACATTGTGCGCACGAATTTTGCAAATGCGACGTCAAATTGTTCGCACTTCGTCGACCCCACCAACACACAAATTTGGCAAGGGGACATTCAAATCAACCGCATTGCACCGTCCGTTACCCCGCGACTCCAACTCAGCTACACAAATGTCTCCAACCAGCCTACCTCAACTCTCATCAAGGACAAAAAGGTAAGTCCCTCCCAACCCTAAACATTCTCATCAGTCACATCGTCCAATTCTCTTTCTCTAGTTCTCTCGATCACCCCGCAGCTCTACGATGACGCCCCCTACTGGCACTGGCACTCCCGCGAGTGCAACTGTTCCTAGTGCCGCCTGACCGGGAAAAAGTTTTACCTGCCCGGGCAGCGTATTTTTCACGTAATCTTGAGTCACCCATTCAGCGCATCAGGTATTATACGCAAGCATATATAGGCTTGCGTATAATACGCTGGGCGACTTTTCCAACATAGGCTGAACCTGATGCTGAACCTGATGCTGAACCTGATGCTAAACCTGATGCTGATGCTGAACTTGATGCTGAACCTGATGCTGATGCTAAACCTGATGCTGAACCTGACGCTGAACCTGATGCTGAACCTGATGCTGAAGTCAACATATATTTTATGTGTTGTTTATGTTAATCTAGGTGTGACATTCATATTTCCTAAAGTTAGGGTTAGGTCACATATATCTTGCTTGTTTTCACTTTCCTTAGTCAACACTTACAGTTTTGTAACTTGACATGGTATCAGAGTGGTTTTGTGCGGTTCTGTGCGGTTTTGTGCGGTTTTGTACGGTGGAGAGTACCGGGTGGGGCGGCTGATTCCGGGTGAGGTGACTTGTCCTTGGAGGGAAGCAGCCAGTTACACTCGCAGGTTACTCGGACTCGTCGTGGGTCGACGACGCGGAGACGCGTCGGTCTACACAGGGGTACTCCTTTAGCCTCGGGGCAGGTGCTATTTCGTTGCGGTCGACTCGGGCATCGTCCGTTGCCAGTTCCAACTGTGAGGCAGAGGTGTACGCTGCGGCCATGGACGCTCAGGAGCTTTGCTGGCTGTCTTTCCTTCTCACTGACCTTGGTGAGAGACCTCGCTCTCCCCCAGTCTTCTTCGCCGACAACAGGTCTGCTGTCCTGTTGTGTGAGGAGCCCCGACTGGTTGGGAAGGCGAAGCACATCCAGCTTCGTTACTTCCTTCTGCGTGAGTTGCACCAGCGTGGCCAGGCACTTGTACGACGTGTAGTCTCTAAGGCCAACACGGCAGATATCTTCACCAAGGCGTTGCTGTCTTGTGACCACCATCGTTTCTGCGCCCAGCTTGGCCTTGTGCCTGCCCGTCCTCACTTGCTTACGTAGACATGCTTTGTCTTGCTTGTCTTGTACTCTTGCATCTCTTTATATTTGCTATATACCTGCATGTGGACTGGCCTTGTGGCCTTTTGCTTGCTCTTGTATTGTGTGGTGACTTTGAGCTCCACCCTGAGATTTATCTTGTTTGTGTGGATTAATCTTGTGACCCTTGCTTGTTCTTGCTGACTGGTCATGTGACCCTGGATTACTCTCAGACTTTGAGGGTCCTTGAGACCCACCATGAGATTTATGTTGGTTTTCACAGGACTCTGGTACCGTCACCTAGAGTATGGGGGTGTGTCATCATATATTTTATATGTTTTGTTTATGTTAGGTGTGACATTCATATTTCCTAGAGTTAGGGTTAGGTCGCATATATCTTGCTTGTTTTCACTCTCCTTAGTCAACACTTACATCTTTGTAACTTGACAGCTGAACCTGATGCTGAAACTGATGCTGAACCTGATGCACCTAATGCTGAACCTGATGCTGAACCTGATTCTGATGCTAAACCTGAACCTGATGCTGAACCTGATGCTGATGCTGAACTTGATGCTGAACCTGATGCTGAACCTGATTCTAATGTTGAACCTGATGTTTAACCTGATGCTGAACCAAATGCTGATGCTAAACCTGAACCTGATGCTGAACCAGATGCTGAACCTGATGCTGATGCTGGACCTGATGCTGATGCTGATCCTAGTGCTGATGCTGAACCTGACGCTGATGCTAAACCTGTCAACGGGAGTTGGGTATTGGCCCCGTCCTCGCTTGGGCGGAGCCGACTTCGTGGTCGGGTGTGAGGGGAGCAGCCGGCCTTCAGCAGTGGGTGAGCTGGTCGACGAGGAGGTCGACCTGCACGGGGGACCACTGCACGGGCGCCGACTTCAGGGTGGCGCCGACTTCAGGGAGGTCGACTTGGGTGTCGACCTGCGGAGGACGTCAACTTGGTGACGTCAACTTGGGGAAGCCGACTTCCACAGTCGGCTAACGGACTGCTGGTCGGCCTGTTAGTGGTCGACTGGACCTGGTGGTCGATGAAGGAGGGGCCGACGTCGACCTCGACTCAGGACGCCGAGCAGTTGGACGTCGAGTAGCGGGGCGTCAACTTCGTGACGCCAGCTTCGGGTGGCCGACGTGGGTGGTCGGCCGACGACTGTGCTGGTCGACGTGGAGCTGGTCGACCAGAGGGGATGTCGACCTGGAGGAGGACGACCGATGGTGTCGTCGACCTGGTGAGGTCGACGTGGAGGTGGTCGTCGACTTGGGAGGTCGACGGGCACGTACGGGAGCTGCTGGTCGACGTGGTTGCCTGGTCGACCAGGTTACCTGGGTGACGAAGTGCTGCGGAGGAGTGCGACGGTCGCCCAGGCGAAGTTGGCGAGCCCGACCTCGGTGGTGGTATCCCGAGGTCGTCGTGGCGGATCAGAAGCGGGCGTCAGCTCGAGGATTGACGTGGTGTGTGCGCTGTGCAGGTGACAAGACTCTGCACGCCAATCATCTGCGCACAACTGCGAAGCAGGGTGCACTGCTGTCCTGCGTGAGCAACGCTGTCACGCCGTCAACCTGCGACGTTGGCACGCCGTCGACCTTGCCTTGCTGGAGCGCGGTCGACGAAGTCGTGCTGGAACGCGGTCGACCAAGCTGCGCTGGCAATTGGCCGACCTGAATGCTTGCTCTGATGTAGTCTTGCTATGCCAACTTCATTGTACCAATTGTTCTGAATTTTTCCTAGTGGAACTCTTGCCAACTTTCCCCGTGAACTAGCAAGTAGTGTGCGCACAAGGAAAACGACTAAGGAACAGAGAACGCAGAGATCACACGAGCACAAGTGCCTAGCCTGCAGTCTAGCTCCCGTTGTAGCAGTTATCTCCGCAGAACCTGATGCTGATCCTGATGCTGATCCTGATGCTGATCCTGATGCTGATCCTAATGCTGAACTTGATGCTGATGCTGAACTTGATGCAGCGTATGATCGGACGGTGCAGCTTACGAGCGGGCGGTGCAGCGTATAAGCGTGCGATGCAGCGTATGAGCGAGCGGTGCAGCGTATGAGCGGGCGGGGCAGCGTATGAGCGGGCGGGGCAGCGTATAAGCGGGCACTGCAGCATATGAGCGTGGGGTGCAGCGTATGAGCGGGCGGTGCAGCGCATGAGCGGGCGGTGCAGCGTATGAGCGGGCGGTGCAGCATATGAGCGGGCGGTGCAGCATATGAGCGGGCGGTGCAGCGTATGAGTGTGCGGTGCAGCGTATGAGCGTGCAGTGAAGCGTATGAGTGGGCTTTGCAGCGTATGAGCGGGCGGTGCAGCGTATGAGCGTGCGGTGCAGCGTATGAGCGTGCGGTGCAGCGTATGAGCGTGCGGTGCAGCGTATGAGCGGGCGGTGCAGCGTATGAGCAGGTGGTGCAGCGTATGAGCGGGCGGTGCAGCGTATGAGCGTGCGGTGCAGCGCATGAGCGTGCGGTGCAGCGTATGAGCATGCGGTGCAGCGTATGAGCGGGCGGTACAGCGTATGAGCGGGCGGTGCAGCGTATGAGCGGGCGGTGCACCATATGAGCGTGCGGTGCAGCGTATGGGCCGGCGGTGCAGCGTATGAGCGGGCGGTGCAGCGTATGAGCGGGCGGTGCAGCATATGAGCGGGCGATGCAGCGTATGAGCGGGCATGGCAGCGTATGAGCGTGGGGTGCAGCATATGAGCGTGCGGTGCAGCGTATGAGTGTGCGGTGCAGCGCATGTGTGTGCGGTGCAGTGTATGAGCGTGCGGTGCAGTGAATGAGCGTGCGGTGTGCATGGAATGATCCATTGATCCGCACTGCATAACCTGCAATCATAGACAAACCCCTCCCACTGCCCCACGTGCAGGGCGTTGCGCAGCATGATGTTGAGGTTAATGGCCACTGTGTGCTGTTTTCATCCATGCCCAACTCGCATGCAACCAACCCCATCCCCTCCCTCCCTCCCACTGCCCACCTGCAAGGCATTGCGCAGCATGATGTTGAGGTCGATGGCCACTGTGTGCCCCTTTCATTGATGCACACTGCCTAACCCGCACCCATAGCTCGTCCCCTCCTTCCCTCCCTCCCTCCCTCCCACTGCCTACCTGCAAGGCATTGCGCAGCATGATGTTGAGATCAATGGCCACAGTGTGCCCGGCAGCCTGGCAGTCGGAGCCGAGGCGGGACGTGAGGTCGCCCACTGATTGGCCGTCAAAGAAGGCAATGTCCTGCCGGATCAGCGTCTCGTATAGTGCCAGCCGCATTCGCCGCACCTGGACATGAGCAGGGGAGGGGGGTTTGCAGAGTCAAAGAAGGAAGGAGATGTCCTGCCGGATGAGTGTCTCGTATAGTACCACCCCCATTCGCCGCACCTGGACACCGTGGGAGAGAGAGAATTGGTTAAGGGGTGGGGGTGAAAGAAGGAGATGTGGTGGCGTATTAGGATGGTGGGAAGGGAGCCGCATTTACCACCGAGTGGAGAGGAGCGCAAGGGTGTACAGATGGGCTAAGGAATCGCAGGTGAGGGTTAGAGTGCAAGCAGGCATGTGAAAGGAGCGTGTTGTGCAGTCTGCACTGACCATTTGGAGGTTGAGGAGGGTGAAAGAACTTATGAGCTTGTTTAAAAGGAAAGGGGCAAGCAGGCATGTGAGAGTTAGGGTGCTCGGCAGTGTGCACTGACCATTTGCAGGTTGAGGATGGTGAAAGAAGCGGCCCTCAGCCCACTGCTCGGAAGAAAAAGACAAGAGTGAGACGAGCGCAGGGGAGAGGAAGGCAAGTCAGTGTCGCTTAAGTTGTCTGTGGGTACAGCATTGTGCACACCTGAGCATGATGCACACCTGAACATGACGCACACCTGAGCATGATGCACACCTGAGCATGACGCACACCTGAAGAGTCCGCAGGCGAGAGTCATGGTGATGAGGAGGTGCACGTTGCGGTCGAACTGGGGTTTGAGCCCGTTGGACGCGGCGAATATGGTGGCCGCCAGGAAGTGCGGGATGGTCACCTCCGACAGCTGGTGGCGCACAGACGTGGGGGTGTGGAAGCGATGCGAGGGAGAGGGAGAGGAGGAGGGTGGGGGGAGAGAAGGAGGGAATTTCCAATCGCTGGTGGGGGGGAAAAAAGGGAAAAGGGTCACCTCCGACAGCAGGAGGCAAAAAATCAAGCGGTATTGGGGGCGAATGTGAGAAGAGGCGCGGGCCCAAGTGATGCGGGGGGGGGACGAGGTTGGAAGGAATGGGTATGGTAAAAGAGACGGGGGGGAAGATGCAGTGTGGGGGGGGGGGGGGAGAAAGACCGTGTGGTGGTGATGGAGAGCAGGGATGAAAGGACATGAGGGGGTGGAGAGAGGCGTGAGGGGTGTGGTGGAGTACAGGGAAGGGCAACATGCATAACACATGCGACCTCGCGTCTCTGGCTTGAAATTCCGTGGTGTTAGGCGGAGGGGGGTGGGGGAGGAGAGGAGGAGGTTCATTCACAAAGGGGAAGCAGGACTGACGGCGGCGAGGGCGAGGCAGAGCGAGGCGAGGACGAGCATGGTCCTGTTGGGCGCGCAGAACCGCCAGAGCTTGCGAATGGCGTCCCACAGCTCACCCGGGGAATCCCCACCCCCACTCCCTTTCCCACTGCTATCCCCACTGCTGCTGCTATCCCCACTAGCCCCTTTTCCGCGTGCTGCTTTCCCCCCAGCCAGCTGCTGCAGGTCCCACCAGCTCCCCCGTGGCAGCACGGCGCGCAGCACAGCAATCGCCCTCCAAACCGCCACTGGAATCCTGCGCATCGTCCGCCCAAACGCCTCCGGAAAACCCGCCGTTTCATCTGGTAGCACGGCACTCCGCGAATCATCCTGGGCCCTTAACTCAGATTCGCTGCTGATTCTTGCTCGAACCCCGCCGTTTCCTTCACTGGCATCATCAACGGCCGAAAAGTTTCTCTCGCTCACAGCGCTGCCGTTTTCGACTCCAGGTGCAGCTTCGTGGTCAGTCGAGTGCTCATCTGTAGAAATGTGGCTCGCTGGACGAGCACCGTCGCTCTCCTCTACCTCACGAGCAGAAGACTTGTATTGCTCTCGCCGGGTGCGCGATCCCGTAAGGGCTCCGTTGTCCTCCTCTATCCCTGTCTCAGAACCCATCTGCGCCTCTTCATACGACTCGATTTCCCACACCCCGCCGCCGGTTCCACCTCGTCCCGGCCCTTGCTGGTCACCCAGTGACCACTCGCGGTGGTTGCTGCCATCTGCTGTCTGGCAAATGATAGTCTGGCGACGGTTGTTACGATTATGGATTGGAAACGACGAGGATGACGGGAGTGATGCAGGAGACGGACGGTGCAAGAAGCTGGTACTTACTAACCGGCGACGAATTGTAGAATTGACCTTGCAGTCAGATTTAGCAAGTTGACAGAAATGGGATTTTAATCCTTTGCTAGCCGAACCGCTAAGAACAGGGCGAAGCGCAAAAACTGGCTGATGGGGGGAACCATTGACAATGTGTGTGATCTGGCTCTTGGAGATGCGATTTGATTCTCCAGTGAGCGGTAAGTGACCATGATTCATGGTTCGAGCGGGTTGAACAGTTGACATTGTTGCTTCTATGGCGGCATGAGAACCTCGCACGGTCCTAATGGGGTTGAATTATTGCTTTGAATGCAGGGTACTGGGAGTGATGATCTAAGGCTGATGCAAGGCTGGAGCTAATGAGCTCCGAGAACTTTACTTGGCGGTAACGTTGAGCATGCATTAGAATGAGGGAATGCGTGACCTAAGTAATTTGCTATAGCAATCACGCTTCAAAGATCATTTGGAGACTTGAATCCAAGTGCAGCCATGGAGTAGTGGTAAAAGCTATTCTGTCCAGATTGAGAAGGCAGTCCAGGAAATGAGTATGGGGGATACTCTATCAGAAGCGGGTGGTGCGAGGGAGTGCAACTGAAATGTGGTTGGCTATCCGTCCGAAGCTAAAAATCTGAGCCGTCGGATTCGATCTGGCAAACATCAAGGTGTCTACGCAACTGTGGTCCGCCCTCTGGCAAGCCTCAGGGCGTGTCCAGCGCGTACGTTACAACCTACCTCGCGCTACAGTTACCACTTTTTAGAATTGTTTACATCTTTTTTGGACACGAACACCTATGATACGTAAACCAGTAACAGCCCACACGTGCGCCGAATCGTTAACATGACGCGAAACGCACGTAACAAACCTCAGAATCAGACTTGCACGCGTCCACGTTGCTACAGTGACGGCTCAACGAAGTCAAGGCCGAATTTCGTGAGAATCTGGGGTTTTCGCGAAACTGAATCTTGCGAATTTTTCTGGGAATCGAATTGCCGCCCTTCTGGTTACAGAGCTGTGCTGTCGCCACTGTCGCGCAACATGATGTTCGGCTTGTGCTGAGGGGCGAATTGTGTCTTTCCGCACATTTTTGGACGCGAAACCAGAAGGGTACACCTGGCGGTACTGTTTCTGTGAGCGATTCAAAATACGTTAAAATTAAGTTAAAATCTCAAAGTGTACGCGCTGGACACGCCCTCAGATCGGTTCAGGCTAGCCGGGTGGCGGCCCCAATCTGACGAGCCGTATACTTCTGTGGCCCTCTGAGCTTCGAGAATTTCGAGGTGAGGTACACGTGGCATGACACAGACTTATGGTGTCTGGATTCACGAAGAGGCAGAGTAACAAGACGAACTTCAGCCAAAACGAAACGTAGTTTCGCATCACCTTCGTCTTTTCGCATTCTCAAACTGATTCGCTAGAATTCGCCATCACTCACTTGACATTCCACGTTGCCCCCAAGCACAGAAACCAGCTGGATGCTTCATTCCCAGCGTCAGCGAGCAGAATTGCAATCCCAGCAGGAGCTAAAGCGAAGTTCCAGCAATTCCGCGAATTCTGTGGCAGAACCGGCCTCGTAGAGCTTGCTGATGGGCACAACGCAAACAGGGAGGACTATAACTGCGTTATGCCAGCATTCAAGTCGATATGTTGCAGTAAATTAAACATCGGCGACCAGAGCGTAAACGTCTTCGCCAGCAAGCGTTTTCGGTCTCATCCGCGTCAGTGCGTGACTGACTCACAGCATCGTATTCCGTCAGCGGTTTCTCATTCTATCAGTTGTTTCTCCCGGTATTCAGCCTCTCGCACTCCAGTATTCAGCCCTTCGAGAAATCGCCGCATCTCGAAACGTCTGTCATCCTTGTCTGTCTCAAGTGCGCTCCCAGACGCCATGGCTGCTGTGACTGACTCCAACTACCTCGCAATCACCGCTGTAGTCACCATCGCGTACCAGTTATCATTCTTCGTGATTGCTGCTGGCTTCAAGTTCGATAAAGTCACAGATTTTGCGGGTGCGCACAGCCAATACAGCAGGCTCATCAGATGCTCGTTCTCGGCCAATCATCCGTTCCGACATTCCGTAGCTTTTTTGGCTGGTAAATTAAAATCAATATATGTTATTTTCATGCGATGCCGTTTTCAGGAACCACCAACTTCATTGTCCTCGCACTCCTCACCTCCTTCCTCAGCGGAACCTGGTACTTGCGGCAGGTAACGTACTCTAGACCAATTCCTTCTCGTCGCGACTCGTGTACTTGCGAAAACATAGGGTTACCGCCTTTGTTGAAAGTGTTGGAATGACGAAATTCGGAGGGTCTTGCTAGGAGGCGATGATCCCCCTGCTCATTGGTTCCCGGCTCTCGTTTCCTGCCTCTCGCTTGCGCCTTGCCTGGGACTGTGCAGGTGCTGGTGACATCCCTTGTCGTCATCTGGGGCCTTCGCCTCGGCCTTTTCCTTCTCTTCCGGTGTGTTCACCTGCTATCATCCAATTATTCCTCCTAGTGTCCCGTTACTCTGGTCCTCCTCTCTATTGCGCCCTCTGCATCATCTCCTAACTTATCTCTTCCAAATCTCACGGTTCCAACCCAACCCAACCCTCCGTTTCCTGTGCGCCTGTCAGCATTCTTGCATGGGGGGAGGACCATAGGTTCGATCAGACGCGCAACAACGTCCTGCAGTTCGCCATCTTCTGGGTGTTCCAGGTACCACCCTCACGTCACACTCTACCTGCCTGTGGCCTCTCCACACTCTTCCTGCCTGTGGTCTCTCCACACTCTCTCTTCCTTCAATCTCTGCCTATCTAATTCCCCCCACCCCTCTCCTCGTCTCATCAAGCGGTGTGGGTGTGGGTGGTGTCACTCCCAGTCACCATCGTCAACGCCACAGTCACACGCAACCCCCCTCTGGCGCTACTTCACTCTCTGCCTATCTAATTCTTCCCTCCCCTCTCCTCGTCTCATCAGGTGGTGTGGGTGTGGGTGGTGTCCCTCCAGTCACGATCGTGAACGCCACAGTCACACGCAACCCCTCTCTGGACCCTCGCCACTCTCTACCTGTCTAATCTCCCCCTTCCCCTGTTTCCCCTCCTCGTCTCATCAGGCGGTGTGGGTGTGGGTGGTGTCACTCCCAGTCACCATCGTGAACGCCACAGCCCTCGCAACCCCCCTCTGGGCCCTCCCGACACGCTGGGTTTTTTTTAATTCCCCACTCCCTCTCCCCAATATCATCAGGCGGTGTGGGTGTGGGTGGTGTCGCTCCCAGTCACCATCATGAACGCCACAGTCACCCGCAACCCCCCACTGGGCCCTGTAGACGCGCTGGGCTGTGCGCTGTGGGCGGCAGGCGTGCTGCTGGAGGGGGCGGCAGACCAGCAGAAGCTGCAATTCAAGGCAGATGCTGCCAACCGCGGCCACTGGTGTGACGTGGGCGTGTGGAGCTGGTCGCGCCACCCCAATTACTGTGGCGAGGTGAGTGTATGTAGGGAGTGTGAGGCGGCTGGGTATGGGAAGGTGAGTGAAGGGATAACGTATGGTGCAAGTGAGCGTTTGCAAGGTACGTGAGTGGGAGATGGCAACGCGTACGTAGAAGAGCCTAGGTGGGGAATGTGTTTCCGAAGGGAAGGGTGCGAAGCACATCAGTCTTGCTGCCACACCACCCTCCCACATCCACCCAACTTCCCCACTCCGTGTGACCCTGGTCAGATCCTAGCGTGGGTGGGGGTGCTGGTGGTGACCTCGGCGGTGCTGCAGGGGTGGCAGTGGGTGGCAGTGGCGAGTCCGCTCTTCACTGCCACCATCCTGCTCTTCCTCTCGGGCATGCCTCTGCTTGAGGTGCGTGCAGAAGGTTGTGTGTCGTTGGTACGACGTGACGTTTAGGTGACGTTGTGAGTCAGTGCGTCCCATCCTCCTCTTCCTCTCCCGCATGCCTCTGCTCGAGGTGCGTACCTTGCACTACGCTTTCCCTTGTGATTCTGTTCATCACTGCATTTTTTTTGTGTCGATTGAGTTATTGCTGAATCCATGTATACTCCTTTCCAACGGCTGTCAATGTCTCACTCCATGCCTGCCCACTGCCACCATGCACGCATCCCCTCATCACTGTCTCTCCAATCCCACCATGCACCCATGGCAGGAGTCCGCCAACAAGAAGTTCGGCCAGCGAGCGGATTATCTTCACTACCGTGCCAACACCAGGTGTGTGTGATGCACTGCCAGTTCGGTCCAATCAGTTCATTCAATGTGAAGAGGTTTCACCTGCGCACAGCCAGCAACCACATCTGTGTGCCATTGTCTGTACCTTACCCTCCCTCCATCCGTGTCCTCAGTGCGTTTCGATTCCTACTGGCCACTTGTTTGTGTTCCTCTGCCTGGTGTGTGCAGCCCTCTCATCCCGCTCCCCCCTGGCCTGTATGCCATGCTGCCTCACTTCATCAAGTTTGCATTCCTCCTCGAGTTGCCCATCTATGCGGAGCATCTTTCAACTGCCCGCAACTCACTCATTCAAGAAGACTAGTAGCCGTTAGAGTAGATACCGTATTGAAAAGCATCGAAGGCTGTTCAGCTGATCGTATTGACCACCTGTAACTGCACAGCGGTGCACTCATGCAATAGGAGCAGTAGAAGCCATGTTGGATGTGCTTTGAATGATCCTGGACAAGTGCCCAGCCCAACAACGTACCATACGAAGGACCTTTCAATTGCCCGCAACTCACTCATTCAAGACGACCAGTACCCCTTTTATATCTGGTTCTGGAAATCCTTGAAAGCTGCACTGCCCTGTTGAGCGGACCACCTCTCACTCAACTGTCAGCAGCAGCTCATTCATTGAAGAATAGCAGCCAGCCGTACGGTATTGTAAATGCTCTTGAGAATGGTCGAAAGCTGCTCACTGCCCAGCCCAGCTACAAGAATCAGCTCTCCACTGCCCGCAGCTCATTCGTTTTCCAGATGACTAGTTGCAAGGAGCATAGGGAGGGTGGCAGGAGGGCAGCAAGGGGGGGATACTTTTGGGTGGTAGAAAGCAGGGTGGAGCCATTTGAATTGGAGATGCAATGCTGTTCAGCTGGCCGATGTATCATGACAGTGACAACCAAGTGGCTGCTCAGCGTGCTTAGCAAGCTGATGAGGTCATCCTCTGGATGGGTGATGGTGGATTATGCAACAAGTGAGCTGTACCATCTGCTGCCGCAACAGCAAGAAAAAAGTGCCTCAACAGCAGCATTCTCACCAATTGCGGCAGAGTGCCACGCGTCAGCACAGCACTCTATAGTCAACCATGCAACCTATCATAGCACAGAATAAACAACCACTAATGTTCTCCCATTTCCTGACCCAGGTACCGTACTAAGGGTGGTACAGAGCTGCATTTGCATAACACAGTGACAGCAGTCCTTGGAGCAGCCAACCCCCCTCACAAGTCCCGTAGCAGGTTCTTGGAAGCTTCGTATGTTGACCAGACAATGGCAGCGGCGGGCGTGTGGAAAAGCACTCGTGCTCGCATGCCCCTCAGCAGCGCCCCCCACCCCTCCTCCCTCACTATGCTGCGCAGCGCTGCCGTCACCGATGCACTCTGCAGCCGCTTCACTCCACAGACACCCTGCATGCACAAGTTTCAGTGTGGGAGCAGGAGGCAGTGAGGCGAGGAATGGAGGTGTGCAGTGCAAAATGGTGTGGTGGTGTATTGACGCAGTACCGCGTCAATACACCATTGCACCATTCCCCAGATTCTTCACTTTACACACACTCTGCACCCTGCATTGCACACACCAGCACCACCTCCCCACCCGTGCACCCTTCAACCCACCTGGCATTGTAGCCGTGTCTTCACAACGTCAAGAGGATTAGTCACAGCACTGGCAAGAGCGCCAGCAGCGCCGCCCGCCAGCACGTGAGTGAGCAGCCTGTCCTCGTCCAGCACGCCCTCACCAGGTAATGCCTCCCCCGGTAGCGCCCGCCCCAGGCCTGCCTTGCTGGCCTCGTACGTGGCAAAGTGCACGGCTGTAAAGGGCACGTTCATGACTAGCGTGGTGCGATAGGAGCGGTAAAAGGAGTAAATCCCCTCTTCTTGTAACATCTGATTCGAGTAAAATGTGTTGGGTAATGAAGAGAAGGGGAAGGGGAAAGGGGAGGGCAGGCATGGGGGCACATTGGAAAGATGCATGGCTGTGAAGGGCACGTTCAAGACCAGCGTGGCGCGGTAGGAGCGAAAGAAGGAGTAAATTCCCTCTTCTTGTAACATCTGTAACATGTGGGGAGTGTAGGCGGGCACACAGGTGATGAACACGCTGTGAAGGGCTCGTTCATGACTAGTGGTGCGGTACGAGCGGTCGAAGGCGCGGATTCCCCTCCTCCTGCAACATCTGGATCTTGACAGGCGGTTGGGGGAAGGGGTGGGCGGGTGGGGGAAGCGGAAGGGGAAAGGAGGGGCATGGGGGCACCATTGCACAGTGTACGGCTGTGAACGGCACATTCATGACGAGTGGTGTGGTTGGAGCGGTCCAAGGCGCGGATTTCCCCCTCCTGCAGCATTTGGGTGTGGGAAGATGCGTTGGGGGGGATGGGCGGGCCGGAGGGGAAGGTGAAGGGGAACGGAGTGGGCATGGGGGCAAATGTGAAAGGCACGTTCATGACTAGCGTGGTGCGGTAGAGGGCGCGAGGAAGGAGAAGGGGAAAGGGAAGGCATGGGGACACTTTGGTCAAGTGCCCGGCTGCCCTCAATCCTCAACAACCCATCCAATCCTCGCACGGCGCTACCCCTCAGCCTTTCCCCCACAGCCATATCCCCCTACCCTCCCTTCCCCAGCCTCTTCCCCACCAACCTTCTCCCCCTGCTTCCTCTCCCCTCCTCTTCCCCCACTCCGCAGTCCTGCACCCTCCTTGAGAGTGCCGCCGTGGGAGACTGGGGGGATTAGGGAGAATCCCAAAGAACCACCCACCTGCCCACCCACAGGCCCACCCACCGTGCGGCAGCAGTCCACCACGCCAGCATACGGGCTGCGCCGCAGCTGCAGTCATTTTGAGAGGTTTGTGAGAATTCTCAAGAACCACCCACCTCCCCACCCGCCTGCCCACCCACGTGCCCACCCACGTGCCCACCCACGTGCCCACCCACGTGCCCACCCACGTGCCCACCCACCTCCCCACTCGCCTGCCCACCCACGTGCCCACCCACGTGCCCACCCACGTGCCCACCCACCTGCCCACCCACGTGCCTACCCACGTGCCCACCCACGTGCCCACCCACGTGCCCACCCTCCTCCCCACGCACCTTGCGGCAGCAGTCCACCACGCCAGCATATGGGCTGCGCCGAAGCTGCAGGCGCTGCTTCACGACGTCCATCGGCGTCAGCACCGCGTCGCTCGCCACCGTCGCCAGCGCGCCCGCCGTCGCATGCGCGACTGCTGGCGGCAGCGAAAACCCTAAAGCCGGCGTAAACCCTGAACCATCGGAGACGCTGCTGCTGCTACTACTGCTGTTTCTCAGTAACGACTCTTTCGCCGCTTCGTAAACGGCGAAGTACACGGCATGGGCAGGACCGGCCCCCAGCCCCATGGCAGCTATTCCCCGATATAAGCCTGCCGCGCCTTCCGTTTTAAGGATAGACGAAACTGCGTTCCGGATTGTGGGCGAATGCGAGAGGGTCTGCGCTGCTGCTGATGCTGGATTTGTGATAGAGCACGTGGATTGGAAGGCGCAAGTGGCAGCGGGGACGCCCCTAGAGGCGGAGAGAGACGAGAAGGAGGAAAGCGCGGAAGGAGAGGCGGACGGGAGGGCGGAGAAAGCGGCGGAGGGTGCGGAGGGCGCGGGGGGAACGGGGGGAACGGGGGGGCTGGTGGTGGCGAGCGCTTGCATGCGCGTCTTGATTGTGTCGACGGGGAACATGGCCATGTGCTCTACCATGCCTGGCGGGTGGGAGGGCGCAGCAAGATTGGGAGGAATTTTCGAGCAAAAAAAAGATATCAAGTATTTCCAAGATTCTCAAGGAGACAAGGCCACGTGCTCCACGAGGCACATTCAGACAGAGACGTTGACAGGGCATGTGGGCGCGTCGGTGATGAGGAAGGCGGAGAGACGACGAGACGGGGGGGAAAAGGCTGCAGCAGCAGGAATTAGGATTCACGGTGCGAGAGTTTAAGAATGTGAGCGAGTGGCTGGTGACGCCATGGAGAGTGGCGGGGGAGCTCTTTTGAGCGAATCGGGATCGTCGGCGCAACGAGCGGGACGCTTTGCAGACGCTACGACTCGCGTTTCGGTCGGGATCCGCGACGCAGCCTGCGACACTCTGCTATGGGCGACACGCACCTGCGACACTCTGCTATGGGCGACACGCACCTGCGACAGATCCTGCGACCATGTGCTGCCAGAAGCTCAGTCCGTCGTCTCTGCGATCGTCCTCCTGCGCCCCTGCCGCCGCCACTTGCTGCAACGCGGGTGCTACACCCGCCCCGTGATCCGCGCCGTGATTTCCGGAAGCCCGCTCCGCAGGCTCGTCAGCACCGTTCCTTCCGCTGACCGATGACTGCCTGCTCACGTCGCTCTGTATCGGCTCCGCTACAGCCGCCCCCTCATCGGCCCTTTCTATTGGCTGAGCTACAGCCGTCCTATCGCCTGCCTCCATAGCAGCCATCCCCCTCGCCGGTGCAGACATTCTCGCTTCCGTTTCAATAGCCTCTAAACTCAAATCCGATCTGCCTTGGTTACTTAGGTCCGATCTACCTTGGTTAATAGTCTTCGATGGATGCGGCGCCAAATCTCGGCGTGCGATGGTTCGCGGCGGGAGCAGTCTGCCGACCTCGGGAGCTGCGGCCGCTTCGATAGTGGGCGGCATTCCCTCACGTCCGGTTCAAGCAGAAGGATCTTGGAAAGCGCACGTCTACAAGCTTGCACCAATGTCCGATCTCGCAGAGAGGAAACGATGGCGGCCCTGTAACTCACTAGGAATCGTGGATCCGAAATACTTGGGCGACGTTCGGCTGGAACGAACAGAATGAAGAATGGATGAATGCTGGGCTGGGACTTGAGAGGAAAGAAGCCATGAAGCGCGGTGCATGTATATGGTGGGAGTGAAGGAGCAAGAGAAGAAACCCCCTTCTGCTCACGTGGCGTGGCGCCGTGTTGGTGACACTTCCTCCAATGCCCCACATTGCTGGTAGTTGACACAGATGTGGGGCAAACGTGATGGCCGAGGGTTACAGCGCAGGCCCGTACAGGTCAGGAGATATGTCGGCAAATCAGGAGACTGCAGTACAGTTTCATCCGCTCCCGCCTGCAAGCTGTACTGTACAGCTGGTCCAACCAGGTTCATGTGATAGCGAGCGAGTGGTGCGTCCACATGGCGTGAATCTGGTGTACCCCAAACTGCAACATTTTAGCGAATTAATGGATTCGCTATCGTATATAATAGCTTCATCCCTTTACACTTCAGGATGTAATTAACACGATATAGTGTTTGACAGAAAACGTCGTCTCCTTTTTAGGTACCAGGAAGGGGTGAATGGCACGATCAACTTTACAAATACAGCATAAGGAAGTGCTATGGCAACACCACTTGCACTTAATAACGAGATCTTAGTCTGACAATGAAGTGCGCGTTGCTGTGGCGTGTGTGTGCGTCGTCACGTGCGTGCATCCGCTTGGATAGGTAAAGACAGGACGACATGGCCTTGACGGAGACGCAAGACCAGCACCAACAGAAAATCTTCTCTTTCGGTCAGACAGCCGCAGGCGTCCTACAAATCACGCTCCACTCATCTCACCCACAATTGGCCATAGCATGGCGGGCACGCGAATGTGGTGAGTTTCAGACCTCAACTAAACGCGGGGCGAGCTGGCTGGTCTGGTCTGTCCTTCAAGTTCCGCGATACCCGCCAGATGGAGCGGGGCCTATCTGAACTCCGTGGAGTTGCAAAATGCCACGCGGAGGGCATTTCACGGTCAATGGGATATGCTTCGAAATATCACCCAATGACATCCATCTACCGCATTCTTTGTGGTTCATCTTACTCGACGAGCAGATTTTCCCCCATAGGAAGGAAACTGTATGATGAATGTCTGTTGAAGAGGCAATTCTCGTCCACGGATCCCCAAGCGCCACCGGTTCGACGGTCGGCTGCCACAGAATCTGCCAACCTAGAATGGAATTCAGGACAAGGGACGAAGCAGATCGAGGTTTGTCTACTCTTCAAAGCCACGTTCGCGACAGCTGTGCACGGCTGGATCGTCGTCCTTCCAGTCGCAGGTAGTCGTCGTAAAAAAATCTGGGTCGTGGAATGCGGACCGGACGACGTGTTCCTAGCAGGCCTGTCGCTTACTCTAAACCCAACCCTTAAGAAGTTGAGCTGGCCCAAAACCAGCCCGGAAGGATCCGGGTAGGGGCTGATTTTGGCCCGTAAGAATCAGGTCTGGCCAGTAAGAATCAGGGCTGACTTCAGGCCTAGTGTATTTGCAGCCAGCAACATACCCGCTTACAAGAACTATGAAGTTTCAACTAAATGTGTTTGAGGCGGATTCGCGGATAAGGGGTCGGAAACTCCAAGGGGAAGCTAGTTCGGGAAAGGGTGGGGGGGGGGGGGGGGGGGGGGGGGGGACTACACGGAAATCCGGCAAGGCCCAAAACCAGTCCGTTAGGGTCCGGCCAAGGGCAAAACCAGTCCGTTTTCCTTGCGGGCTTCCTCGCAAACTAACCCTTAAAATCTCTGAGGTGCGTCAAACCCAGCCCTGAATTCTCAGGACAAACGGGAAAATGCCCGTGAATCGACAGGCCTGGTTCCTAGACTGTCGCATGCGTCATCTTTACAGTCAAGCATGGGACTCGTGGAGGGTGGTCGTCACACAGACAACAGCAGCACCATAGAGGCTAGCGTTTTCCCTCACAGCAAGAGCATGAACCTTTGTTTTCTGGGTAAGTAATGACCATCACCCACATGCAGAGAAGGTCTATTTGGAGCTCCAACTAGGACCTGGTTCACAGAATGTCAGTCAGAACCTCCCCGTCCGTCGCCAGACCATCCTTGTCTTCCCCTAGTCATGTTCCCACCAGCCGAAGGAAATGATCGCCTCTTTATTTAACAGCACAGAATTATTGTTGCTACACTTTAATAAGGGCTTGTCTGAAAGCCCGAGCCATTGTAGGTCTCTGTGCTTCTTTCGAATATTTCAGGGTGTTTTTGAGGCAGCTGGAGCGTCACAGCAAGCCAGAAATAAAGCCGCGTTACAATCATCTCTTCCGCGTAAGAAGCAGGAGTGAGCTCCGCACCTGGGCCTTGCTATCCACAGACATAATCCTGCCCAGCTGTGTGCATTGTGTTACATAACACGGCCGACCACCACAGTCCTCCACATCCACATTTGCAGTACTGTGTTCCTGGTCGGACGTAGCTGGTCATACACAGCAAGATTCCCGTCAGCTGTTCATTTCTCAGCATTGCAGGTTCTCCACCCTTACTCGCAATAGAATCTCCCCTCAGATAGCCGCTAATTCTGAGAATACACGAGGAAATCTACCTTCTACCAGCAACTACGCCATGGCTCCAGATTGCGGTGAGCGGTCACAGGAGTACAGGAGAACTCAGACAAGCAGCCCCGCGAAACGACCACGAAAATGCCCCAGCGACTTGTTACTAGCGTCGCCACTCTCCGATCTTCGTCTCGACGACGACAGCGACGCCGCGCAGCCTGCGACGACACCGTCCAGCGACGCCGTGTTTCCGGAATGCACGGCGCGCCTCGATGATTACTTCTCAATCTGCGACGAGCCAATCGGTTCCGGCCATTTCGGCGTCGTTCGCCGGTGCGTGAACAGGGCAACAGGCGAGGTGCTTGCGTGCAAGACGATTCTGAAGGATCGACTGCTCACGGAATCAGCGAGGGAGGACGTGCGGCGCGAAGTGGCGATAATGCAGACCGTCGCGGGACACCCGGGCGTGGTGCAGCTTCGAACGGTTTTCGAAGATGAATCAGAGATTCATCTCGTCATGGAACTGTGCGAAGGCGGGGAATTGTTCGACGAAGTCGTGCGGCGAAAGAGGTTACCAGAGAAAGAGGCGGCGCTGATATTCCGTCAGATCGTATCGGCCGTCGCGTTCTGCCATTCCCGCGGCATTGTGCATCGCGATCTGAAGCCGGAAAACATTCTCCTTCACCGGAGACAACCGACACCAACCGGGACTTTGCCGACACGCCCTCAGAACCCCCCACAGCTGTTCGCGAAAGTCGCGGATTTCGGCCTTGCGGTGCAGGTCGATCGGGAAACCAGGGCGTGCGGCATTGCCGGTTCCCCATTCTACATCGCACCGGAAGTGCTGAGCGGCGAATATGGGGCGGAGGCGGATGTGTGGTCGCTGGGCGTGGTGCTGTACGTGCTGCTGAGCGGCAGCCCGCCGTTTTGGGGCGCTGACGACAACGGCGTGTTCCGCGCCGTGCTGGAGGCGCCGCTGGACCTGACGAGCGGCGCGTGGGCGGGGGTGTCGGCGGAGGCTAAGGGGCTACTCCGCTGCATGCTGCACCGCGACCCGCGCCGACGCCCTTCCGCCGCCAAGCTGCTCTCCCACCCCTGGATCCTCGTCCACGCCTTCGGCGGCCGCGTCGTGCGCAAGATTGTGTCGCGGCAGGTTATGGCATCTGCGGTTGCGGGTTCAGCTGGAATGACTCAGAAGAGCCAAGTGACTGGCGGAGCAGCGAGGGAGGACGGAGTCGCGACTCTGCCTGTCTTGAAAATGTCAGCATAACTCTTTCAGCCTGGATTCGATTTTGAGTTGATCCGTCTTGGCTTATTACCCGTAATGGCATTCTCCCAAGGTGAAGCCACCATGGCGTGTAGCACAGCTGGGTAATAATCACGAGTATTGAGTAATTGTTGTGAGTATAGGTGTAAGAGCATGACAACTCGTTCTTTCTTTGTCAGACACTACGAATTTCAGTGACTGTAGCACCTACGGGAGTGCCATTAATGTTATTCACAGCAGACAGTTATTGACTGAAATTCCCACATGCAAGAAATCTACAAATTGCCAGAAATTGCGTTTTTTTCATATACTAGACTATCATTCCAGAACATGCATACATATAACCATGTCACGTCTGGATATGAATCAGTTATTGCACTCCAGCCTGCTGTAGACTGAGCTTCACGTAGCTCTCAGCCTTCTCCACAGGAACAAGCGGGACCACATCCGCAGCCTTCTTCACATAGGCGAAGTCGGATTTTTGAAACGATGCGACGACGGTGTTGTACTTACTGGCTGCTGCGAATACCGTGGGGTAAGCTGCTACCACTACATGGGGAACAAGCGGCATGGACAACGCCAAGCGCCACAAGAAGACAAGGTAAGCTGACAGAACCGGCTCCAATGAGTCGTAATAATAGGATTTAGCTGCGCCAAGGGCCCCCTTCTCCTGATAGCCGTGAAGTGCCTCCTTGGCACGCACCGGAACAGTGCGGACAAAATCAGAAGCTCGGAAAGCCAAGTCTCTAGGGATGTAGCTGTCCGCGTACTTCAGTGCGACGTCAACCTGAATGCCAAACGGATCCATCAGACTTCATGCAATATAGAGAGAGGGTATGATGGGAGAGGGCATATTCAATCTTACCTTCTCGTCTGCGAAACGAAGTACTTCGTCTGGCTTGTCCTCAATCTTATTCCACACAGGGCCAATCACGGTCCTGACCATGCTCTCCACCCTGTCAATTCCTGTTCGAAGCGAGCCTGAGTTTCCCTTGGCTTGCTCGTAAAGCTTAAAGAGGAGGATGTACAAGCTTATCACAGCATGCCTGGCAAATTCGAGATGCTTCAGACCTATGTCGGCTGTGGGAGAACTGCGGGACGAGGAGGGATCCGCCATGGCCTGCGTAAACCTGCTGATATCAACTAAGCAAGAAAGCGAGTTGCTTGACAAGATGCACTGATGGAGAGTCGCGAAACAGACTGCTGAAAATAGGCGCAATCGCTAGTCAATGGCTGCAAGTTGAAGAGGCACAAGCAGTTGCGAATAATGAAAATGGAACTTCTCTGGAAAACTTGAATCTGTGACGTCGGTGGAGAGGAAGAGATGGGACCTGGAAATGACAGCAAGAACGACAACCGCAAGCAACCATCGATTGGTGTGGACGCTGGGAAGGGTGTAAGTTCGGGCAGGAGAAAACTTTGCCACGATTGGTGAGATTCTTTTCACTCTGTCATCGCACTGAAACGAACGGCAGTCACCACTTCCCAAGAAGTGCATCAGAACATCTGGGCAGCTGGTTGGGACCACATGGGAGCGATTCGGCGTGCGTGTGACGTGATCTGTCAGTCAACTCAAACTTCCAGAAGGCGAAAGTTACTGTACAAGAATATCTACAGAATTTTCGAAAGCACCGGCAGGGAAGAAGGATTGACGCATAAATGTCCCTGAAACACGTAAGCCGTGACCAATCAGACACCGTCTAACAAGGAAAGAAAGTGCACTGTCGCCTACGAGCTCAGTTGGATTTGTCATGGGTTGCGTCCCCTATGAATACAGTCAGTGGGAGAAAGGCAATTGTACAAGTCAGCGACAGCTCAATATATTCACTTCCGCCTAATAACAGAGATACCACCCATATATGGCCGCAAAACCTCTGGAATCTCTACAGAACCATCTTCTAATTGGAAATTTTCTAGAATGCTCACGATCAGGCGAGGAACCGCACAGGCAGTAGCATTCAATGTATGGGCAAACCGTGGTGGAGCCAAAGGTGCCTTGGCTTTGCCACCTTTCTTCCCCTTCTCGGGCTTCGTTTTGCTTGCTTCCTCATCACCAGCATTGGATGCAGGGCGGTATCTGATGTTCAGCCGACGAGCTTGATAGTCAGTGCAGTTTGACGCGCTAGAGATCTGAAATCCACAATCAGATGCAAACATCAGGATGAATTTCTACCAATCCGAACGCACCATCACTCAAAAGGAAAGAGTAGAAAATGAACATCAATGCTATACCTCTCCATATCGGTTGAGGCCCGGCATCCAGGCCTCGATGTCAAACTTGCGATAGGCAGGAGCACCTAGATCAGCTGTTGGCATGTCCAAAGTGCTGTCGGCAATGGGGGGAACAAGAGTAAAACTCCATAGGTGAGACTCGAGAGACAGGTGTGGGATGAGATGGAAAGCATATGATGAGCAGACAGAGACAGGACAACCAAGACTTGAACCGCCTGCAAGGACCGTACACGAAGTGCAGTCCGAGAGCAGTGTACATGTCCTCCTCGATCTGAATGAGCTCCTGGTGGAAGGCATCGCTGTCCTCCGGGCGGCACACCACAAACATCTCCAGCTTGCTGAACTGATGCACGCGGTACAACCCCCTGCATTGGCGCAGCAGGGGCAGATCGAATGGGTAAGGGCGAAGTGAAATAGAAACCGGGTTGCTTATGAACTCGCTGGTGAAAACACGGCATGAGTGTGTAAAATGGGCGAGAATTTCCTGGAAATGATTGGGTGAACTAGAGTGTTGGGCCTGCCTCACCCCGCCCCGTCCAATGGGCTCCACATAGTAGGTACACAGGCAATTGCCCATGGCCACTGTGAGGTGCTTCAGGGGCAGGAGAGAGGCACAGCCCCGGTCGCTCTGGCTTACTTAAATTGTTTGTTGATTGCTGGCCATGGGAAAAGACCAGCGATCGACCGTCAGTAAGCGGGGGGTAACCTTCAGACACGCATGCCTTGATATAACGCCCACCCTTGGCAGCATGTCGACAATTACTCTACCAAGAACAGGTCGCACTCCTCTCATTCCTCTCCCCTTCCCTGAACCCCACGTTACCTGGTGGCAGAGCCGGCAGCGCCAGCCTCTGTGCGGAAGCAGTGGGAGAAGGCCACAACGCGCTGTGGCAGATCTGATTCGCTCAAGATCTTATCCATGAAGCTGCCGCCCACGGGAATCTCTGCTGTGCCGGCCAAGCACAGATCCGACCCCTCCACTGAATACACCTGCGTGTTGGCAGCGCGCGGCTGGAAGCCGCATCGCTCTACGACGTGCGCGCGCACGAGGTCGGGGGTGGATACGGGCGTGAAGCCGCGCGCGACGAGCAGCGCGAGAGCCCAATTGATCAGCGCCATCTCCAGCAGCGCCGCCTCGTTGCGCAGATAGTAGAACTTGGCGCCGCTCACCTGGCGGAGGGGGGAAAAGAGGCGGAAGGTGGGGGAGATACCGGAAATTGAATTGAAGTGGACGCGCCAGTTAGTTCATTGCGCAGATTTCTGAACTTTGTGTGGAGTTGACTAGCATGGGGACTTTTACATGAGGCTAAGCTACTAGAGCAAGTGCGGAAGATGTAATGCTGGCGAGAGACTCAAAGGGGAGGTGGAATGAGAACGGGGGGAGTTCAGGAAGGAATATTAGACTAATGGGAGGGGAGGGAGGGGGTGCAGAAGTGACAGATACACAGCAGGCACCCAGCAGGCTTGCCAGCAGGCTGAGCGCACCTCGGCAGCGGAGTCGAAGTCGAAGAGGTCGAGTGTGAGACCGAGCTCCACGTGGTCCTTCGGGGGGAACGCGAACGCGCGCTTCTCGCCCACCGTTCGCAAAGTGACAGCCACTTCCTCTCCGCCACGTGGCACGTCAGGATGGGTCAAGTTGGGGAGGCGCTGGCCCTCCCGCTGCAGCTCAGAAGCCACCTCCCCCAGTTCGGCCTCGAGACCCGCGAGCACGTCCTTGAGGTGCTTGCCTTCGCTCACCAGCCTCGCCCTCTCCTCCGCCTCCAGCTTGGCCTTCATTGCGTTCGCCACTCTGTTCCGCTCCGCGCGTAGCCGATCCACCTCCTGGAGGATTGATAGCCCACGCATGCAAGCACACCATGCAGCATATGCCAAGAAGATCATGCACGATAGACTGCTGAATTAGCAACAGATAGTGATTCCAGAAGTAGTCTTGCAAGCATAAACAATGTAATATTAACATAATTAAAGAACTATTCTTACCAAATTCTTTGAAACAAAGTCTTCGTAAAGCTCCACGACAAGAGCCACGTCAGCATTGGACTGACGTTCCTTGACATTAGCCTCCATCAGGTCCCGGTTCTCCCGTACCCACTTGAAGTCAATGCTCGCCTTCCACGTGGCAGGAGGAGCAGCAGCCGCTTTCACGGAACCGTCGTTCGATTGACTCGGAGGGGACACCTCCTTCGCCTCAACAGCTGCTGAAGAAGCGACCACTGATGGCATCGCTGACGATACTGACGCGTATGGTCTCAATCGGTCATTCTGCGAGTGAAGTTGCGTTCCAAGGAACGAAGTGAGGCGACTTCCTTGGACCAAGGCGTTAGTCGTGGTTTTCTTGTGCAATCTGCACGGGTTGGCAGTTGGAATAACGGGTGGTCTAAGCGACAAGCTTAACGCCTCTGCTGCGTTACATGCCATTGTCGCGATTCGTTGCTGAGGCAAGCTCAGTCCAGGAACGGATGATTCGAGAAGGTTGAGCCGGCGTATCACAGGAAATGGCAAGCCGTGGCTTGAAAGCAGTCTCGTGAGCCCGCGCTGAAAAATGTTCATGCCCTAATTGCTCTCAACAGATGCCACTAACAAGCGGCTTGGTGGCAGTGGCAAACTCCTCACCAGAACATAACCTCAGAAAAACAGGAACACATTCAGTGAAATCTGGAAGCCCTGAAGCTTTTTCTGTCAATGTCTACCCAGTCTGGAGAAAGGGATTTCCCCCTGGGATGGGATTGATGTGGTGGAGTTGTGCGCTAATTGTTATCCTTGGCAGATGTTATTGGGGCTGCGGAGGAGCTGGGTCCACGTCATCGACACACTGGCAAATGCAATCGGCTTCCCCTGATGCCACGTCTTGGCCCAATGGCGTTGAGGATTAGATCAGTCTACACTACATTTAGCAAATACTGAAGGACGTTTCAATTAGCATGAAACCTCAGGCAAGTGAAACATAAATCTATCACTAAAGAAGAAATAGAGACGCTGTCAGATTTCCATGAAGGGTCACAACCGTCGTCCAATAAATAAACCTGCAAAACAACACGTCCCATGAAAGTTAGAAATCTTCAGCAGTATGCACAAACTCGGCGACGCTCAAATAGGACCACGTACCTGAGTTGCAGGGCTACCAATTCTTGCCACCTCGTCGACCACCTCGACCCCCTCGGTTATAGCCACCACCACGCCGGCCTTTCTGAGGAGTTCCACCTCCCCTGCTGAATTTGAACGGGCCCGGTTCACTTGACTCAGCTGCTGCTGGCCCATCCTTGCTGTCAGCCTCATGCCTGCTGGCAGGATTAACAAACTTGAATGCCTCACTTTTGCTGCCAGCACTTTCATTGCCAAAACCTGTAGGCAAAGCTACGGCTTCAGCCGACACAGGTTCAGCGGGCATAGGTCCAGCAGGCACAGCTTCAGCTGGAGTAGCTTCGGCAGGAGTAGACTCGGCAGGAGTAGCTTCGGGAGGAGTAGCCTCGGCAGGAGTGGCCTCCACAGGAGTTGCCTCGGCAAGAGTGGCCTCGGCAGGAGTAGCCTCGGCAGGAATAGCTTTTGCAGGAGTAGCTTCAGCAGGAGAAGTTCCAGCCGGAATAGCTTCAGCTGCCTCCTTTGCGTCTACACCTGCCTCAGTCACAGCATTGTCTTGGTTCGCTGCACCACCCTGACTCACTGCATCACCCGGGTTCACAACACCGTCCCCCCTCAAGGCAACATCAGATTCCTCCTGATGCTCCTGCACGCCAGCCTCCTGCACGCCAGCCTCCTGCACTCCAGCCTCCTGCACGCCAGCCTCCTGCACGCCAGCCTCCTGCACGCCAGCCTCCTGCATCTCAGGGTGGACGGCAGGTGGGACGCCACTACTGTACGACTCCAACACAACCACCTGTTCTCCACTGCCACCCGCTTCGGAGTCCACCTCCTCTTGCAGCACCTTCTCTTCCTCATTCAACTGCCGCTCCCCTACCTCATCGCTCTGCTCCTTCTCCTCCTCCACCACCTCCTTCTCAGCCCCACCATCCCCCACACCAGCTGTTGTCTGTCCCTCCACTGCGTCCTCCCCCAGACTGCCCTCACTGCTGCTGCTGTCATCACTGCCTGCAAGACTGCGAGTGGACAGCCCGTCAAACGCCTTGAGATTCTCGTCCTTCTCTCTCCCTTCTTCCACTACAGGATCTTTACCACTCACAAGTGCCTGCTCCTCCTTCACATCCACTGCTGCTGCCTCCTGCTGCTCCTGAATCAGCGCTGCCAGCTGGCTCTCCAGCTCCTTCACACGCCCCGCTAGCTCATCACGCTCACTGCCTGCCAACTCAGCAGCCCTCTCGGCTGCCACCTTGGCCGCGTCCAGCTGGCGATTCTCCTCGAGAAGTGCCCTTACATCTTCCAACTGTTTCGGAGTCAGCCCTATCGGCACCTCCACAGCCTCTGCTGCCTCTGCTGCTGCTTCTGCTGCTGTTGCCGCCGCTGCTGCTTCTGTGGGAGATGCTGCTTCCGCATCTGCTGAAACTGCTCCTTGTTTTGATGATGCAGCTACTGCAGCTGTACCCCCTCCTTCTGCTGCTCCTGCTGTGATCAGCCCCCCTCCCAGTGCCTCCTCCTGAGCTTCCCTCATCTTCCTCCAATCCTCCAGCCTCCCCTCGCTCTCCTCCAACCTTCTCTCACTCTCCTTCAGCCTCCTCTCCCTCTCCCCAACCCTCCCCTCACTCTCCTCTAGCTGCTTCTCACTCTCTCTCAGCCTCTCCTCAGTCTCTCTAACCCTAGCTTCCAGCACAGCACACTCCTCTCTCACCTTCTCACTCTCTTTCTCGGCTTCAACCATCGCCTCCTTCTTACCAGCTTCCAACCCCTTCCTGAACGCCTCGACTGCTTGCTCCTCCCCTGCTGCTACAGCAGCCGCCACAGCAACAGCCACCTCTGTCTCCTGTGCCGCTACAGCCTCTGCTACAGCACTCGCAACTGCACCTGCTCCTGCAGCCTCAATCTCTTTGATTCTCTCGGCTGCATTTGCCTCAGCTTGATCCCTCACTGCTTCCACCTCCTTCCTCCTCTCCTCCCGCTCTCTCTCCAGCTGCTGCCGTGCAGCGTCGCCTGCTGCCTCTGCTGCTGCTTCTGCTGCGACATCTGCGGCTGCTTGGGTGGCAGCTTGGGCGGCACGCACAGCAGCAGCCACCACTTGCTCCTGAGACGCCTCTGCCGCTTCAAGCGCCTCTAACGCCTCTCTCTCCTTCACCCTCATCTCCTCCACTCTCCTCGCACTCTCCTGGGCCCTCCTCTCACTCGCCTCTAGTTCATTCTGCAGCACCACGCACCTCTCCTTAGCAACATCGGCCTGTGCCCTCGCATCAGCAGCCAAGGCTTCAGCTACTTTAACCACTTCAGCAGCAGCCGCGGCTCTAGCCTCGGCTTCCGCCACTGCAGCTGCAGCTTCGCTCATTCCCTCCTCCCGCCCCTTGGCGAACCGCTCTGCTGCTTCCGCCTCTGCTGCAGCTGCAGCTGCTGCTGCTGCTCCCTCCCACTTGGCGGCTTCACTAGCTCTCACGTCCGCTACAGCCGCTGCTACAGCTGCTGCTACAGCATCAGCCACTCTTCCTTCCACTGCCGCCTTCGCCTCTAGAACCTCCTGCTGGAGCTCCTCCTCCCTCTGCAGGGCAGCACGCAGCTGCTCCTGCAGCACCCTCACCTGCTGCTCCCTCTCCTCTGCTGCTGCACCCGCTTCTGCCAGCTCCCTCTGCCTCTCCTCTGTCTCTCTAACTGCACCCTCAAGCCTGTTATTCATCTCACCAGCAGCAGCGCGGCTGCTCTCAAGCTCCGCGCTCAGGTCTGTCATCCGCGCCTCATGCTCCGCTATAAGCTGCCCCTGTTGCGTTATAATCGCCTGCGCGGCCTCTGAAGCAGCCTCCTGCATTTCCACGAGCTGCCTGTACTGCCTCTTGAGCTCCCCCACCTCCTCTCGCGCCCCTGCAGCAGCAGCCTCGGCAGCTGAAACAGCGTCAGCAGCAGCAGCTTCAGTAGCCGTCACAGCTTCAGCAGCAGCAGCCTTCGCAGATGATTCTGCCTCTGCAGCAGCAGCCATAGCAGCACTCGCTTCGGCCTTCGCTCTCTCTGCCTCCTCTCTGGCTGCTTCGGCTGCCGCCTCTGCCTGCATTATCGCCGCCCTAGCTGCTGCTTCAGCAGCCTCAGCAGCAGCAGTCTCAGCAGCAGCAGAAGCAGTAACAGCAGCAGCTCGCCCCTCTGCCAGAACCTTAGCTGCCTCTGCCTGCTCGCACGCTGCAAGGAGGACCGCCTCAGCTGCTGCTGCAGCCAGTGCTGCCTCTTCCGCCTTCCCCCTCCACTCCTCCAGCTCTTCAACTGTTGCACTGAATTCCTCGCCCTTCTTTTCCCACGCCTGCAGCCTTGCTTCCCTCTCTGCCAGAACCTGCTGCAGGCCTGCACGCTCCTGCTCCAACTCAGACTGCGCCTGCTCCAAAATAGAGTTCCTCTCTTGCAGCACAGTGCGCTCCTGCTCCGCCAGGGAATACACCCGTTCCAGCGACGCGAATTTCTCCTGCAGCTGCTGCACCTCCTGCTCTAGCACAGCGGCCAGGGATGGCGCAGGTGTGTTGCTGGGGGCAGGCGCACCTTCCTCTTCCGATGAGCTCGTGGGTGCAAGCATTGTACCCTCCCCCTCGTCCCCTGACACCACCTCACTCTTCCCAGACCCCTCCCCCTCCTCATCCACCACACTCCCACTCTCCACTCCACTCTCCTCCCCACTCTCCGCCTTTCCTTCCGCTGTCCTCCCCTCTCCGCTTCCCCCACCGCCCCTCCCGTCCCGCTCCTCCCGCACCTCCCCCTTCCGCTGCTGCAGCGACTCGCACTGCTTCTGAAGCGCATCGCATTTCCGCTCCCACGCCTGCACCAGCGGGCCCATCTCCGCCTGCATCTCCGCGCGCATCTCGTCGCGCCCCTTCTGGTACGAAATCTGCGCCGCCAGCTCTACCGCCGCCACCGCCGCCGCCTCCTTCCGCTCCGCCGCCGCCGCCTGCTCCACCGCCTCGCTCCCCGCCACCTCCCAGTACCGCGCGCGCCCCTCGGTCTCCTCCAACCGCTCCTCCAGCTCCTTCACCCGCGCGCCTGTCGCTTCCGCTTCTTCCGCCATCGCGGCGGAGGCATCCGCCACTTTTTCCCGCGCCATAGCCGCCTCGAGTTTGGCGTCCGCCGCCTCTCGCCGCGCCTCTTCCGCCTCCCGCTTCGCCTCCTCCGCCTCCTCCGCCTGCTGCTTCGCTACAGTCAGCTCCGCTTCAAGTATCTCCACTATATTGACGGCCTCGTGGCCTCTGTTCTCCCAGAGCTCCGCCTTTTCCTGCATTTCCCGCAAATCGTTCTCCAGCGCCTCCGCCTGCTCCTGAACCGCCTGGTATTGCGCGCCCAGCGCCGCGCACTCCTCATCCAAGCGCTCCGCCTCCGCTGCTGCGCGGGCGGCGCGCGCCTCTGCGTCCGCTGCCTCCGCCTCCTTCCGCGCGCTTTCCGCCATAGCCTCCCGCGCAAGCCTCTCCCATTTCTCCGCGGATTCCTCTGCCTTAGAGAGCTGCTCCTCCAGCTGCCTGCCCCGCCGCACGGCGATTTCCAACTCCCGCTGCGCGGCCAGAGATCCTTCCACCTTTCCCACGCGGTACTGCTCCGCTGCTGCGGCCTCCGCCACCTGCCTTGCCGCCTCCTTTGCTGCCGCCACAGCCTCCGCAATCTGCGCCTCCAGTACGCCTTCCGCCGCCCTGGACTCCCCCTCTTCCGACTTCCCCCCACTGGCTCCGCCTGCTTCTCCTTCCGCGCTAGCATTTCCACCCCCGGAGTTGTCCCCGCTTCCGCTTCGCCCCCCTTTGCCTCGTTCCAGCTCCTTCAGCCTCCGCAACAAAGCCTGGCACTGTTCCGCCTGAGCTTCTGCCTCCCTCTCCGCCTCCGCCGCCCTCACTTCCGCGCGCGCCTTCTCCGCGCGCTGCTCCTCCAGCGCGCGCTCAAGCTCCGCCAGCCCGTCCATATGCTCCGCAACTCCCTCCTCCTGGCGTAGCAGCTGTGTCTGCATGTCGAGAATCATCTCGTCGCGCCTCCGCAGCTGCGCGCGCAGCCGGAGCACCTCCTCGCGGCGGGAGGGGAGCCCCGCGGCGGAAGAGGGGCTGGACGTATGCGCGGACGCCCCCAGCCCGGAGAAAGTCCCCACGCCGCTCCCCAGAAGACCCAGCGGCGTTCCGCTGCTCCCCGCGCCTGTGCCATCAGTTCCGCCGCCGCCGCTGGGGCTGGTGCCGGTGAAGCGGAACACGCCAGGAGAAGGGGAAGAGACGGGCGCGTGCGGCGCCGCGCGCTCACCAGTCTGCGACGGGGTGCGCAGCTGAAGCGAGGAGGACGGGCCCGCGCCCGCGCCAGGGGCGGAGCTCTCAGGCGTAAACAGGGGCGCTTTCCCCTTGGCCGCCGCAGCTGCCACGGCGGACGCCGCTGCAAGCGCGTCGGAAGGAAGCGCAGCCCAGAACTCCGGCGCGTCCTTCCCCAGCAGGCCCAGGCCCACCGGGGGAGCCCCTCCCGTTGCTGCGCTTGGCGCCACGAGGATGTGGTGAGGGGGAGCGAAAGGGGGAAGGGAGGGGGCGGCGAGCGCGCCTGCAGCAGCGGCGGCTGTGCCGGCTGCCATAGCAGCGGCGGTGGCGGCGGCGGCGTCTTGACCCGAGGAGAGGGAGTAAGTCCGCGCCCTGCTGCCAGCGCCACCAGCACCAGCAGCAGCGGCAGCGGAGGAAGAAGAAGGGGAGTAGGCATCAGCGGTGTAAGCAGCAGCACTGGTCGCACTGCCCTCTTTGTAAGTCCTGCTGCTGCTTCCCCCTCGTCTCCGCCTCTCGCTGTAGCTCCCCCGCTCCGCGGGCGCAAGCCTTTCCCCCAGGTAGCCCCCCTGCCCGGAGTACTGCTCCCCCAGATAAGCCTCGCGCGACTCCCCGCTGTCCTCTGGCGCGCAATCAGGCCCTCGCGCGCGGGACCTTCTCCCGTGCCCCTCGTGCCCGCGCGAGTGCGAGTGCCTGTGGTCGTATGCGCGTTCGTGGTGGTGGCTGTGACGGCTGCTGCTGCGCCTGCTGCTGCGCCCCCCGCCGTCCCCCGTGACGCTGCTGCCGCGAGGATCGCTCAGGGGGACTGTGAGGCGGGGAGAAGGTGGGGAGAGACAGGGAGGCTGAGCGGGAAACTGATTAACAAAGCACGGCAAGTGGGAACGGGGACAGGAGGAACAGTAAGCGGTTTGGGTGCTTCGCTGAGAAAGAGAGACTCAGAGAGGGCGGTGGGTGAGAGAGAGGGAGGGAGGGAGGGAAGGAAGGAGGGGGTGGGTGGGTGGACGGAGAAAGGGTAAGGAGAAGGAGAGGGACAGGAGTGCCATTCTCCTTGCCTCGCTTCCCGGCGTGTCACTCACCGTTCCCGCCGACTCTAGAAGACTCTCCGTCTCGGCTCCTTTCCAACCGCCCATCGCGTCTTCTCAGCCTCCGAATCTCATCCGCACTTCCCGAACCGGACATTTGTCCCGAGCCTGACATCTGCCCCGAGCCTGACATGCCGAAGCTGTCCGACGGTCCGGTGGAGCCGACGCAGGACTCCGTGAGGTGCGCCTTGCGCCGCTTGTTGCCCACCGCGGACGCCGCGGCGGCAATTGCGCCGCCCGCCAGCAGCACCCACGTGAGGGTGTCGCGGGGAAGGAAGTCCTGCGCGGAGCACGCACGGCGGAAGAACGAGGGAAGCCGGTCAATGGAAGGAGGGGAGAGGGGAGAGGAGTGGGATAGGGAGGTCCACAGAAGAGGCACGAGGGAGCACGAGGGCGCACGAGGGATCACGAAGGCGCACGAGGGAGCACGAAAGCGCACGAGGGAGCAGGAAGGCGCACGAGGGGCTGACTGACCCGTTGAGGCGACACGTCCCGCCGTCTCTCCCGCGACGAGTCCCGCGCGCCGGCCCTCTCCTGCTGCTCGCGCATGCGCCGCAACCGCGCGGCGTCCTCCTCGCGGCGCTGCAGCTCGTGCAGCAGCTGCTGCTCGCTCAGCTCCTCCCACCGCGTGCGCGGCGACATCTCAATGTCCATCGGAAGAACGCGCGTCTGCTCCTCTGCGCCGATCTTCTTTGCCTCACCGTCGTCATCAGCTTCGGCGTCTTCCCGAACCTCCTTGACGAACGGGAGCGAGGATCGGCGGTTCACGCACGGTTTCTTATCGGAGGTCGATGTTTTATTCTCCGTGCTCGACGGCGGTTCCGGCGGATGCTTCATATCCTCCAGAAGCTCTGGCAGTTTGTCGGCGGAGCTCGAGTCGTCGCCTTCTATTGCGTCGTCTTGCGACGGTTCTGCGTGTCGCTCGAATAGGAGCTTGCGAAGAATGCGAGGGTCGAGCGATAACGACCGCTGCGGGCAGTTAAAGAAGCGAGGGAGGGAGAGGGGAAGCGGTAACGGCGACTGCTTCAGCTCCTGGTCAGCATGGGACTGCTTCTGCTCTTCGCCGTCAGTGCTCTGCCCATGCTCAGCCGGCTGCGCGGTTTGATCCTGGTCATTCTGATTCTGGCAGTCTGCTTGTTGCTGCGACTGCGGTTGCTGCTTCTTGCGCTGCTGCGGCGACGGCAGGAACTGCGTGCGGTACGAACCGGCCGGCCGCGCGAGGTTGCTGATGAAGCTGGCGAGCGACGACTCCGACGACGACTCCGGTGCTTGCGACAACCTCACGCGATTCTGCACGGAGTGATGCATGATTGGGAACATGAAGGCAACAATGTTAAGAGGCGGAAAACTCCGGTGGTTGTTGAGAGACAGAGAACGTTATGCAAGGATGGGAGGAATAACAAAAAGCGTGGCTGGCTCTGGCTCCGTTCATACACATGCTGGACATTAGCGACCAAACAGAGGACGCAACTAAGACGTGGTTACGACGCCATAGTCAACCAGATGCATACAGCAGCAAGACTGCGGATCATAGCGTGAACATGAGGAGCAGTTCATGGAGAACAGAGAACCGGACCGTACCCGAATGCTAATGCCCTTATCGTCCAGCGTATACGAAGACCACCCTTCACGCTCCATCTGAATACTTGATCCAGCCAGAAACCTGATGTTAGTGATAGAGTTTCCTAAACCGAGAAGTTAGTGTCAGTGATAGTGTCTCCTAGAGCGCCAGCAAAACATTTATGTCGGTTGAAACTATCTGGCTATCTCCTAATCGGCGACTCTAAGGATAGCCATCGAAGGGAATGAGGAATCAATCTGAAAGCAAGCAATTAGGTAGTCCCAAAGGAAGGGCCAACAATTTCCAAGGTAGGGGTCCAAGTACGGCCGCCAACCGCCAAACCTCATTTGCCAACGAAATTGGCCCCAAAAATGGTGGCCCCTAACGGACCTCGCAAACTTCGAGCCATTACTGACCGTCGATCCTCCGACTAACAACGAAGGGTGATGAGATCGAACGGTAAAACAACGCGTCAAGAGGTCAGCCATCTTCTTGTCTTGGCCTCGACACCTCCCCTCGAGACTCGTTTTTGCATGCTCCCTCCAAACAAAGAGGCTCGGTTTGGCGTGTCGCGTGTGGCTCGGTGGGGTTCGCGCCAATTTGGCACGGAAACGCCAAGTCAAGTAACGGACAAAAATAAAGAGTATCAGCTTATAAAACGTATAATACAGTCCTTGGAAGAAAGACAATTAGCACACAGTAGCAAGAAATAAGTCACATCTGAAACGCGTTTTGCTTGACGTGGATTTCTGTCGTGTGCCTGCTTTCGGAACATTTCGCCGTGTTACAAATAGTCATAGCTGAGATGCATGGCATTGCCATCCAGCGCTCGTGTAGGTTGGGGGAATAAAAGCAGATCTTGTGATGTGGTGTCAGTCCACCGCATTCATAAGCTTCTGAAACGCACTGTTAACATAACGAACCGTTCTGTAGCTCTCGGAGACATCAAGCTATCCTCATTCCACCAGATTCACTTCATGCATCCCCTAACCCTCACCCCTCGTCCCATCTTGAGATAAGCCCATCATTGGAACTCTCTAGATTGGAGTCTGGGACATCAAGGGAGCTGGTTCTCAGCTCTCTTGATTGCCCACACCACACTTGGTTTCTCGTTTTCTTCCTGGTAGGAATAGCGTCTTATCGCTACCCTACCTTCGCGAGTCCGCGTATCCTCTTTTATCAGTATTGTACGCGGCAGAGTATCTTTCAGGCGCCAGTTTGCATGAAACCGTGCAGCTGCTTCCGGTCCGGATGAGTCTGCTTTGAACGCTACCCCGATCTGAGATAGTTCACTACGAGGTGACGCGGAAGGTGAGTCAAGGATATTGAATGCCCTGTCGACTATGTCGCTGGCTTGGTGCTATAAATTCCCCGCCTCAGAATTTACGATCTGGGAAGGCTGATAAGGGTTTCGCCTGACTGTTTTTTTAATGCATTTTCCCGTCGGTTATCTTGCAGGATTCCGCGTCCCCTCTAAAAAACTGCTCTGATATGGACGACCTCGCTAGCGTTTGCAGCACAAGCACGGCGGCGGCTCCAATCGACCCGGCCGAGTACTGGCGACAGTACCACTCAGTGCAGCTCAAAGAGAAGCACTGGGCTAGCGAGTCGGACGACACGGACGTCGACTCCTGGCGCGATACGGACCGCTCTTGGGGCGTGTCGGGCGCCAACGGGTACGGCGCGTCGTGGGGCGCCGCCAACAGCGCGGGATGGGGCTCCTCTACCATTCCCGCCGCCGCGCCAGGGCCGGCGCTGTCCGGAAGTCAAGCAGCAGCAGCAGGTGCATCAGCGACGGGTGCAGCAGCAACCGCAGCGGCAGGAGCAGTGACGGCGGCAGAGGCGAAGAAGAAAAAGGCGGCGAAGAAGGCACCTGCTGCAGCGGCGTCCTCCCCCACTGCCGCAGCAGCGGCGGCGCAGAAGAAACAGCCGCTGGCGAAACCCGGAAGCCCCGCGCCCACGGCGACAAAGAAAAAGAAGAAGAAAGACGTCGTGGGCCCTGGTGTGGCATCTGTGTCGCCGGGTGGCGTTCTCGCCGGTTACAGCGTCAGCGGTTACAAACCGCCGTCGGTGGTAACCACCGCGGCGACCGCAGCTAGCACGAGCTCCACCCGTTCGGTGGCAGGAAGCAGCAGCGCAATCCCCTGGTGGGCTTCGCTGGGCGGCGGCGCGCCGGCCGCAACCGCCGCCACTCTTGCCGGCAGCAGCAGTGCGCCTGGCAGCACGACCTCCGTGCCCGCATCTCCGTCGCCCCGCGTTCCGCCAATGGCGCCCCTTCCGTCAGCGGCTGCGCAACAACCACCTCCGCCTCATCAACCCTCCTTTCCGCCCCACGCCCCCGCGCCTTTCACTCCCTCCGCCCCGCATCTCCCCCAGCAGCCCCAATCCTTCCCCGCTCCGCCACATTCCGCGGGGCCTTCCGCCCCGGGGGGGTATGCACTACCCGTTCAGGGGCCGTACGGCGGAAGAGCTCCTTCCCCCCCAACATGGGGGCATAATCCCGCTCACATGCCGATTGGTCTGGCTGGCCAGATGTCCAACCAGCCTCAAGCTTGGTCCGGGCCGAACCAGGCTTCTGGCTGGTCCGGACCGAACCAACAGCCCCATGGTTTGTTGGGTCCGGGTCAGGGCTGGCAGGGGTCAAACCAAGCGCCCCAGGATTCGCAGGGCCGGAACGAAGGGCCTCCGGTTTGGCAGGGGCCGAACCAAGGGCCTCCGGTTTGGCAGGGGCCGAACCAAGGGCCTCAGGGATGGCAGGGGGGCAATGAAGCCCCTCAAGGTTGGCAGGGGCCCAATCAAGGGCCTCAGGGCTGGGGTGCGCATTCGGGGGCGGGGCAAGGGCAGCAGGCGCATGCAGGAGCGTGGTGGGAGGAGGGGCAGGGGCAGGAGCAATGGCAAGCCCAGGCGCAGGGGCAGGGGCAGGGGCAGCGGCAGTGGCAACTGAAGGCGCATGGAACGGGGGATTGGCAAGCGGCGCAAGCTAAGGGGCAAGCACCGTGGGGCAGCGCACATGGACCAGCGGCGCAGCAGGTGGGGCTCGGAGGGAGGCAAGGCGGGGAGTGGTGGGAGCGTGATGTTGCCAGCCAAACAGGGCCTGTGGGCCAGATGGGGGCTGCCGGCCAACGGCCTCCACCGAGCCCCGGCCTGCAGCCAAGTGTAGGCCCACACCCAAGCATGGGCCCTCAGCCCAATACCCCCCACCACCTGGCCGCGCCCCAGGCAGTGCGTGTGCTGTCCGCTGCGCCCTCCATGCCCCCACCGCAGGCGCAGGCGCCAGCGCCATCCGCAGCAGCGCCATGGCGACCAGCGCCCGCTGCAGCAGCAGGCGCAGGCGCAGGCGCGGGAGGGGCAGGCGGAGCGGGGCAGGGAGCAGGGTTACCGGTGGCGGCAGGAACGGGCGCGCAGCGTTGGGGGGGCAGCCAAGGACCGCCACAGGCGCCGCGCACCCCCTCGGATTCAGGCTCGGACGCCAGCCGGTGTCGCACCAAGGACTCTGGCTCCGATGCAAGCCGGTACTCCGCTCCCGCTGCGCCTGCTCCTCCTGCTGCCCGCGCTGCTGCTGGTGCTTCCGCGGGCACGGCGTGGGGTGCTAGCGCGGCTGCCGCGCCTGGCACTGCCGGCGTTGGCTCCGACGGCAGCAGCTGGCGCCGCAGCGACTCCTCTTCTCCCTCCACGCACCCCGCTCCTCTCGCTGTTAACGCGCCTGCCGCTGCTGCTGTCTCTGCCTGGGATGCCACCCCTGCCCCCTCAGGCGCGTCTGCCTCTGCCACCACTGCTGCGTTTCCAAGCGCAGGTGCTGGCGATGCTGGTGCCACGGCGGCGAGCAGTGCAGGCGTGGAGGGGCAGGTGGCGGGCAAGGTGCCGATTTACGATGGGTGGGGGGATGTCATCGGGTGGAAGGACGCGCCTGTTGCTGCTGCTGCTGTCCCCGCCGCTGCTGCCACTGGCGCGGCTGCTGACGGGGCTGCGGCTGGGGCTGCTGCTGCTGACGCTGGTGCTCAGGAGGGTGATTATGCGGAGGGTGACTATGGCGAGGGGGAGTACGGGGAAGGGGAGTATGGAGAGGGGGAGTATTGGGAGGGGGAGTATGCGGAGGGGGAATACGCGGAAGGGGAATATGGGGAAGGGGAATACGCGGAAGGGGGGTATGCGGAGGGGGAGTATGGCGAAGAGGGTAACGCTGCTGGCGATGGTTACGCTGAAGGGGGTTATGGGGATGGTGGGGGCGGCGGTGGCGCTGCTGGCGGTGATGGTGGCGGTGATGGTAGCGCTGCTGGCGGTGATGGTAGCGCTGCTGGCGGTGATGGTGGCGGAAAGGATGCGGACAGCGCTTTGGAAGGGGGAAAGGTGGAAGAAGATGGGGGAAAATCAGGTGGGGCGAATGAAGAGGCGCAGGAGGGGGACGATGAGTTTTGGGATGCGGAGGAGGGAGAGCTGGAGGGGAGTGTGGGCAGTGGCAGCGGCGGCGAGGGGACGGGCAAGGAGCCGAGGGGGCAGCAGGCGCAGTTTGGGAAGCAGGCGTCTTCCGCCCAGGCGGTGCCAGTTCAAGGAGCAGTGGGAGGTGAGAGTCCGGGCCTCACTTGGCAGCAGCAGCAGCTGCTTGGGAAGGAACCGCTTACCTGGCAGCAGCAGCAGCAGCAGGAGGAGGAGGGTAAACCGCAGGAACTGCAGGATCAGCAGCAGCAGTTTGCGAAACAGCCCCTTACTTGGCAGCAGCAGCAGCAGCAGCAGCCGCCTCAGCAGCCGAAAAAGGAAACACTTACCTGGCAGCAGCAGCAGCAACAGCCGCAGCAGCAGTGGGAAGGCTCCTTGGGAAAAGCCAAGGACAACGACTCCATGAGCGACCTCAGCTCCGCTTGTGGCTACGTGCGCCCCAGGAGCGCTGCTACTAACGAGGACGCGAGTGTAGTCAGCGCTGCCTGGTCTGACGCCAAGTCAGACCTCAACAGCCAATGGGGCGACAGCGCCGGCGCCAGCTGGCAGAGAAGCAGCGGCTGGGGGGGCGCAAATAGGGGTAGCGCCAGCGTGGCAGGGGGGAAAGAGGGTGCGGAGTGGGGGGATGCTGCGCCCAGCAGCGGCAGAGGCTCGGGCCGAACCTCTGGCAGGTATGTGCCGCCGAGCAAGCGGGTCGGCGGGAGAGGGCAGGGTGAGGCGGCAGGAGGGGGGTCGAAGGGAGGGGCGGAGAGGAGCGCGGGGGTGGGGGCTTCCGCGTGGGAGAGGAGCAGCGGGGGGCTGAGCGCTGTTGGTGGCGCTGGTGGTGAGACTGGTGGTGCGTCCACGTGGGAGAGAAGCAGTGTGGGCGTGAGCACTGCCGGTGGTGCTGCTGCTGGTACTGTGTCGACATGGGAGAGGAGCAGTGCTAGCGGGAGTGCTGCTGCCGATGGTGCTGTTGCTGCTGCTGCCGGTGCTGGCGCCTCCACGTGGGAAAGGAGCAGTGGCGGCCTCAGCCCTGCTGCTGTTGATGCTGCTGGCAGTGGCGGTGGCACTGGTGATGGCTGGGGAGTGAGCGCAGTCAAGGGGGATTCGGGAAAGGCTGGGCTGGAGTGGCGAAGGAAGGACGGCGTGTCTCGCTCTCATTCTTCCACGTCCTCTCATTCCGCTGCAGCAGCAGCGATGGCAAACAGCAGAGCAGGGGCTGCTGGAGGGGGTCCTGTGGTGACCAGCAACGGGGAAGGATGGGGGGACGGGGGAGGAGGCGGAGGATGGGGAGCTGCAGCAGCAGCAATCGGTGGTGGTGGTGGTGGTGGTGGTGGTGGTGGCACTGGCAGCAGTGGGAACGCAATGGCTGGGGCAAGTGGAGGAGGCGGGGGAGCAGTGGACAGCTGGAGGGCGTTTGGGGAGCAGAGGCGGGCGGAGCTGGGGGAGGGCGGATCTGACGAGGACATCTGGAAGCAGCAGGAGGAGGACGAGCAGCTCGCGCGCCAGTGGGGGGGCGCGGATAGCGCCGGCTGGGGGGGAAGCAAGGGCGGGGGGGGCGGGCAGTGGCGGAAACAAGGGTGCGGGGACGGGTGGGGGCAGAAACAAGGGCGGGGGGCTGGGCGGTAGCAAGGGTGCGGGGAGCAGGGCAGGGCGAGGGGAGGGTGAGGCTGCAGCGGAAGGGAAGTGGAGGAGGGGTAGTGGCGGGGCAGAGGGGAAGGGCGGGGAGTGGAGGAAGAGCAATGAGCAGGAGGCAATGGTGCCTACTGTGGTGCCTCCAGTGGTGCCCATTCCCATGGTGCCCCCCATTGTGGCGCACAGGGAGATAGACGGGTGGGAGGCGGGCAGCAGGGGCGACAGCAGCGCGTGGGAGACAGAGAGCAACACCTCTGCCGTCTCGTCACTCAATAAGGGCCTGCGCGCCTGGCAGCACGTCGCTACAGCCTCAGCTGCAGCGACAGATGTTGTCCCAGCGGTATCAGCGGCTGTAGCGCCGGGGAGCGTGGTATCAGAGCGATCAGCGACGGACAGCATTCTCTCGGCTATTGGGCTCAAGGCTGGGACCAGCGCTGAGACGTCTCTAACGCCTGAGACTAGCGGTGCAGGTAACCCTGATGGGAGCAGTGGCAGCAGCAAGGTGCGTGGGAGCGAGGGCTTGAGAGCGGATGCACCACCCTTCCCCTCTGCTGCCTCGTCCTCTTCCCTCCCTTCCCCCCTCCGTGCCGATGCCAGCACGTTCCTCCGAGCAGATGCGCCCTCCTTCATCCGTGCGCAAGCACCTTCTTTCATCAGTGCCCAGGCGCCTTCTTTCATCAGCGCCCAGGCGCCTTCTTTCATCCGCGCATCCGCCCCCCCATTCACCCCATCGACCCCCTCCCCTCCTCCCGGCCACGTCCCCGCCCCCTCCACTGTCTCCGCCCCGGGGGCTCTCTCTCCTGCTCCACCGCACCCCACCTCCATGCCCACCTCTCCACCCACCTCCACACCTTCCTCTTTCATCGGCCAATCCCCTGCTTTTGCGGATCCTTCCGGCCAATCGTACGGCGACACGGGGGTCTCCTGGCCGGCTATTCCCCCATCCACCGCCTTCCCATTGCTCGCCCAGCCTGGATTGCCTTCTGCTGCTGTCCCGCTCCCCCCCGCTTCTGCCCACGGCCTCCCACCTGATCCTGCTATAGCCGGAGTGAGCATGGGCAAAAGCATGGGCATGGGGATGGGGATGGGGATGGGCATGAGCAGGGGCACAGGCGCTTTTATTGCCGCAACTGGTGGCGGGAGTATGGGGGAGAGCGGGGAGCAGGGCGGGGGTGGGGGCAGCAGGGCGGAGGAGTGGGTGGGGACAGGCGGTAGTCTGGGCCGGGGTGGCCCTGCAAGTGCTGCAAGCCGTGCAAGCCGTGCAAGTCCCCCTGCTGCAAGCTCTGCTACTGCGAAGCAAGCAACTGCTTCAATCCCTGCTACAGCTGCGCCCAGGGCCCAGAACCCCCAGCTCCCCACGGAGATCGGCAGGGGGGTGATGGCATCACCAGGAGCATCCTCCTGGTCTCAATCCGGGTACGGCCCGCAGTCAGAGCTGCACTCGAGTGTGCTAAGACTGCCGGCAGCAGGGGAGGGGGGCAGTGAGTACATCCCCCCTGTGAGCGAGCTAGATGTGGATTTCTCAGATAGTGTGAGCAATGCTGGTGCGGCTGATAGGGCCCGCGCTGCTGCCGCTGCTCTTGCTGCTGCTGCTGCCGGGGGTAGGGCGGCTGGTGGCAGTCGGTTCGGCCCTGGTGGTGGTGCTGCTGTTGGTGGTGGTTCTGGTGCTGCTGCTCCTGCCGCTGCCGCTGCGGCTGGTGGTGCTGGTGTTCCACCCCGGGGGCAAGCGGTGGGTGGACTGCTGGGTGAATACGAGGAGGACGAGGAGGACGACGAGTGCGCTGGTAGGGATGTGGAAGGCGAGGACGACGAGGATGACGACGACGATGACGAATTAGGTGCGGAGTCGGCATTCGACTTGACCGCCACGGACTACAAGCACTCGCCCGCCGTCGCCCTCTTTCTCACCGACCTCAAGAAGCTGTCTGCCGATCAGATCAAGGCGCAAGATCGCGAGTACAAGTGCCCGGCGTGCAAGGGCGGCAAGGGAGAGACGGACTGGTGGCCGGGGATCCGCGCGCTGCTGCAGCATGCAGAGACGATCCGGTCGCGGAAAATTGGCGCGCACCGGGCGTTTGCTGCTGCCGTGCACATGGATTTGCGGGAGAGAGGGGTTTTTCTGGGGGGTGGGGGGCCGGGGAGGGAGGGGCAGGAGGGGGTGCTGCAGGGGCAGTGGCGGGGGGTGGGGGGAAGGAGGGCGGAGGAGGGGAATGCGACGGTGCTGTGGCCGCCTGTGGTGGTGATCCGGAACACCCGCCTGCGACCCGATGAGGATGGCCGGGTGGGTTGTGGTGATGGATGGGTGCGTGATGGATGGTTGTTTGATGATAGGCGGGTGCATGGTGATGGCGGGTGCATGGTGATGGCGGGTGCATGGTGATGGCGGGTGGGTGTGGGGGGGTTGGTGTGATGGGAGGGTGCGTGATGTTGGGAGGTTGGGTGATGGGGTGAGGGACGGATGCAGAGGGTGGAGTGGGTGGTTTACAATGGTTAGATGGGGTGCACAGAGGAGAAAGGGCAAATGGGCTTCGCAATGGGCTGTTAAGGTCTCAAGCACCGCCCTGCAATTCTTGTTCTGCATCCCTGGGCTTTGTAATGGGCTGTTATTTCCACACTGGATGTGTTTCCTGACCTTCACTGACACTCACTTTCCATCTCTGCTGTGCTGCTTCCTCTCCCAAGCTTCCCTCCTCTCCCTCCTCCCCACCCACTCCACACCCCCTTCCTTTTCCCCCTGTCCCCTTCTCTGGCGTCTTGGTCTTTCTGGAGCAGTGGATAGGCATGGGCAGTTATGAGCTCAGGAAGCACTTCGAGCACTACAAGCTTATAGTCAAGACCAAGCATGCCTATGGCCCTCAGGTGACTGCAATTTTTAACCACGCACTCTCCACTCATGCACCCTCCACACTCACACACCTCCACTCACACACCTCCACTCACACGCCTCTACACACACACTTATACAGACGCACAAGGGAACATTGTAAAAAATTCCTGCCACGCCCCTCTCGGTCTCGCACATATCCCTCGTCCACCTCTCTCAGCCAAGTTTCTTTCTCCACTGCGCCATGCCCTGTGCCCTCCTACTGCCTGTCCTCCCCCATCCCACATCCCACCAGGGCCATCGCCGCATGAGCATTCTGGTCTTTGACGCCACGCCAGAAGGCTTTAAGGAGGCGGAGCGGCTGGCGCAGCAGTTTGAGCGAGAGGGGCGCGGGCGGTTGGAGCTGGCACGGCCTTCTCATTCCATGACTGGGCCCCTTTTCCTCTCCTTCTTCCTCTCCATTCCGTTCTTCCTCTCCATTTCCACCCCTCCTATGTGCTCTCCCCCACCCCATGCCACCAGGGCCATCGCGGCATGAGCATTCTGGTCTTTGACGCCACTCCTGACGGATTCAAGGAGGCCGAGCGCCTGGCACAACAGTTCGAGAGGGAGGGGCGCGGGCGCTTGGAGCTGGCACGGCGGTCGGCGCCGCTGGTGGATCGGTCGGGGAAGCGCAACCTGTTCGGGTACCTTGCTACCCAGCAGGACGTTGATGAGTTCAAACCGGTGCTGCAAAGGTGGGATGTTGCATGAGGTGGTGCGAGGGGACAGGAGGGGGAAGGCGGAGGGGCAAGGGTGGACCGGTCGGGGAAGCGCAACCTGTTCGGGTACCGTGCCCACCCAGCAGGATGTTGATGTATTCAATTCAACCGGTGCTGCAGAGGTGAGGCAGGGTGTGGGGTGGGGTTTGGACAGTTGGGGAAAGGCATGGCTGGGTGGTCCGGTCAGAGAAGAGAAACCTGTTTGGGTACCTCGCGACCCAGTAGGATGTTGATGAATTCAACCGGTGCTGTAAAGATTAGTTTTGAGAATTCTCAAAACTAATCTCAAACAAAATGAATTCAACCGGTGCTGTAAAGGTGGGGCAGGGTGTGGGGGAAGAGACATTTGGGGAGGGGGTGGGGAGGGGGGGGCGGGCAGCATAGGGGGAAAAAAACGGGGGAGCATGGACTGATTGGTCTGGGAAGGGGAAAGGAACCTGTTTGAGTACCTGACGACTCAGCAGGATGTGGATAAGTTCAACTGCTGCTGTAAATTTGGTTGCAGCTTCTTGAGTTGGAAATGCCAACGGGCTGATCGGGGGAACAGCAACGACGACCATGTGCTCGCCTGTGTTCCCTGAACCAAGTAATTCTTCCTTTCATGTCCCGGTCCGTGTGCCCTCCGTGTGCCCTCCGTGTGCCCTCCGTGTGCCCTGAATCATGTGCATGACCGTGTGCACTGAACGATGATGGGTGCATGTGTTCGTGCATGTGTGGCAGGCAAGGCAGCTCTGAAGGTGGAGGTGAAGAGGAGGAGGGAGGTGGTGGAGGAACCGCTGCGGCGCATGCGCGAGCAGGCAATGCAGGCCGGCATGTACAAGTCTCAAGTGGTGGAGGTGAGGCAGGGGTGCTGGGGGTCCTGGGTTCTCTGCAAATCGCCTTGGGAGAGACTCGGAGAGAGGTGGTCTTGCGAGAGGGGCGCGGGAGAACAGTCTGAAAGGGAGATAAGCCGAGGCTCTGTTGGTCCGGTGTGGTGGGGAGGGAGTGGAAAGGAGAATCATCACTTTCTTCCTCCCCTCTCACATCTCCCAACCAACCTTTCGTCACACCTTGCCCGCCTTGCCTTCCCGCCCCCCCTTGACTCCCCCTTTTTTTGCAGATGTCGCACAAACTGGTGGAGGTGAAGAT